ACTTGCAATAAAACAAAAATTGAGAATAGTCTTCCAGAAGTCGTATCTATCAACAAGCCCGATAATGAAACAAGCCGCCACCGAGATTTGAACTCGGGATCTTTGGTTTACAAGACCAACGCTTTAGCCACTAAGCCATGGCGGCAGTCACGAGAAGAAGCGAAAATTTCTTTTTGAGGGTTATACTTTTAACAATTGTCCAAGGAAGTGTCTTCTTGACAACACTGGAAATTTGAGTATCAATACATTTCTATTCGTCGGCTAGAAGGATGAGTAGCACAAACGGTACCGATAGTATGTTTATTGGCTCCATGTTCAGAGGCTTCGACCACGTTCACTTTTGGGTCGGTAACGCACTACAAGCTGCTTCTTTTTACATTACAAGGTTTGGTTTTGAGCCTTGCTGTTTCAAGAGTTTGGAGACCGGCAGTAGACAAGTTATGACACAAGTGGTCAAGCATGACAAAATAATGTTCGCTTTTTCTAGTTCTTTAGAACCAGTAGAACATGATATTGGGAAATTTGTACAAATGCACGGAGATGGTGTAAAGGACTTGGCTTTCGAGGTAAAACTTTTATTTTCTTAGGATGGCTTAGAGGTTCACTTAAGGTCTCACTTCTGTTAGGTTGATGACTGTGAGACAGCATTTCAGGAAGTCGTGAAACGAGGTGCTAAAGTTATTCAGAAACCTCAGAAATTATCGGATGAAAATGGAGAAGTTGTTGTAGCAACTATTTATGCAGGTTATGGAGATATGCACCACAGTTTGATAGAACGCAAAAACTACAAAGGGCCATTCTTACCTGGATACAAAGAGCTCACTGTTGACCCACTAGTTTCAGCTCTTCCGAGGCCTTCTCTTCAAGTAATTGATCATTGTGTCAGCAATCAGCCTGATGGTGAGATGGAACGTGTGGTTGAGTGGTACACCAGTACACTCGGATTTCATCGTTTCTGGTCAGTGGATGACAAGCAGATACATACAGAATATTCAGCTTTACGTTCCATCGTAGTAACTGACTCTAAAGAAAGAATCAAGATGCCAGTGAATGAACCTGCGCCTGGGAAGAAAAAGAGCCAAATTCAGGAGTTTGTCGATTATTATGGAGGTCCAGGCATTCAGCATATTGCGCTTCATACTATGGATATTATTGGTGCTATTACATCACTGCGTGAACGAGGTGTCAGTTTCATTTCAGTTCCGAAGACATACTATGAAGATTTGAAGAGTAGGCTTGCTAATGCATCTATAAAAGTAAGCAACAGTTTGTTTATCTCATTGATTTAGAAGCTTTACCACATATTCATTTAGGTCAAAGAAGACTTGGAGAAGATTGAGAAATTGGGCATCCTGGTTGACTTTGATGATCGAGGATATTTACTGCAAATCTTTACTCGGCCTCTTCAAGATCGTCCAACATTCTTCATCGAGATCATTCAGCGTCATAATCACGCTGGTTTCGGTGCTGGCAACTTTAAGAGTTTGTTTGAAGCTATTGAAAGGGATCAGGCCCTAAGAGGCAATCTGTAGGCTGTTGCTTTTCTATGTTGATTGATTTAATAAATATATATGTGTGTGCTGGATACTTGAATTTTTCGTAATCATAACTTTCTATTACCAGAATAACCACTGAGGCTCAATGCACCCGTTCCGTAGCCACTGAAAATATAGATCCATCGAAACTTTTCTCAACAGTGTTCCAACATGGAAAAAGTTTAACGACCCTATAGACGAAGAACTTGTCTTCGCTTTTTGACTGTCCAATTCAGAACAGGTCAATAAATAGCTTCTGATGACTTCAAATGATGCAGTTTTGGTCAATTCCTTCAACTACGAAATGTTTAACAAAAGAAAATTCTGATATACAATAAGAACCTACCAACTCATGGTCTTTCAGCAGAGACTGGAGCAGTTTCTCAGGAAAAGATGGTTGCGATGTTTCCGTGCTGCAAGTTTCGATATCAGTGACTGAATTCTGTACGTGAAAATCGTTCTGTCCGATTTCTTGAGACAAGCATTTATTGTCACTCTTTCCAAAGAACTTGGCCGCCTTGTCAAGAAATCCTGGGGCTGAGGTACCCCGCGAAGACCTTTGCTCGTTACTTCTCGTCTGTTTCTCATTCAATGCATAGGTGAATTCCTCAGTATTTTGCTTTCGAAAGAATGGCAATATGAATGAATTAGATTTTTCGTGCTTCTTAGTTGGACTGGTAGGACTCTCTACTGTATGACTATTTTCTTGAGTCTTCATGCCTGTCGTCAACTGTATATTATCCGCTCTATGAGAGCGTTCTATTTTAGCTACGGGATAGCCAGAACGTTTCTGAGTACTTTTTAACGCCAGAGGCACAGCAGTCGCAGTAATAGCAACTGCCAAGTCAATCATGAACTTTCGACCTTCATCGCTTAAAGCCATATCTAAAAGGGCCTTTACAACGGGAGGAAAGTCATCTGTTTGCTCCTTGTCTTTGTTATTTCCTCCCAGTTCGACTAGTCTATTATTTCCGTTCCTCCTTTTCTTTAATGCATATGCAGCTTCGCGGTCATATCTTTCAAAAACTGCACTTAAACCTTCTCTCACTGTAGTAGAGATAATCAAGGACACTAATTGTTCTCCACTTGGGGTTGTAAAGACTTCCAGTATCTTCACCAACGAAGCAAGTCTTTCACTGGGCCCTTTTGTGACGTTAGAATTCTTCTTTCTATTATCGTTTTCACGACTTATCAATTCCCGACAAACTCCTTGAGCTGCTCCTGAAGAAACATTTCGAAAGATAACAACAAACTCGGGGCTAGAAAATAGACGAAGTAGTCGAACAAAACTAGCAGGAACCTTGAAAATAGTTTATCAGTTCTGGAATAGTCAAAGTTGTCAAACTTACTTCTTCCGAGCCATTGCCTTGTAAGTAATTCTTCAGGTCGTTGGTAGCTTTCAAAAGACAGTCACTGCTATTGTTTATGGCGTGAGCTAGTTGTTGGATAGTATGCTGCCAATTGCGGAAGAAGTTTCCGATGCTTTTTCTGTTTCTATAGACTGCATAAAGTAACAAATACACGGGAATAAGCTTGACGTCTATATAAGTTTGCAACCACCTTTGTAAGCAACGATAACGTGGGTTCCTCATTTTCTACCAGTTTCTCGATCCGGATTCATCGAGAAATGCTTTGATTTCAAAGCTTCCAACAAATGGAAATATGAAGAGATTTCTTACAATGACTGTCTCTGTATGAAATTCTATTGTATATTATCCTGAGAATTTTTCAAATTTATGCAAGATTCTCTCTAGTTCTGAGGCTTCTTGATCTCACAAGTGCAACATAACAAACAACATGGAAGAAAATGAAGGGTGAAAAGCTTTGTGCAACTAAGTGGAAAGAAACACCAGATTTCTGAAACTCGCATGTCGATTAGGCACAACAAAAAAACTTGTAAAATATCAATTCACTTGTAAGCGAAGCCTTCTCACAGTCAATCAAAGTTGAACTATAGCCGCAGCTTTCAAGTTCACAGTAATTAGCAATACCTTTATCAGATACTTAGTAACTATTCAATCTTCCTCGTCTGGTGTCGCTTCTTTGGTCCAATCAGGATATAAGGACTTGTCTTGTTTCTCGTTTTCTTCCTCTGCCTTTCTTTTTAAAGTATCTGGGTCGAAACCAGGCCAAGGCTCAATCATATCACCACTGATATCCAACTCATATGGGTCACCATCCCAATACTGGAATTCCTCAGGACTAGGTAATTGAGAAGTAAGACTTACTTCAGGTTGCTTTAATAACGAACGCATAATATTATCCTGATCAAAGGTTACCGTTTAGTTTAGGATATTCGGAAGACAAATATGAACTTACCTTCAACATGGTCTGCTTTACCAATTCTACGATCATGGACTGACATTGTGCAGGAGTCATACTTTTCACTTCTTCGACATATCTGCGAAACAATAACTGTTGACTTAGTGTCAAACCTGTAGGAAAAGTGGACGGGAGGTTTTCCGGAACATCTTCAATAGAAGACATGTGCAAGAATCTTGATTGCGCAACTGCTTGACCGTTTGAACGAAAGCAACGTCTACTAATACAACAGAGGTTTTGGCGGAGTTGAAAATAACCATACATTGATCCATAATATGGGACAACACGTTTCTTCTCACTTTGCCCCCCATATCTTCCCAAGGATGGATAGCAATATGAAGATCGAAATCTGTTATTCAACGTTGCAAAACTATTACAACAAGTCCTGTAGTCTAGTTCACCTACTATATAAAAGGTTGACTGGCCTGCCATAAGAGGAAATCCTCACACAGCCAAAAATCTCCCACAAAGAGGAAAAGATATTCCAATGTACACTTGGCAATTTTAGTGCAATTAGGTTACCAATCACTACCAGGGAATCGAACACAACTAACTTGTACAAAATAAATTTCATGACTGTTCATTAGACAAATGGACTGTCCAGCAACGAAAGATAGACTTATTTTCCACTGGCAACTTGAGCCAAACGCTTTTGGAGTAGTAGAAGTAGAGGGAGAGAGAGAAGGAACGAAATCTGATGGTGGATTTCAAGCAATGTCTCAGAAATAAGAGTACAAATTAACATATTGAAATTTATAAAGATTTGGGAACCTCATGAAGATATATATTCAAACACTCAACTATCTCTCATTCTATTCCTATCGTTTTATTCCGACTTCTTCAAAGCTCAGTAACTCAAGTTTGCAGACATAAATTGTCTCACTATGGTAAATATCCACGCTTCGGAGGTAATTTGTGCCTATACTGGTTTGGTTTTGCACAACGAAGGGCTTCCTGTAATGACAACCAAAGAAGACACGGCTCTCAGTTCACTAGAACGAGATAATAAGGACGGGTTAAGTGTAGCTCAAATATACGTTGAACACTTTCAACTTGGTTGTCCAAACGATTCAAAAAGTAGACATATGAGTCGCCCTTGTTAGTTCGTCACCTTCACTAGCTAAAATTACTGCTATGACTATAGATTCAATTGCAAGTGCTGCTTCTGTTGAAGCTTCTAAAAAGTCAAGTAGCAAACAAGCTAGACAAGCTTTGGTTTCTACAGTGAAACCGCTGAATGATGTCGTTTCAAATGAGAAAGAAGAAAGGGAAGACAAAAACCTTGCCTTTGTTCAGTCAGGCAACTGGAATGACATAAATTGAGAATATTCCCACCAGCATTCAAGTTAACCATTTATTTGGAAGATAATAATATTATTACTCTTGTAAACGTACAGACACAAAACCCTCAATGCATGTCACATCTCTCACAAATCCAAAAATTGACTCGGTGGAAGCATTTGGAACTCCGTATAGTATGTGCCATTGGCTGTCATGCGCCAAGTTTCCATCCAACTCTCATTCTTTTGATTGTAACCCCATCGCCTTCCCTTTTTCACAAACAAAGTAGCTTCTCCCTCTTAAAATCAATTGTTGACATAATCATAACAGTTTCATAAGGCAATAGACGTACCTTTTATATCCAGATCCCGTTCCAACCACCACTCAGCCCACGCAGAACCATCATCATCCACTCCATATTTATCTAGCACATTAGCAATTCGTTTTATTTCTATATAAATCATCTCCACTTACCTCCAAAACGATAGGTTTTGTCTAAACTACAACCCCATCTTTCAGTCCACCAACCTCCATAATCGTTAGTCCTTACATCATGACCTGTCCACAGGTGTTGCTCTGGGACCTTCCATACAAGAGGAGGTTCCCATAGTGTCCTTCCCACATTTAACTTGCCTTGTACTGATAAAAAATCCGAACCAAGATGTTGGAACTTCTCGGTTGCTACTCCAACATTTTCGCTCTCAACCATTGAAGACGAATCTTTCTCTGAGACTGATTCGACCTGATTAGAGACATTTCTGTTTAGATTTTCACTTTCAGCAGAAACAGAAACATTTGTTCCGCTTCTATCACTATTTGAATAACAGGTTGGTTTTGCAACAAATACCCCATGATACATGGAATAATAGTCAGGTTCCACAGAGGCAGATGATGTATGATACGAACTAACATTATTCTCTTGTGTTTGGACTGCAGATATATTGTTTCCTGAAGATAGTTCATAAGCCCTATTTCTTGACTGTTCTAAAATACCACGGCCCTGTTCATACGATGATGAGTTGCGAATACGAGGTAGAGGAGGTAACTGTGAGCGAACATCAACAATCTTTCGCTTTGAATAGTCCTCGGCCAACTTTTCCAAAGTTCTTCGAGAAACACGTGATGAGCCAGTACTATTCATTTTGGTTGCGTTCTCCACCAGTTCCTTTCTACTCTCACCTGTAAGATGCAAAGCTTCTGACAACTTGGACTGATGGCACCAGCTGTTCTTCTGACTGTCTGAGAACACTCGTGAAGCAGAGTCACTTGTCAGTGCCTCGTCCAATTCTTCTTCGACTTCTTTGATGGTGGCCAAGTCGCTCTGTGAAAAACTCCTGCTTAAACTCCTTTCTTGTCTATGTCGCAAATATTCCAAGGCACCTCGACCCAGACGAACCTAAAACGTGGTTTGAATGACAAAGTTGGTAGTTTAGCGTGTACGAACCTTTTTCCCTTCCAAAGCATCCTGTTTCAACAACAAGAAAAGAGGGCAACTGTGTGTTCTTCTCAAGCCATGGCTACTTTGGTTTGCGACACTGTCTAAGTTTCCTTTGTTTAATTTATTTGATTTTTTCATTTGGTTTCTGGTGTCATGGTCCTCAAACACATTCCTTGCTCCATTTTTCCAGGCAGAGTATCTTGTTTCTACAAGAACACTTTCTGAAGCATCCGACATTTTCGCTTACTAGCCTTGGGTTGTGAGCCACCCAAAATGCCCCCCAAATTGTGCACCCCTCAACAACCAAAAGATATTTCAGCTCAACAAGTGATGGAGATGACGATTTTGCGTGTGATGTAGTAACAGTGAGGATTCCACCTTATCACAAGCCGTTTCTACAACTTGTGAGAGATTGTCAACAGCTGCTGTGAAATCCTCCAATTGCTTAGATAGCCAATGCACGTTCCGTTCCGCACTTTCTAATATAACCACAGCTTCCCTCACATTTTCTAACGTGGATGATGAAGAAACAGAACTTGTCATATTGTCATCCTGTATAGTTTTCACATTCTCCCATACTAGTCGTTTGAAGTGTCCTATTCGCTCTTCTGTTACACAAAGCTGTTCTTGAATATCCAATTTGCGGACTTGACTCGAAGAATCGACTCCTGGTAGTTGACCCCTATGAGTCAAAGAATGAATACTTGTGACCCAGTCCCCCTTAGAGACATCCTCCACGGACCGTTGCTTCTGCTTTCGTCTTTTACTTTCACGTTTCTTCCGTAGTCTCTCTCTCTCCCTTGCTCTTCTAGTGTCTACATATTGAGGGTCCGAAATCTTTTTCTTTTCTATAAAGTTGCACCAAGCCAAATTTTTAGCTTTCTTTGTGTTTTTATAATTTCTGGAGGTCTCTTGAGCAGGAACAAAATATTTTTGAAACTCATTTTGTAGTTCGTCTTGTTCTTCCAACTCTGAAAGGTAAGACTTGTCTTCAAAGTCTCGCTCTATAACGTCGTTGATGGATATCTCTGCATTTGGTTCGATAGCGTATCTTCTCTCCAAACAATGGTTACTATGCCTAGGAATCATGTTCCAAAAGATACACTCTCATTGCCCAACTCAAAGTCTTTTTATTCGTTCGAAAAATGGGAAAATGAAATATCATCAGCTGTGTTGTCGTTGTCTCTTCAATATCTCTGCAATTTCAAACGCAAGTTCCAAACTTTGTGAAAGATTGAGACGCGGATCACACAATGACTCATATCTCTCAGATAAAGACTCCGCTTTTAAATCTACCATACCTCCTACACACTCGGTCACTTCCTTACCAGTCATCTCAAAGTGAACACCGCCTGCTCGAGTACCTTCTGCTCGATGGACAGCAAAAAAGTCTCGAACTTCTTCTAAAATATGATTCCAAGACCTCGTCTTCACTCCAGAACTTGTCTTGTAAGTATTCCCGTGCATGGCATCTGTTATCCATACCACATTTTTCCCTTCCTTCTTCAGTGCTCGAACCAAATACGGTAACTTGGAAGCTAAATTCTTCGATCCCATCCTCGTTATTAATGTAAGTCTTCCCATTTCATTTCTTGGATTCAAAATATCACAAAGACACAAAAGTTCATCAACTTTCATTCCAGATCCCACTTTCACTCCAATTGGATTAGCTACTCCTCTTGCAAACTCAACATGTGCTCCATCCAAATCCCTCGTTCTCTCACCAATCCAAATAAAAGCTCCAGAAGTGGCATACATATCGCCTGTTAAAGGGTCTTTTCTACATAAAGCTTCTTCATAGGGTAACAATAAGGCTTCGTGAGAGGTAAATACTTCAGTGGAGTAAATAATAGGATCCTGCACACTCACTCCACATGTTTCCCAAAAACGAACTGCTTCTTCAATTCTTTCAGCAGTATCCAAATAAGCCCTACCTTTTTCCGTGTTGGAAGCCCAATCCATTCCCCAAGACTTTACATTTCGAAGATCTGCAAATCCTCCAGAAGCCAATGCCCTCACAAGGTTAGTGGTCCCTGCAGAGTGCTGATATGCAGCTAACATTCTACGAGGATCAGGAATCCTACTAACCAAATCAAAAGGAGCGCCATTCACGATATCTCCACGATAACAAGGTAATCTTTGGCCATCTCGTTCTTCCCAATCTTCACTTCGAGGCTTTGCAAACTGGCCGCCAATTCGTCCAATTTTTACAACGGGTTCTAAACTGCCCCACATGAGAATCATTGCCATCTTAAACAAAGCGCGCACGGTATCTCGAACTCCATCAGTGCTCTCTTCTAAAGATTCTGCACAATCGCCTCCCTGTAACACAAACCCTCTTCCTCTGCATACTTCACTTAATCTAAAACGTAGCAATTTTGCTTCTTCTGCTTGTACCAAAGGTGGTAAGTGCTTGATGTGGGAAACTATCTTTTCCACTGCATCTTGATCGGGATATATTGGTTGTTGCTTTGCAGGTTTCTTTCTCCAAGAAGACACTGACCAATCTTTCGGAGTCAAAGGTTGCTTCTGCTTTACATCCACGACTTTTCCTGAACAGTTGGGAGAAGCTACTCCGTTTTCCACAATACACTGTAGGGAAGAAAGTCTTCTAGTTGGTTGTAACGACAAGTATTTCCTCTTTCCACGGACAATTTTGAACTTGTTATTTTTTGTGTATTCTACTTTATCTGTTACGAAGCCAACGGTATTTATCTTTTCCATTTCTTTCATCGGCCGCCTCAAATCCAATGGAATGGAATGGAAGGATGGATAATTAAGGAGGCTTTAGTAACACAACTCGAAACAAGTTTTGAGTTCCCTCCTATTGTATATTGCTCCATCTTTGAATACTGTTCAAATTCACAAACTGTCAAATAATCAACTGCTTAATGAGAAGAAACTGATGGACCTCTTTATGAAACTATTTTCTTTTCATTTGATGACAACTCATGCTTGAATGAGTCTAACTTGTATAGATGGAATATGCTCTACTGAAACTTTTCCCAGTTTAAACTTTAAAAGCACCTCACTCGAAACATCTCAACCCAGATGTGGATATCCAAAGAGCAATGAAGATGCCCAGAAAGGAAAGGAAGTCCGTGGAATTATAATGCATTTCTGGAAAAATTGCTCTGATCAAAGATCATAGCCGTATTTGTGAATTTCGTTGGTTGGTTGTAAGGTTTAATGAAAACGCTGTCTAGGAAAAAAGTAGAACAGAATGAATCTATGTCTTGGGTGTCCTTGGCAACTCATATGTTAAGGCTACTACCGGGTATTTTTCTATTTTTGGTTCTATGTTGCCCGTCTGGGGGACAAACTTCACGAACCAACAACTGCTACAACACTCTCAGGCAACGAACATTGATACAAATGGGAAACGAATTATTTTTAGAGCCACGACAAAACGTTGTCCGGAAACAAATGGATAACGATGAAATACTTGTCATTCCTTTGGCCTACCGTGTGCCTCTTGGAAGGCAAGACATATTGAGAAATATCTTCACTAGTGAAAGTAGAAAAAGACACTTGCTTGGAAACAACAGAGAGAATTTGTTTCGGCAACTGGAACAACGGGTTATTCAAAAGAACAATGACTGGGAAGATTCGCCGCGGTTTCAAACTGAAGAGAGCGGCATCGGAGTAAAGAGATACTTTGAACAAGTGGTTTTGGGAAATGTGGTCAACAGTGAGTTGAAGACTTTGTTTATTTTTCAATAACTAAGCTATTCTTTTAGTGGCGGAATATTATGTATCCTTACAAGTCAATGGAGAGAGTTTTTATGTCCAACTGGACACCGGAAGCTCCAATCTATTGATTTCCACTACCAACTGCAGTCACTGCCAAGCGAATAAGAAACTTCAACTGAATGGATTGACTTCTGTTTCTTGCAGTTCAAGTGACTGCTGTCAGCAATCCTCATCCTGTTGTTCTAAACAAGATCCATCTTTGTGTGGAGTACTGGTAGAATATGGAAGTGGCTTTGCCTCAGGAGCACTAGTAAAGGGCACAGTTACCATCTCGAATATTTCTGTCTATACAACATTTGGAGGAATTCTAAACTCTTCTTCTGGTAAGTTGACTGAATATCATGCAGTATTTTGGTAAACTATTTTTTAGATTTCGAGCCTACTTCAGTTAGTGGTATTCTTGGTATGGCTTCTAGTCAGTTAGCCTGCAATCCTACTTGTGTTACTCCCCTATTCGATGCGATTGTACAGCAGAAATCAATTGCCAATGTCTTTTCTGTTCTTCTCAATCCTGACAATGGTGTTTTGGTTCTTGGAGGTGTCGATGGAAATTTCAGTAATGGGAGCATATCTTATACAGATATGCCATCCAGGTAAGGTCATTCCATAGGTTTTTGTTTGATGAAATTAAAATTGAAATGTGGTTGAAAAGTGATCCTGGTTATTATGAAGTGGTAAGTAGCTACGATTTCCATGATATTATATTACCGACTAATATTATAAAGACAGTGAGTAGTGTTTCAGTAGATGGGGACGATGTATACCAAACGAGTTTCACAGCAGTTGTAGATACTGGAACTACCTTGGTTTATTTACCAGAAACTTGTTACAATGATCTAGTCAAGTACTTTCAATCCCACTATAATAACTCCTTTTGGGACAGTTTGGTGAGAAGAGTAATCTATCTATAATATTCATCATTGCTAATGGATATGATTGTTGTTATATACTATAGGGAGCTTTGCTTGGTTCTTTGTCCTCTAGTTATATCTCTAGTCTCCCTAATGTCGATATTCAATTATCTGGTAGTGTAAAAGTATCCATTCCTCCTGATAGTTATTTGGTATCTGTTGGAGATGGAAACTACATGTTTGGTATTCAGTCGTCCGGAGGTTCTTCATCCATTCTAGGTGATGTCTTGTTACAAAATTATTATACCGTTTTTGATCGTGTCAATTCTCGCATTGGTTTTGGACCTGCAGTAGATGTGAAAAGTGTCAACTTGAGTAATGTGCCTGGAGTTGGTAATATTTCTATTCCAAGTCCAAGTACAAGTCCTACGTTACCTACTTATGGTATTGTATTGATAGTCGTTGCTGGCGTCTTAGGAGCGATACTTTTGTCGATGGCTGTATTCTTATTGGTTCGTCGACGTCGAAAGAGTATAATTCCACGTACAAACGTATGGTCTTCACAACCCTATGGTGTGTATGGCGATTCTTATTACTACTACCGTTGAATAGTTTTTTGTCTATTTCAATTTGTTGTATAGTCAGTTGGAATATTCCATACAAAATAAATATGAACAATAAGAATTGATACTCATTTGTTGGATGAATTCTTATATAGATATTGCCTTTATTCTTGATGGATAACTGCAGATTATCACACTATTATTATTGAAGAGTTATCATTTTGAATGGATACTCTTAGAAGTATCAAGTGACAGTATTCGGATATAAACTTGAGAATGACTTGGAAACACTACTTTGTAGGAGCCATACGCTAACCGCATGTTATTGTTGTTATCATCTCGCAAATGTCGAGACATTGGTTCATTTTGGTTTCACTTCTTTTCGTCATTTGCTTTCAGGATATCTTGAATATGCTGTTCACGCAAAGAACTTCTATCTTTGTGTCTTCCTCTTTTCATCGGGTGAAGCGCATTTGTCCATGCATTTCGAGATATAAATAGAATCAGCCAGTTGATTATATGTCCCATAACTTGCTTACTACCCACCGGATAGCCATATACAGGAAATGGCCAAAAAAGAGTACAGAAAAATAACAAATTGGGTGATAATAGAGCAAGTATTCCTAAAATGAGTAAAACATGTCTTCCTGCTATGAAATATTCCCATAATACAGTTTCCATTAAAGCATGACTCAAGCAACCCAAACCAAGGCCATAAAGTATTTGTCTCAAAGAATGATATCCATGAAAGAAAGTACGATAAACAGTAACTATACTGCCAATAATAAACGTATACAAAAACAACTTGGATATATAGTTTTCTAATATCCACAACAGGGTTGCTTTCAACTGCTTTCCTCTTCTCGAGTCCCTCCAATAAAGTTGTTTGACTTGGAATAGACTAGTCAAACTTAGGAAACAAAAAGTAAAGTAACAATAATGACCGCTAATACTATTTGGCTGACCTATGAAACGTCCAAAACTACAAGTTGCATCATCAAGCCAACCTTTCACTAGCAAGAGAAACCAATATGTCAAGTGAAACCATAAACTAACAAACGATACCAAAAATATTGCTGCACCCTTTTTAGGAGAAGTGAAAATGAATAAAACGAGCAGCATCCATAACGTTGCTACCGTAAAATTGTGAAGTAAACTATCTCGGATAGGAATAACAAAACTATTCACTGGAGGAAGCTTCTCTACAGCCCTATCCACTACACACAAGTCCAACCAATCTCCGTAAGAACTAACCAGTAAAAGCCTATATCCTCGTTACGCAAACACGTAAAAGGATTACGCAAGTCTCACCTTGCCGTCACTAGAGCTGCCAATGACAAATAAACACCCCGTTTTCTAACAAGTGTACGAAAATATGACATTTTCAATCCGAAGCTGTTAAAACCCAATCAAGAAATCCACATAAAGTCTTACAGATTTTGATGCCAAGAACAAATTCTTTCAAGTGTCGATAATTTGTAGAAACATTGCCATGAAGACAGTATAGAAAGGACTTGGACTAAACAATAAATTACGCTTTAGCAGAATTTTGGAAGAACCTCAGTTGAATGATATCAATAGTACAAACATTATTTTTTGATTCTCTTTTCTAAACATCATTCTCTCATCTTTATAATAACTCTTATTCCCTTAGACTGAAGACATATTTATGTATCCAGGAAAAGTAGAGAATACGTGGTCAGTCAGTCTTATATTGTCATTCATTATTGAGTGTTGTTTCATGAGAAAAAGAGGTTTTGTTCCAAACCAATAACTTGAAGATTTTCATTTACATTTGAAAAGATGCTCATGCTTCAACTCCTTCTTACTGAGTTAACTCATGGCTATATCTCTGTATTCTATGGATGATTCCAGTGTGCTGTAAAGCTATGGTTGTTGGATATACAAATCACTTAAAAGAAACATGACAACTCCTTCTATAAATATATATACTGAACACTATCCAAAGGGATATGATGTTCTTAAAAAGGTATTGAAAAGAAATGTTTCCCTTACAGCTAATAACTAAACTGGAGAATTTGACTGTTCTTAGAATACAATAGAGACTCGTAAGGCAATGAACCATTTCGGTCCAGTAGAAGAGGGATTGGACTGCTGAGATGATACACTTTGATTGGTTTTGAAAAGGGAGAAATTTCCTTTGTCGTTATTCCTGTGAAACGACACAAAAACCCCCAAAAGCCACTGGAGACAAAAGTTGAGCTGTTCTGGACCCTAGTGATAGTACTGGTTTCACGCACAGGGATTATTTGGATCCTTTTAGTTTCCTGGTCAAACGAGAAAGAGTTTCTACTAAGAGTATGCTTGCAGATGGACTATGCAGTGACACCGATAGTGAACAACGAAAGCGACCGCAGTGCTAGTACAACTCCAAAGAACTCTGCAACAAGAATGCTGGAAAGATTTGACGAACCATACGAAGATGTAATATCTTCTTTCTGGGATTGGCATATTGTTCGTAGAATACTTCACTTAGGAAGTGGACTTTTTGGGTTTGAAGTCCCAAGTTCTACACAGGAAAATGTTGAGACACATAAAGTGTCGGAAAATAGAAAGTACAAATACAGAAAGGCTAAAAGTGAACAAGTTGATATGGGGCAGGTGGAGAGGGAAGAAGGGAATGTTTCGGAGCTCGGCTCAACTTTGACCAACACAAATGTGGGAAAAAGTGATAGGTTAGAAGGAAATGGGGTGCATATTGAAGCTACTTCAGTTATTCCTATTCAAGTGACTAAATCACGTGGACATCGTTCCTATTCACTTCCAACAAACGTTGCAGATTTGACACAGGGCAACGCAACACAATCGTTTTGGACTTTTTGGAAGCGAAAACATCGTTGCCTTAGCTGTGTGAAGAGGATACAAGGTGCTCAGGATATTCCAAAGAATTTGTTGAACATAGCAGTAACACAAGACGATGAAGTGATAACTACTCAAATGCGTAAAGTAAAAGCAATGAATGCAATTCAATCGACTCGTTCAGATACTTTACCACAGACAAATGAGTCTAGTGATGTTGCTTTGATGACAACTGAAGAAGATACAAATGACTTTGACTATCTTTCAACTTATTCACAGCGTGGAATCACTCTATTTTTGCTGGATTGGGATGATACGTTATTTGCGTCGACATTTTTAGCATCTTTTGACAGCGTGGAATTGCTATCAGAGGAAGAAAGAGATCATTTGAGTAAGTTGGAGTTGATAGTAACTCTTTTTTTAAAAGCTTTGAATGCTCGTGGCCATATTGCTATTGTGACGAATGCAGATGCATATTGGGTGGAAATGACATGTCAACGTTTTATGCCAAAGTATGTTTACATAGTTTTCATTTTTATGGGACTGTTGATTCTCTTTTAGGGTTTATTCTTATATACAAGAATTTCAGGTGCTAGTTATAAGTGCACGAAATTTATTTGGAAGTGATTCACGAGCACCTATTTCCAGTTGTCCTTCTGATTGGAAGGCTGCAGCTTTTTTGAAGCTTATGATATACTTTTTCTCTTCAACAGCTACTGAGAAAAAGGAAATCTTGCAACTGAGTCAATTAACTTGTGAGGATTCAGAACAAACAGATATGCTATGCAATGTCTCTAAAGAAGGAAAACCTCCACTTTATATCAAGTATAGTCTTTCTCGCTTTTGTGCTCATCGGAATTGGACAAAAGCTATCCATGCTTTGGATGTATTTCATCGAAGGAAGAATAAGAAGATGGAAAAGCAGTCCTCGAGCGTAGTTATATCTCAAGTTTATACAGACAACTGGAAATTTGAAAAGGCTGTGTTGGTAGACAAGGATTCCTTTGCTTGTCATCATATTATTGTTATGGGCGATGCTTGCTTTGAACACAATGCAGTGAATACATTGCGGGCACAATATCCACAAGCACACTTTAAGTTTATTCAGTTTATTTCTGAACCCACAATAACAGACTTGTCTCAACAACTCAAGTCTGTTTACGGTGCTTTGGATGAAATTGGAAACTTTGCCGGTAATTTGGATGTGAGGCTTAAACCTCAGTGAAAGATAATCTCATAGAGAGAAAGATATTTCTTTCTTGATTTCCTTTTTCTTGTATTTATGTTGTATGAAACTGGACAATACTAAAGTTTCTTATCGATTGTTATTCTCTGAAATGTGAGTTTCATCTGTTGATTGCACAGAATGATCACCTTGGTAACCAATATTTCTATAATGATCAGTTGATGGTGATTTGTTCTGATTTCCGTTCATCTCAGAATTCCAAAGATTCTTTTCTTCACATTTTGAATAGTAACCATTCCTGGAATACGAATATTCGTGTTCTTCACAAGTTTCTGTACTATTAGGCATTTCCTTATCTCGTAGTTGACGTGACCACATATGTGCATAAGCACTATCAGGATCTTCTAAAAGTTCCATATGTGTCCCTCTTTCCACAATCTGACCTTCTCTCAACACCAATATTTCATCGGCGTCTACAACGGTAGAAAGTCGATGAGCAACCACTATGCATGTTCTATTTTGTCCCAGTTGTTTCAATGCTTGCGTAATTTCTTGTTCCGTTTTGCTATCCAAAGCAGAAGTGGCTTCATCACACAATAAAATAGTTGGATTCTTTAATAAACAGCGAGCAATAGCCACTCTTTGTCGTTCTCCACCAGACAGTCTTGCTCCACGTTCTCCAACCACCGTTTGATAACCATCAGGCATCTTCATTATAGTATCGTGAATTTGTGCCAATTTGGCAGCTTGCTCTACCTGTTCTCTAGTCGAGTCAATCTTTCCATATGCAATATTGAAATATATGGTATCATTGAATAGCAAAGTATCCTAAAATGAATCAATCTCAGCTAAGAACGACTGCAAGATTATATACCTGAGGAATCATTCCTATGCAGCTTCTTAATGACTTTTGTGATATTTGACGAATGTCTTGGTCATCAACCATAATACGACCATTAGTTGGTTCATATAAACGATACAGCAGCCTCAAAGAGGTGCTCTTCCCTGAACCACTTTCGCCAACGATTGCCAAAGTTTTTCCACTAGGAACACTAAAAGAAATGTTCTTTAATAGTGGTCTGGTTTCTTGCACAGTACTATTTTCCAAAGGATATGCAAATGATACATTTTCAAATGTCACCGTTCCACCTTGCAGTACAATATCGTGTGCGTCTTCCTTATCCGATATCTTAGGTCGACGGTTGAATAGTTCCAGTAAATTTTCCATATCAATCAAACTCTGTTTCAATTCACGATATTGCCAACCAATAAAATTCAAAGGTACCCATAATTGTTGTAACATTGTGTGAACCATCATCACATCGCCGACAGATAAAAGTCCTCTAAAGCAAAGAGAACAAGAAAGAACAAGTGCTACTGAAAGTCCCACACAAAATATGGCTCCTTGTCCAGCATTCAGAGAAGCCAACAACTTTTCATTGAATACAGAGGCTTCTTCAAATGCCGACAAACAAATATCATATCTCAACAATTCAAAATCCTCATTATTGAAAATCTTTACAGTCTCAGCACTAAATAGGGATTCGGATAATTTTGCTGAGCCTTCATTGTCTACTGCATTCATGAGTCTTCTTACTCGGGCCATCTGATTGTTAATATGAACAGTATACCAAACATATAAAAGAAAGCATAGGATAGTCACTGCAGCTAAATGCCAAGTGAAACGAAACGAAAGTATGCTACATACGAGACCCAACTCAAATAAGGAGGGCACAAAGCTAAAGATGAGAGCTCTCAAAATCATAGTAATAGACTTTGTCCCACGATCGACAATACGAGTGGTTGCTCCTGTGCGTGAGTTATTGTGAAAGGAAAGATCCAACGAGTGAAGATAAGCAAAAGCTGCGCGAGTAATTCTTCGTCCAACTCCCAAACCAACTCGTGCAAAGAGTGCATTGCGTAGTTCATGAGTTCCAATAGCTGAAATACGAGCTATTCCATGACCTATCAATAACCACATAACCAGAGATACAGAACGAGTCGACGACATCGATGACTGAAAGGACTTTGTCAAACTATCGACTGCCAGCTTTAAAATGAAAGGAACCACTATATTTAGCAATTTGCTCAAAAACATGAGCACTAGTGCCAAATACAATCTCCACTCTAGACTTTTATCTGCAACAAGTACTTCTCGAACAAAAATCCAACAGGCACGCAGTGTTTTACTGGCTCTAGCAGCCTTTAAGTTATCCAGTTCTCTTCCTGCTGCTCGTGCTCCGTCTGGATTCTCCGCGTCAAGTGCTTTCACATTTATCTTTTCGTGAAGACTGGGTGGAAGAGCGTTGATGGTTTCATTTTCACTGTATTCGATATTTCGCTTCAGTTCTCTAAGCACTATAGGCTGACTCTCGAACGACACAGCTTCCGCATCTCTCCATTCACTTGCTCCTGAAGCCAGAAGTATCCAATCTAGTCTGTTCTTGTATTTTCTTGCAGGTCTTTTCTTTTTTGATATGCCAAGGAAATCTGAATCAAACTCAACCCATCTTTTCTGCCAACAACTCAAACAAACGTTATTGTTGATTTTGGGAAAGCGGTGGGAAACCCTAACTGCTGGAATAAACTCTGCCAAATAAGCTGTACTTAAACGTTGACTGGTGAATATTCGTGACGTACTGGAGACAGTAGCAGTCCTCATTGTCCTCAGAAGTAAATGCTTCACGAAGAGAGGAATGAATGAATGGATGGCCATGTGTAAAAGAGACTACTTCTACACTTTGAACACAGTTACAATGAAAAGTATCGAAGCTTGGATTTATAATATACATATGAGTATGAATAACAATTATAGAGTTGTGTCTACAAAAGCACATTTCCTATAAGATTCTTCAAATCTATTCTTTTCTAAACAACAATAGGAAAAGGGACTCCAAAGAGATTTCCCACCGCTAAGCGCAAATAGGAGAAGGGATAAGACACGTTGACTGAGCGTTTAGTGAAAATTTCGTGGGTTCGTTTTCTGAAGAGTTAAAATGCCTCCCGTAACATCTTTGTTTGGAAGCTCCCCTAAAACTGTTAACCTTGAAATTGAACACTGGATGAATAACCTGAATGAAGTTCAAAGTGTAATAAATACTGTGGAACCCAAATTGAATACAACTCCAACCAAGTGGAAAGGTAACTCGATCACCTGATTGGAGTAAAGAAGTGAGTCTAACTTATGATATTGCTAGCTGTTTTTCAGCACGTTAAAGAAGTCTCGGAGGAATTGAGTCAGATTTTCAATAAGGAGGACCCTCATTACGATGTCATATTGGCAGGAGTCAACGCGGGGAGGAAATTCGACAGCGCTCAAGCAGAGATTGCCAAGGTAACAAAGGAAGAGTTATTCTTTCTGTTGTTAAAGACTCACTTTTGTGAAGAGTGATAGCGTCAGAGACAGTGCTTTGAATAGGCTAAGAAAATATCGTGACGAAATTGAAGTTCTTAGAAGAGAATACAAAGAACGAGAAAAGGTGAGGGAAAGATATGACCATTATCGCGTTAAACTGGACAACTTGGAGAGGAAAGGGAAAGATCAGCCTAGAATTGAACGCAATCAACAGAAGCTGAAAGATGCCGAAGACTCGTATCACGCAGTCACAGCTGAAGTGATTCAGAAGATGGAAACTTGTTGGAAAAAACATGTCGAAGTATTTGCAGAGGCATCTATAGCTTTGTGGTATATGCAAATGCGAATGGTGGATGAGTTTGCTCAAACATCGGAAGACGTTCGCCCTTTTGTGGATGACTATTTAAAGAATATGAAGAGTAGCAACACCTCATTCCCTAATCAAGATTATATGGGAGAAGATGCTTCAGCTGCCAAACATACAAAGGACCCTTTGGCCAATAATGACTCAACCTTGGATACGGATAATGCTTTCCCTTGTCTTGAAGAAGATGACAAACAAGAATCAGCACCCGAGAAGTATCCATCCATACAGAGTTTGACAGCTTAGTTGTCTGCTGCATAGAGACAACTGCAGTTGGGCCCACTTGATGTGTTCGGAATGATGCCTATTTTTATTTATTGGCACACAATATGTTGACCATTTGCTATTGGACTATCCATCCTATGAACAAAATGCAAGTGAAGCACACTTCGGGTTTCTGTTTTTTCTTGTTTGTTTGTGTCATTCTTTTGTTATACGTTGCTTTTAAAGATGGCGAGTTTCAAATGACCGTGTTGCATTTTTCAATTCTTGTTTCCATCAGAAAATGAATTTTCAGATGACCCAAAATATACTTGTTTTGGAATCGCGTCACTATACACATTCGATGAAGGAGCAGAAGGAGAGTCACTCAACAATTCTTCATGTGGATTCAATTCTATTCTGGCTTCTTCGCATCCATAAGCACGAGGTGTTAGCTTGATAACAACATGAAGAGGAACTTCCAAATTGGGACATTCTTCTTGTCGCTTCCCAATAAGAAAACCATAAATAGCTCTACAAAGTACGTCTCAAACAACTGAAATTGAAGGACAAACCAACAAGTACCTTATAACTGCATTATGGCTAACAATGAGAATGGATTCTCTCAATCGTTCCATTTCCAACATAACTGGTTCGAGTCTTTGAATTACGTCCACATAACTCTCACCACCAGGATAACGAAAGTGGAGTTTATCTTTCATTCTATCTTCGTAAATCTTCGGATACAATTGTTTCACATCGTTCAATGTCTTTCCTTCACAAAGACCAGCATTGATTTCATTCAAAGCTCGCCAACAAATATTGTGAGTTGGAATGAACTGTACCGTATGACGGGAGCGTCGAAGTTGCGAAGTCCATATCAAGGGAAGTTCCTTTCCTTGAGCTGTAAACTCCTTATGAATATATTGCGCTAATTGAACAGCATAGAGTTGTCCTTTGGGAGTTAATTCTGGGTCCCCTCCCAGCCTCTCTTCCACATTATACTCCGATTCTCCATGACGAGTCAAATAAATACTTCTCGGTAAAGTATGCATATTCATCAAATAGGAAACTAACTTTCCTTGCAAATATCCTGTCAACTGATGCAACACGATAGTTCGACCTAGGTTGATTATCTTAATGTACGATACCATCTCATCATCTTCAATAGTTTCATTGGCTACTTCATAATTAGCAATTCTCCTTTGAAAGTCTTCTACTGCAGTTTCAGGGTCCATATTCTGATAATCTGGCATGCGCAGTTTCGTTTCCATCACGTTGTGTTCGATAATACTTTTGTCTTCACAAATACTTTCCAAAAAGAGTACTCGTATGCACTCTGCTTCCAAACGCTCTTTGACATACTTCCTTCTTTCCTTAGTATTATTGGTAGCATCATAAATACCCACTTGTCCGTGTTGATGCTTTAACCAGGCAATCATATCGTCTAAACACTTGATGGCCAGTTCCCAACGTGCTTGCCTTCCTTCCTGGTTGTTGGGATCAAAAAACTGGGCAGGTTGACTTGCTCCAACTAGTTCTCTCCTGTAGTTGCCAACATTAAACACTCGTGTCGTGCGACCCAACCAATTCAAATATCTTGCAATATATCGAGCAATATGTGTTTTACCTCTCGCAGGTAAACCTACCATTACAATAGCCAGTTTCTTCATAGGAAAAGATTTTGACTCTTCATCATCATCCGAACTATTACTTTCTATATGACTAGAAGAAAGAGGCATAGAAACAAACGCAGCAACATCGTTATAACTAACTGCTCGCTTCATTTTCGAGAAATAGGGAAAAACTAATGCCAAACCCACAACAATAAACTTTTTGGTTTACATTCACATGGTTTAGAAAATAAGGTGATCCTATGATGTGGTTTTTAGTTAGTGCGATTCTAGTTGGTTGATAATCACAGGTTGGGAATACAAGATATTCTATTCTACTGCTCTACTTTTCTGGAGACAAAGTCATACAGTGACTCGGAATAACCAAACTTCAAATAACAACCCATCAAGTGGAAACCCATCCATATTACATATCCAGTTGGATAAGTTTCCAAAAGGTCAAGCCTTGTGATTGCATAAGCAAGAGAGTTTCTGTCAAAAGTCAAAACAATGAGCAACTCAATCTTGCTTCGTGGAAAGTTGCTTTAAAAGAGCAACAAGTTCTTCTTCTTCTTCTTCTGACCTGGTTGTTTTCGCCAAAAGCTTCAAGCTTCTGTCAACAACCTGCTTCCTGTGTCTTACATACGTTGATTGTATAGGCAACTTTGCTAGTTTCTTTTGTTCTTGTTCAAGTCGTTGAGCAAGCATTTACCACAAAAAGACAATTTACAAAATGACAACCCAAAGAAACAAAAATAACAACATAATGGCAAAAACTTTCACAATCAACCAACGATTGCTCGATATTCTATGATAATATCGCAACAATTGACTTTGTCCTTGTTCCACTTGAAACAAAGTATCCTGTACATTACTATCGATTCTTTCAACCAACTCTCCCTATCATACAAAAAGGTCAGTCGGATATCTACTTTCATAATCTTCCTCCATATTACCTGTTCGGATACCATCGTAGCTAACTGTTGAAATATTTGACCCAACTCAACAATAGTGCTTTCTATTTGTTGCGCTGCGGCTGCTCTTTCTCTCCGGTAATCATTATCCAATTGAAAGCTTTGCAACATCAAAGCTTGATTATTCGTTTCATGACTCCCAACCTTTTGCACAGTGTCATTATTATTAGCTTGGCCTAAAGAGCCACTTCCCAAATCAACGACTACCGAGTTACCGTTCGTTGCTCTTTGAAAATCTCTTTCGGGAGTGACTTCAATAGGACTATCCGAAGCTACAAACTGTTGACGTCTTTGTTGTTGCTTTTGTAACATACTTGTGCGCAACTGTAAAACTTTCTTAAACTCTTGGGTGGTGTTCATCAAATCTGTCTTTAAAGTATCCACTACAGATTCTCCGTGTGAAACAATTTGTTTATGAGATGCATTTCGCTGTTGTCGATGAATAAGTTCCAACTCTTCCAACTGCTTGTTCAGTTCGTGCAGTTGTTGTTTCACTACAAACGTCAGTTGCTGAATTTCCAACGAAGAGTCGTCAAATAAACTACTTTTCTGACAAAGTTGGGTAAGTTTTTCCAAATTCTTGGAAATAGACTCAATTCCTTGAGCAACATCTATTGCTTGTTTTGTAAAAGCCGACTTGACCTGTGGGTTTGTTCTCTTGGTCTGCAGACAATCAGCTGCTCTATCTGAACACAGAAACTCACAACTTACCTGACTTTTTACTCCTTCTCTTTGTTGATAGCTCTGTGCAGCAGATAAAAATTCGTTGGTTCGGTCACAAATATTTGTGTTTTGCATATCCACAAAAAGCTAAACTTCCCAATAATTCCAATTCATTGATGATCATTTCCTGTCGGTAGAGAGTGAGTGGAAAACGTTCAGTAAGTAAAACGATTTGCGCGTGATAAGAGTGAATGACTTTCCAAGTGGATTCTGTGGTTACTCCTTGGAACGTGTCTGGAATAATTGACTATGATAAACTGATCGAGCAGTTTGGTTCTCAAAAGATCGATTCCGAGTTGTTGAACAAGATGGAGTCGTTGACAGTACGTTGTTTGTGTATCCTTTGGATAAGAAGACAATCATCCCAACTAGGGTCGACCTTTACATCCTTTTTTGAGACGTGGTATTTTCTTTTCGCATCGAGACTTGCAAGAGATTCTTCAACTTTATGAAAGTGGCACTCCGTTTTATTTGTATACAGGTAGAGGGCCTAGTAGTGATGCTTTGCATTTGGGACATATGATACCTTTTCTTTTTACTCAATACTTGCAAGGTAAGTGAATGAGAGAAAGAGATGCACAGAATGGAAACAAATGACAACTATCGTAGAGGCGTTTCAAGTACCTTGTGTTATTCAGTTGACTGATGATGAAAAGTTTCTTTTTTCAAAAGATAACAGTAAGAAACTGGAAGACTATCAACGACTAGGTTGGGAAAATGCCAAGTAAGTGAACTTGAATATATATATATATATCGACTAACCTTGTATTGGAAGAGATATTTTGGCTGTAGGATTCGATTGTGAACGTACTTTTATATTTCGTGATACAGATTATATAGGAACGATGTACCCCAACATTCTCAAGATTCAAAAAGCAGTGACTTACAATCAAGCTAAAGCCATATTTGGTTTCGATGACAGTGACAATATCGTAAGGATAATCGTGGAATCAAATAAGATAGCATCTCAACTTGTCATAAGGGAAAACATGGCTTTCCAGCAGTACAAGCAGCGCCATCCTTTTCATCTTCCTTTCCACAATTGTTTGGTTCACAAACCAATCTTCCTTGTCTTATTCCTTGTGCAATTGATCAGGACCCGTATTTTCGAATGACAAGAGATGTTGCACCCAAGTTGGGTTATCGGAAACCTGCTTTGATTCATTCCAAGTTCTTTCCAGCGTTACAAGGAGAGAATACCAAAATGAGTGCTTCTATGGCACATACCGCAATTTACGTGTCAGATACTGCCAAACAATTGAAAACCAAAGTAAATAAATACGCATTTTCGGGAGGAGGTGCAACAATAGAAGAACATCAAAAACACGGTGGCAATTGTGATATCGATGTATCTTATAAATATTTAAGTTTCTTTTTGGAAGATGATGAACAACTCGAAAGAATACGACAAGAGTATTCTAGTGGTAAAATGTTGACAGGTGAAATCAAAGCCAAGCTTATTCAAGTATTACAACCCTTATTAGAACGCCATCAACAAAGAAGATCTCAAGTTACCGATGAAGTAAGTAATACCAAATATATAAACTTTGTATGGATACAACTCAAACACTTTTTGCAGATGATTCGCAAAGTTATGACACCAAGACAACTCTCCTTCTAAGCATGACGCATTCTTCTGGATAGTCTCCAGTCATTTTGGTTTTGTGCGTATCGATCAAACAAAGGTTCGATTTTCTCCTTTCGTTTGGTACGAGAAACCTTATTGGGATCTGCGGTCTTAAAGTATCGAGGAGCCAATTCAACCAACCATTTGCTTTCTATAGCCAACACTTCTCGCATATATCTAAGTTTACAATAAAAAAGGCTCAAAGATAAACAAGCGCCACGACTTACTCTTTAGTAGTTTGTACCAACTCGTGATAAATAACCCAATCCGGCTGAATATGAAAAAGTGATGAAGAAGGATGAATATAAACGGGTTGTCCTTCTGCAATGGTGCGATATCCTTCTTGGGGATCCTTCTTAGCTGCATGCATAAAGAAACCTGACACAATAGCCTTCCTAATCTTATTATAAGCTCTTCCAGCTGCCACTAAATCCAATCTTTGCCGGTCCATAATGGCTACCAATTGTTTCCGAATGTCTTGGGCTCTCTTCAAAGAACGGGCTTGAATAAAGTTCTCAAAACACCAAGCCGTTGAATAATTATTGGCTTTCCATGCTTCATATACTGCAAGTAAGGTGAGATGATCTCCTTCCGGCTATTACTCCAACTGTTAGAAAATATACAGTCTTTCTCAGTCATTCTTCTTACCTGATGGAACTTTGCTTTCTTCTGATCAGCAAGTGCTTGTTTGTCTTTCGGACGATAGAATACATTTTGAACACTAAGCATTGCAACTACAGTCACAATCTCTTCACTGCAGCCCAAGTCAACACTTGCCAATAACATTTTACTCAAAGGTGGCTCCATTGGAAATTCTGCCATTTTCCTTCCCAATCTAGTCAACATTCCTTCATCATCCAAGGCTCCCAAACAAAACAAGTTTTCCATAGCTGCAATCAAATGTTGTGTTGGAGGTGGGTCCATAAAGTCAAAGTGAATCAAGTCATTGATACCCAATGCTTTAAGAGTAAGTACAGTATTCGAGAGATTGGTGCGTTGTATTTCTGGTACACTTGTTGGCAACATTTCATTCTTATAGGCATGTTCTGTATAAAGACGAAAACATTTTCCAGGTCCAGTACGACCAGCTCGACCAGAACGTTGACGAGCACTTGCTTGAGATATCGGAGCAACAACTAAAGAATCCATTCCAAGTTTTGGATTATAAACTTTCTGTTTGGCAAATCCAGGATCTACTACATAATAAATACCATCAATTGTCAAGCTTGCTTCTGCAATATTGGTAGCGATGACACACTTCCTGGCATTGGGAGGTGCAGGTTCAAATATTCTAGTTTGCATCTCACTAGGCAAAGCAGAATAAACTGGAAGAATAATCAACTCGGGAACTTGGGGACCTAAGCTCTTCATTCGTTCATAAAGTATTTCTGCAGCAGTATCAATTTCTTCTTGTCCTGTCAAGAATAACAAAATGTCTCCAGGAGGTTCTGACAAGTGAATCTGCATAACAGTAATCAACGCAGCATCTAAATAATCAGTTTCTGGTTCCTTTGAATATAAAATTTCTACTGGGTAGGAACGTCCCGGAATAGTAAAGATAGGACAATTAAAGAAATAGGATGAAAACTTCTCAGCATCCAGGGTAGCTGAAGTGACAATCAGTTTCAATTCTGGTCTCTTCTGAATACAATCTTTCAGTAGACCAAATAACACATCGGTCGATATAGTCCTCTCATGAGCTTCATCCAACATGATTACTGAATAAGCACTCAATTCAGGGTCCAAAAGGGCCTCACGTAATAGCATTCCTAATCATACTTTTAACAACTGAAGTATCTAAAGTAAACAGTACTTTACCATCGGTCATATATTTCAATTTCGTTTCAGGACTTGTGCAATCTTCAAAACGAATGGAATAGCCCACCAACTCTCCCAATCGAGTCCCGGTCTCTTCTGAAACGCGTTTGGCTACAGAAATTGCTGCAACTCGTCTGGGTTGTGTGCATCCAATCTTTCCTACTTTCGTATATCTGTCCAGAGTAGTCATAATACACACTATATTTCTCTTTCAGCTACTTACCCTTCCTCATGAAGATACTGAGTAATTTGTGTAGTCTTTCCACTTCCAGTTTCACCAATAACGATCAAAACTTGGTTCTGAGCAATCGCCTCCATTAGTTGATCTCGGAGACGATAGATTGGAAGACTTTGACGCTGTTCAGCTATTGTTTTATCTGCTTTCCTGGAAAACCCTAGGGAAGGTGCCGTGCCTAAAGCTTTCTTTTTCCAATCTGGAATGTCTACATTGCTCCGATTCTTAAAAGAGTTTGTGTCCTCTGTTCCCGTCAAAGGATCTTCCCAAGCACGATTAAGGTCTTCTCCATTTCCTTCCATAATGGCTCTCTTTTGTTGTTCCCGCATTTCGCGTCTTTCTTTTGCTAGATTGGATTGCGTCAAAGCAGCTCTTTGTAAAGTTCCGTCAGGATTTTTTACGATACGAACAGGACTAAGAGGCTGTGCTCTACTCGTCTGACCACGCAAGAACTGGGGTTCTTCTTCATTCAACTCAATTTCCAACTCTTCCTTTGGCTCTTCCACATGATGAAGAACATCACCACTATCCTCTTCATCACCAGTTTGTAAACCTAAAATTTTATTCATTTGTGTTTCAGGAATAACGCCTGCATTTCGTAGTTGTGTGAGTTCCCAAGCTTCTGGAGAAGGAATACGTCTACGAGGTCTTCCTGTTCCTTCATCATCTGCAAAGGAAGCTGGAATTCCACTGATTAACTTTCTCGAATGATTTTGGGATGAATAGGACGGAACTTCAGGATTAGAAGACTTCATTTCATATAAGGATACTGCTGTATTATCCATTCTGGAACTGATAGACCAATCATTTCCTGTTTCTTGATCTACATCTTTCATCGATAAACCAATTCGATTTCCATTAAGTGACAGTACTTTCACAAAAACTCTTTTTTCCCTTTCCAAGCCTGCTTCTGAAGGATGAGCAAGTCGTCTTCCACTCTTAGAAATTTGAGAAATATGAATCAAACCTTCAGGACCGCGGTTTCTCCCACCATGGCTCTTTTTATTTTCGAAGCCTGGAGGCATAAGTACATCCTCCAACTCCACAAAAGCTCCAAACTCTACGACGTTGGTAATTCTTCCAGAATAAATAGCACCGACTTGAATTTCTTCTTTTTCTCTTCTTCTTCTTTTCACAGAACTATCTTTCTGTACATAACGAGAAACTTCTCGTTTCACCCTTTCACTTCCCCGATTCTTACGACTTTTATTATCTTCTTCGGTTTCTGAATCACTCAATTGAATTGGTATGCCAAGGAAGTCGCCCTTTCTATAGTAATCCTTTCCCGAAATGTCTTCCTGTATTCGTTTTCTAGCTTCCTCTCTATGGTCAGGTAAAGCTAATCCAGGATAATGTTCGGTTCTTTTCTTTTGTTCTTCAACACGCTCTTCATCCGGTTGGACAGTGATTGGGTTGAAGTTTGGTTTCTCCTTAGCGATGCCATTCTCCTTTCGCAAAGTGGACACACTTCGATACAAACTTGAACACAGTGAAGCTGGCCAATTTTCTCCGCCACTTTCTGTGAGTGCTTGAACAAAACTTTCCAAAGTCTGGTGTTTATTCCCCAAGTCGATGATGAATTCCGCCAAAACCTTTCACCGTTAGTTGAGAAGTTTCTTGTCAAGTATATTACTTACTTTATCACTAAACCCCAAGTGATTTTCAAGTTCCTTGCAAACCTTTGAAACTACTGATAAGTAGAACAACTTGGAAAGGTCATTCATCTAAACAACAACAATACCACCACCACCACAAAAACTAACTTTTATTGTAACAACAACGGAATTAACACTTGACGCCATTCGGACCAACGATTCATTCTTATTACGCCTATATAAACATACATATATTCCTTCCCTATTCACTTACTCTATAACATGAGAAGAGATTCTTACCTTGTCTATGTAAATTGTAAGGTTGGGTAAAGACAACATGTTTCCACTCAGGATGTTTGACCATTCCTTGAACTTGAGGTTTATCGTCTATAAGAACAGTACCCTTTACCAACGTTTTGTCTCGAACAATCATAAGACGTTGCAAGAAATCTTCTCCCAAATATCTTGTCAAAGGAATTAAATACAACAACAATGCGATTATATCTTATCATTCATATACCTGCGAACCCACAAATACTTTTCCTTTACACAACTTTCCCACTGAAAGGGCAAAGGTGCCGAACAAATGCGAACATCCAGTCCTTCACGTACCATTTCTTTACATGATTCGATGGCATCTTGTACTGGAGGAAAACTCAAAAAGAAGCCTGTGATGGACTCTATTACACTAAACACACTGGGAGAAGCAACTTTCCTACCTTCTTCACTCATCAAAGCAATAGCTTCTTCTTTCTCTTCATCAGGAAAATTGTCTTCCAGCTCGAAATATTTCCTTTGAGAAAGATCAAAATCGGATTGTTCAGGATGCCTTTCTTTCCATCTCTTTCCAAACTCCGAATCAAAGTCTGCCAACACGTTGTCCATATCAACCAATACAACTTTTGCATGGTTACAAAGTTTTGGTTGTTTCTTTTTCCACGTCCAACCCACCAGAAAACCAACAAGTAAAGTTGTCAAGCAAGTCGACATGAAAAATTTCTTCCAATTCCTTTTGGAGGGTGAATTGAAAACGATGCGCTTTGCCACTTTACGATCAGCAGTAGCTGTTACTTGTCGTCAGTTGGGAAATAAAAGATATTTCAGTCGTAGAGTATCACGCAGGTAGGATGGAAAAGGATACTTTTATTGTAACCTTTTCATATGTTGTAGGAGAAATGACGACGAGGACGATTTTGAAGAACGTGAACCGAGAAAGCTTTCAGCTTTTAATTTATATATGCAAAAGATGTTGCCTGTTATGAAACAACAACATCCGGAGCTCAATCATAAAGAAGTATTCAAAGTAAGTGTTTTATAAAAAGCGCGCTCAGTGTGATATATATATGTGTGTATAAACAGATGTGTGCTCAAAGTTGGAAGACTGCTCGTGAGAACCCAAAGAATACTCGAACTCCACGTTAAGTGCAGTATGTACCGCTCTATTTCGTAGCCAAGGGAATTCAACTTGTCATCCCTGGTTGTTCGAAGACGGTGTTTCCAGTTGTTACTTTTGCGGATAGCTATGGAGATTGAAATGTTCCAATAAAACCTATCTCTTGTATGGGTTATTTTCAATCTGTGAATAACTCTCCGCACTATACAAATAAAGTCCTCATAAGATACCCAACGATATATATATATTTAATAAAAGTTTTGCTCTCCAACCACGGAACTGGAATAAAAGGAAGAGGCAAACTGCCTCTATAGCACTCCTTCCCAAGCTCTCGTCATTATTGAAGAGATCAATAAAAGTCCTCAAAACCCTTTCCCAAAACGAAAATAGAAGGTTGCCTTTGCTTTACAACTTCTTTCTAGCCCTTAGCTTGTCTTCCTTCTTTTTTAATCTTCTGGCAAATCGATTCATAGAAGGTTGTTCTTGACTCGGCTTTTCTCCCTTTCCCACTTGTGCACTCGATTCTTTCTTTAGTCTACTATCTCTCCACTCTGCAAACGTCAGAAATACAACACCAACTGTTACCACTATTCCAAGTACAAAAGCACCGCTGATCAAATACTTTTCCAATGCGGCAGGTTGTGGAGGTAATCCAAGTGGTTGTGGTGTCTCTACGGTTGATTCAGTTGCTTCAGTTGCCTCACTCAACAAAACACAGTGAGGAGTGGCTGAGAAATTCAGCTGTTGGTTTGTTTGGTGAGTAAAAGAACCAAGACAACGCAAACAAATAGCATTAGTACTCGGTCGACGTTGTGCCTTTTTCCAATGAAACAAAAAGTTGTTCTTATCTACAACACACAGTTTGTTAGGTTTAGGATACAAGTTTACACTCAAAGAGAGAAACAACATCATCGATTCAAAGAGCCACTTTTTGGAGAATTACACTGTATAACAAAATCAAGTAGTATTCACTACAAATTATTATAGTTCGTCAACAGGATAAAGAAATCGTGTCTATTGCAAGCTCCCAAACTAGCTGTTCATACAACTACATTCCGTAAAGTCTGCACAAGATATCTGAGCAAGTTCTTTATTCCTTGTTATTGGCAAGTACATCGGAGAGATAATAAATAAGTTGCTTCCGAGTTACTTCCGTTTCCGTTTTTCCATTCAAACTTTTCACTTTCAAAATAATATCGCCAGCATCTAAACGAGAATCAATGACATGATCCCTTAATAATACCATCCATTGGGCACCACAAGACTTGGCAGCTGACATTTGTTCATGAAGACTGGGATTGGCAACAGGAAGAAATTCAGTCCTCTAAACAAATAGAAACATAAAAATTCTCATCATAGTTTTGAATGAAATTACTTACAATATTACCTGCACGCAACTCCGACACTATAGCAAAACGTAAATCCAATAATCCATCACCTCCAATACTCATTACAAATACATCACAACCAAATATATTACAGGGTCTCATAGACTCGCTACATATTTGCTTTGCCAACTTTTCTAAACAAAATGTCATTCCTAGCGCTTCCCAACTATCTTTGGAAACATTCGAATGTAGATAATAAACAGACTCTTCTGAAACTGTCTCCCTCCAACTTCCTCCATAACCAACAAAGGTATGGCTCGGTCGACTAGAGGTTCCGCGAGTTACTGCTTCAAAAATAATACCTAAAAATTTGTTGAAAATAATGGAAATCATTAAGTTAGGTAATTACCATGGAAGCAATCAGCTCTCTTATATAAAACAGGATCTAAAGTCAACAAGTCAAACTGAAATCCCGCAATTCTATCAAGTGTTAATAGCACATCAACGATGCGTTCCAGTGCCTTAGCTGCAGGTGCATATATCATTGCATTCATTTGCTTCTTTTCAGCATTAGAATGTCGGTAAAAAGGAGAACGACTGGAAGATAAACTAGTACGTCTGGAGCTTTCCATTTCTACAAATGAACTCAACTTGGAAGCAGGAAAAAAAGGTTGTCCAGGAGTTGCTTCTAACAAACGCATCAATTGAGAGAGAACCGTTCGAGGACTACCTCTTAAGGAAGCAAAGCAACAAAGTTTCTCTACTGTTCTGTGTACGAGTCTTTTCTGATGACTATCCGAGTTGGAGATGATATTTTCATTCGATAAAACCATCATCAATTCTCTCCTTATCAAGTTATTCCCTTTGTAGAATGATGATGATAGAATGGAAGAAACAATGTGAATCAATTGTTTGGAAACTTCTTGCTTGGGATGAAAAACTTGAAAAAACCCAGCATGAGCTAAAATAGCAGGCAATAATTCTGCATGTGAAAGTCGAATAGAAACGGGTTTCCCATAATGCGAACGGAAATGTTGACACAAGTCTGCAACTAGAAACAGCAACTCCGCATCTAAAACAACAAGACCTGTTGAATAAAATGAATTTAATTCAGCAACCCGATAGGTTCGAATATCTTTAACAGTCGAATGGAACATTTCTGATTCATAGTGATACCAGTTGTCCCAAAAACCATCTTCTTCCAGATCCCAGACTTGACCAAATTCGAAGAGTCTTACATTTTTCCCTAAACTAAGATATTCTCCCAACATGTGTTTCCTAAAAGTGCTGCAAACAGAAATCTTCTTTCCAGAACGTAGCAATAACTGAAAGGAATCATTATCTTCCAAAGGTCTACTCTGAAGTTCGTGAAAAGCAAAAGAGGATACATTATGTTGAAAAGGAATAGCACCATATTTCTGGAACACATTTCTCAAAGTATTCTCTAAATTATCCAACATTCGACTATAACACAAATAAAAACTTGATGAGAAACTTTCAAAGAGTTTGTTTGGAAAAATCATCAAACTCTCATCACTAAGACTGTTCCGATTCCAAAAAGGCGCAGCTTCAAATAGCGTTGACAGTGCTTTCATATACAAATGAGAAATAGGATCGCCTATTCTCCTCATGACCTCTCGAACATATTCATCTTCTACTTTTGGAGGCAAGAAATCTACAAAATAAATGAGTCTTCCATAACTATATTTACAAAGACAACTCGCCTCCATCTAAAAGTTGTGCTGCATTAGGTCTTTTCTTCGGATCCTTCATCAAAAGGCTACGAATAAGTTTCCCTTGTCTTTGAAGACGTCCTTGAAAGTCACTATCTGGACTTCCCGTCTCCCTTAGTCGCATCAATACTTCATGTCTTTCCATTGCAGTCTCAAACGGACCATGCCATAATTCAAAACTAAAATATCTTCTATATCTTCATTCCTCTTAACGAATAGAAAAACTTACGCAATTATTCCGAGGGAATATATGTCGACTTTGCTATCATATGTAGGAAATTCATTCTCTTCAAGTTCTGGAGCACGGTAATAAAGTGTACCAACGCCTCCTGTCCGGTCGTTGCCAAAGGAGTCATTTGAGATCAAGTTGCCACTCAAAGACACATGATCAGCATATCTTCTATCTGAAGACGACAAAACCCCTTCCTGAGTAACAATTTCTTTAGCAAGACCAAAATCACCAATCTTGATTGTTCCTTGAGCATCAAAGAATATATTTGTTGGTTTCAAGTCTCGATGTAAAATACCACAGTGATGAATGTGGTGTAATCCTTCCACAATCTGTCTAAAGAGACCCCAAAGATCCTCGTTTTTATCAACAACATGGTCGATAAATTCTCTCAAAGTCCTTCTGCAGTATTCCATTTGAATATATAAATAGGCAACAACCTTTGCACTCTCCGGTGATTCCTCTTGTTCCGAAGAACTTTCCAAAGACTCATTATATTCCAACCATGCGTGATGGTAGCGGACAACATGTGGATGACTCAACCTTGACAGTGTTGTAACCTAACAACAGCTTGTGTAACTGCATCACTTTATATTAGTGGAAACTCACCTCTCTCAAAATATGACGCTCTTGTAAGAGTTCTTCCGTTAAGGCAACACGTTTCAGTGCATAAATGCGACCATCTAATTTGTTACGAACTTTCATGACAGAGCCAAATCCTCCTCGACCCAATAAACGTAAATATTCAAAGTCTTCTCGATATCTTGAAGGTAGTGGACGGAATCGACTATTCAACTGTCTTCTCATGACAGAAGTATTCATTAAAATGGACCAAAAAGTATTTTCGATTCCTCCTTTTTTACTTGCCCTTCTCATCTGATTCCCAAATAATCTCCTAAACGCTTCCACTTCAGAAGAACTGTTCAAATGATCCAAACGGATATCTCCAAAAACTTCTTCCAATATTTCAACATGTGAAAGGTCTATTTCTTCCTCTCCGAAATTCCGTTCATTGGAATACAACAAGGAACGAAGCAGATGACGAATAAATATCTCTTCCTTACTAATATTTACATCACACTCTTCTTCTTCTTCTTCTTCAACACACGAAGAGGCAATACCTTCTGTTGAAACTTGGTCCAATATCAAGTTACTCAATTCATCTAATCTTTCTGAACCACTACTCAAAGTTTCCGAGAAAGTTATATCATCGATATAATTGGGAACTCTAAAACCCTTTTCGGAAGACCTTTGCTGAAGACCTTCTCTCATAGAGCTACTGGACCGCAAAAATAACTCAAGGTCCAGACCAGCTTCCGGAAATCTCTTCCTAGCATTCCTTTCTAAAGCATATTCTTCTTCAGCTACTCTTTCTTTCTCCTCTTGTTTCTCTAACAAGACTTTCGTATTCTCTTGTAGTTTTTGCTCGGTAGCAATGTCAATAACTTGTAAACTTTTACCAGGAAAGGTTTCTTCTACATTTGCTGCACTATCAAGGGAACAACAATATTCTACAATTCTTTCTCTTACAAACTCTACAATGTCATATATACACACTCTTCCCTTGTAGGAAAGTGGCACTTGTGCAATATCCCTTTGAAGCTCTCTACGTTTCCTCTGACTAAGGGGTAATTTGCCTTGTACTTCTTTTAGAGACAACTTTGGAGCTTCGCCTACAGGATACTTGGGACCCAATCGAAACTGTAAACATATAACAATATCGTTGGTTCCAGATTGTCCAGAAAAAGGAAACAGTGAAATTTCCAACACTTTCCTATTACGTATTGACAATAAACATATATATATATATATGAGTAACCTACTGTTTCTTCTTCTGTTTTTTATTATTCTTTTTCAATTTGTTTACTTGTATTTCCTTCAAGTCATTCCCAAATATTGCCTTCAGTGCTTCAAGTTCTTCATTTCTTGCTCTCACCCAAGTGGACTCTTCATCCATCAAAACAAACTCACACTTGTGGTATCATTTACCNTTCTCCTCCATAGCCTCTCGTTCCAGAGCGATCAGCCAAAAGACGGTCCTGTGCAGTAGAACCAGTAATACCTAACATTGTTCTAAGTTTTTCAGCTTCCAACTTGGGACATGCAGTAACACGATGTCCTAAACCACCACAATAAGCACAACCACGAACACCACCCACATCTTCCAATGCAAAGTTGTGAACATCCAAATTCTCTAAAAATGGTGCCACTTTCTGCTTAGCTTCAATAAGCAGCTCTTTCAAGTCTAACAGTACACTCATGTTACATGTGGAATTGACAAAGGTCGTAGCAAGACCAGTTTTACCACGTCTACCAGTTCTTCCTATACGATGAACATAGTCTTCAATATCTTTCGGCATATCGTAATTAATGACATGTTGAACCTCTGGAAAATCGAGTCCCTTTGCTGCAATATCAGTAGCAACCAAAACATCCTTTTTTCCTTTGCGAAAGTCTTCAACAGCTTTCTGTCGCTCTTCCTGATCTTTTCCTCCATGAATGGCTGCGGCATAAACTCCTTTCAATAAGAGATATTCATGAACATCGTCTACATCATTCTTATTCTCGCAAAATATCAATACAGGAGGAGCAGTCTTCTGAAGACATTCCAACAAGCGACCAATCTAACAAATTTTCAATAAACTTGTATAAAAATGATCAAACTCACCTTGGCATCTTGATTGACGTATTCAACTTCCTGTATCACATTGATATTGGCTGCTCCTGCTCGACCTACATTGACCAATATCGGATTGACCAACGCTGTTCTTGCAAAGCTCTGAATCTTCTTAGGCATTGTGGCAGAGAACATGAGAGATTGACGCTGTGAAACAAAAAAATCAAATATTCCACGGATATCCTCTTCAAATCCTAAATCAATAAGTCTATCTGCTTCATCTAAACAAACAAATCTACAACTTTCAAGATGAAGCTTTTTCCTTTTCAACAAATCATGAAGTCTACCGGGAGTTGCGACACAAATATGAACTCCTTCACTCATGATTTCCAACTGTTCATGAATACTAACACCACCAATGGCCAAAATGCTTCGAATAGTGGTTCCATCAAAGCTCTGAATATGTCTTACAAAGCATTCCGTATTATCATAGATTTGCCTCGCAAGTTCTCGCGAAGGACATATAATAAGTCCAAGAGGACCTTCACCTGGTATTAATGGCAATTTTCGTTCCGCTTCCCAGGCCATCATAACAAGAGGAAGAAGAAAAGCAAGAGTTTTACCTGAACCAGTTGAAGCAATACCAATCAAATCTCTTCCTGTTAAAGCCACAGGAAGGCCTTGCATTTGAATCGGAGTTGGACGTTTTACTTTCATTTCTTTCAGTGCAGTTCTTATTGGTTTAGGAAATTTCATTTCGCGAAACGTAAAACACATAGGAGGTATTTCTTCTCCCTCTACCGAGACACCATATTTTTGTCTCAGTGTCTGCCACTGAACTGCAGAGAGTTCTTCCAAGTATTTTGGTGGATTCCAAGAAGTCCTAATTGGCTCAGTGTAATGAATATTCTTCGCTATTTCTCCTACTGCTTTTAAGGCCCTTCTTTGGTCAGTCCAATCTTCTATTATTTTTGCTTCTTCTTCCGCCAATTGATTCACTTTGGAGTCTTGTGTCTCTTTTTCGTTCTTATGGCTTATTACTCTGTCCAAAAGCGAAGTCCTTTCCTTTACGAAACTTTTCAAAGAACTATGTTCAGTGACGTTCTGTTCGTTCGGGAATGGATTTTCTGGTTCTTTCAAGTTGTTGTTCTCCACTTGTTGCAACCCTTGACTTTGTATCAACTCTTTTGCTTGTTGCAATATTCGTTGCCTTCGTTTCTTTACAGGAACGTATTCCGTATCGTCCATTCTCCAAAAAAATGATTTCATTTGAAAAAGAAGTGTTGTATTGCTCAATGATGAAGCTTTTTCCAAAGTTGCACAATATTCCAACACTTTTACTATTGACCACCACTGTCTTTGAGAAAAAGTTTTCTTAATTTAGGCTACTTTTACTTGACGAAATTAAAAAGAGAAATCTTCCATAGGACTACTTGGAGCCCCTAGATAGGAAGCCAGTCTCAGTAAATCTGCGAAAACTCCTCCAGCTGTCACATCTGCCCCAGCTCCAGGACCTTGGACAACCAAAGGCTGATTATCATATCGCCAAGTACGAAAAGAAATGATATTATCTGAGCCTTTGAGGCGTCCGAACGGATGAACTTGATCATAGCGACGAAGCTCCACTCGGCAACTTTGTTGTTCGACCGAAACAACTCCCACATATCTCAACACTTGGTTATTCTCTTTGGCTTGAAGAGCCAACTATTTTGGGTACTTGTTAGTAAACAATACAACGGATAGAGAAAACAATCATACTTGTCCCAACTCATCGTCGTATTCAGGAAGACGGCGTAGAAAAGTCTCAACATTAACTCCCTTATCTGCTCTCAAGTCTTCAGGCACCAGAGACTCTACTTGCAAGTCACTCAACTCGAAATGCAGCCCAATTTCACGAGCGAGAATAACGATCTTTCGTGCAACATCCATTCCAGACAAGTCATCACGGGGATCCGGTTCGGTGTACCCTTTGTCCTTTGCACGTGTCACTACTGTTGAAAACGATTCACTTCCATCAAATTCATTAAATATATAACTCAAAGTTCCTGAAAAGATGCCTTCAACTTCTTTCAATTTATCGCCTGTTCGAATCAAATCTCGAAGAGATGATATTACTGGCAATCCTGCTCCTACATTCGCTTCGTATAAAAAATGCGAATTGGCTGCTCGTTGTGCTTCTCTTAGACGAATATAACGCTGCATTGACCCCGAGTTGGCCTTTTTATTGGCGGTTACTAAATGAATTCCTTGAGCCAACCAATCGGCATATTTCTCAGTAACGACGTCCGATGCAGTACAGTCACAAATAACTGCATGTGGAATAGAAGTATCTTGTATATGTTTCGCAAACATATCCAAATTACAATTTTGTTGTTCTTCTTCCAACTCCGCACTCCAATCCACTGTATCTTGTAGCGAGTCCATTAATAACATCTTTCTGGAGTTGGCAATTCCTCGTATACGAATATCAACTCCAAACTCTTGTCGAAGCGACACAACCTGTTGTCTGATTTGGTTGATAAGTGTACCTCCCACAGTTCCGGTTCCTATGCAGAATATAAAACATTATTTTTGGTTTCAATCACATACATACCCAATATTCCCACAGACAAGGTTTGGTCGGAAAGATAAAATGCTGCATGAGATGCCCTTAAAGCTCGACTTTCGTCTTTACTATCCACGACGATGGAAATGTTATGTTCAGATGAGCCCTGTGCAACTGCTCGAACACTAACGCCTACTCTTGAAAGCGAACCAAAGAGCCTTGACGAAACTCCTGGAACCTAAAGAATGTCATGACTAACAATCATACAACCAAAGAATGATGATCCCTTACTTCCTGCATATTTTCTCCAACTACTGCCAGAATGGAACAATTTCGCAAAGTATCCACAGAAGAGACAAGTCCTTCTGCCAATTCTGTACGAAAAGCATATCGAACTGCTTCAACAGCCAAGTCTGCCTGTGTTCCTGGAACTACAGAGCAGATTGAATATTCCGAACTAGCTTGAGCAATCATAATAACTGATAGACCAGCAGAATACAAAGCTCCAAATAGCCTTGAAGCAATTCCAGGCACTCCAATCATACCAGTACCTTCCACATTCACCAATGCAATATCTTTTACTGTACTAAAACCTTTGACACCTCGAGAATTCTTCACATTGGCTTTGGCACTTGCCGTCGCAGGAGATACGTTAGATGGAGAAGAGGGAATGGGTAGTGAACTTTCAGAGACTATGTTACCGATTAAAGTTCCTTCAGCATGAGGGCGAAACGTATTTCTAATTCGTATAGGAATCGATGAAACAATAGCAGGAGACATGGTATCCGGGTGCAGAACATCGGCACCAAAGTAAGCCAATTCTGCTGCTTCCTTATAAGACAGAAAAGGAATAACTACCGCATCAGGAACAACTCTCGGATCCGCTGAATAAACTCCATCAACATCTGTCCATATAGTTATTGATTCAGCTTCAAGTATTCTTCCAAACACTGAAGCAGAAAAATCAGAGCCATTGCGACCAAGTGTTGTAGGTACTCCATCTGCATCACAGGCGATATAACCAGTAGCCACAACCACTTGAGTAGGATTTTGTCTCAGCCAAGAGTCCAAACGAGACTTGGAAATATCCCAATCAATGATCTTTCTAGGTTGCGCAACCATCTTTTTACTCGTTTTCGAATCCGCTGTCAACTTGTCCAACCTCTTCTTGGGTTCTATCGTCTCCATTCCATTTCCATTACCGAGGTCAGATAGCGTTAACTCGTCAACAAGAAATTCATTGCGATTGGAAGTTATACTCGCTGTCCGAGTAATCAAAACGTCTCTTGCGTCCAAAAAGGAACATTGGACTCCTTTCGATCGCAAAAGTGCCCAAACCAGTTGCGCACACCATAATTCACCATAACCCATAATAAGGTCCCTGATTCTGACACTTGCCGACCTCGCAATCCATACAGCACGTAAAAGATCTCTCAAGTCCCGAAGGTTGGAAGATAAAGTAGCCAGAAGAGAATGTCGTTCTTCTGCAGGAAGTAGTCTTTCGACCAAGTTTTCATGAATATCTCTCAGTTCTTCTATGCCTTCCAGATAGTGCAAATCTTTGTTTCTAGCAATTGCTGAATAGATGAGGCGTTCTAAAATATTGGTTACACCCCGTACTGCAGAAACGACTATGAACAATCTCTGTTGAGAGTTGTCTGAAGTTTGTAAGTGTTGTTTCTTGCTTCTATTGGTAACATATGAGACACTTGACTCCACCATTTTCTCTTGTAACAAACCAGAGACTCTTTCAAAACACTCGACATTCTCCAGTGACGATCCACCAAACTTGTGGACTTGCCAATGACCTCCCTGTCGAGTTGAAGTTGTCGAAGGCACTTGAGTTGATTGGTCGACACCAATCGAAGCATGGACGGAAACTGGGTTTAAGTGAGGAACGGAAGTACAAGAAGGTCTTTCTTGTAGGCCCGTCATGAAGGAACTTTTACCCAACTTGTTGAGACGAGTTGAATGGCTTACTGAAAGGGAGGGGAATCGGATCTGTTCTTTATATGTATGACATCTGTGACGGCTGCTAAGCAAGGTCTGTGTATTCAAAGGATGATGGCAACCACACCAACAATACTGTGGATGACTCATTCAAACCCAAATAGCTTTACATCAATTTGTCTTACGGCGCTTCTCATTTGTACAAGTAAAATCTCCGTGAACAGCTTTATAGTTATGCATCTACGGTGAACGGATGGGCAACAACTGTGGGCTTCTTATGTTCTAAAGAACGAAGCACACTTGCAGTTCGTTCTGCTGTTGAAAATTCTACATCAAACTCTAACGTTCTTTCAAGAGGCCTACTCGTTAGGATCTTATAAGTACCTTGATGTGCGAGTAACAGCCGTTCCAACTTGCGTGTCCCAACTTCAACTTGTTTCTCTCCTATCAACTCAATACGCAATCTGCGCTTCGTCCTATCTTGGCGTTCTTGTTTAGCTCGTTGTATTCTCTCTTTCACAACATCTGTTAAAAGTCGACTTGGTATAGAGATGTTCTCCATATCTTTCGGCAACGAAACAACCATCTCTTTTTCTGGATAGTTGTCAACCGAAGCGGTTTCTAACCCAAACATTTTACCAAGTTCATGAACAAAAGCACGATAAAGTCTTGGAAGGGGTTGCGTCTTCATACGCCTACCAAAACGACCTTGCAGTAGCTCTCGAAGTGATTGTTCAAAAGATAACACAAATTCCATATTCTCTTCACAAAATTCTATTAAAAAATCTGAATAAGAAATGTCAGAGTTCATGAGAGTTTGCTTCTTCTCTTCCATGCATGGAAGAAGAATGCCAACAGCATCGGCAAATTCTCTAGCTCGATTCAAACGGCTACAACTTTCATCACATTCTAGACGAACATATTCATTCTGCTCCTTTATTGCTACATCATTCTCCGTATCCAGCTGTCCACATATTCCTTCTTCCCTTTTCATTCCACAAGGACAAGTAACTGTCACGAGATGCTCGCAAGGAATATTTGGACATGGAGTGCCAGGGTGACACTTGGACCGACAAGGATGTCCACAAGCTTTTCTTGGTAATTTGCATACATTCGAACAACCTACTCCTTCTTCTTCAACTGCTGCATCATCACACTTGTCCGCATGGCAATTCCTCTTACAGGTATGAATGCCACATTTCAAAATCTTCCCACAGACCCTTTCCGCTGTCGTCAGAACATAACAAAGATGCTTACTTCAAATACTTACCTTCCACAAAATACTTGCTCAACAAAACATGGAATGGTTATAGAAATTCCATGACCTCCTAAACATTCCTTTTTCATCAAGACAACACAACGCGGACATTCTCCAAAATGACATCGATCAGGACAAGGATGCCCACATGACCTCACACGTTGACAAGGACGATTGCAAACAGGAGGAGGAGTTCCACAACGGAAAGGAGGAATGATGCGCTCAGCTCCACAGGCACAGGTTAACGGTTCCCATAAAAGAATACCACAAGGATAACATTGGCCCTCATGTCCACAACGAAGGTCACAATAGTGATAACCACAGTTCAGCAACTGATTACATTTTTGTTCACAAGTGTGTGAAAAGCAATTCCAAAAATCTCCCAAATATTCGACAATCTTTTCCTTTTGTTCAAGCGATGGACAAAGTTGTTCAATTCCTTTTTTGGTCTTTTTCTTGTTGCCAGGACAACAAACACGTTTGCAATAATGTCGCTTACAACTCAACCTTCCTCCACAAATACGGTTACAAGCAAGCTGCTGTAACAGAGTCTCCTTCGAATCACTACAAGCAACTTGAATGGTCTCATTCTGACAACGACAGGGAAGCTCAACCTTGAATCATTTTTAGTGAATGATTCATTATCTAACTTGCAAACGATATAAAATACTTACTTCATATGTACAAGGCCCACAAGGATCCAAATGACCACAAACTCTCTGACAAACATGTCCAAGTAGACAATTCAAAGTCTTGCCACAGTTCTGACCACAGCTAGGTAAAGCATCAAGACAACTATGGCGTTCTGCAGAAACCAAATTCCCCAAATGTTCCAATGATACTTTTCCACAAGCACAGGTCTTCCAATTACAGGGCAAGTATTTACAACTCTCGCAAGGTCCCGGATGACAGATCTGTTCACAATGATGATTACCACAGTCCAACACTTGACTGCATTTTCGACCACAACTAAAACCTCCACCTTTGCAATCCATATTCAATAAATAACAAGGGAAGATACTGTTTTCTGATTTACAATAACAACTGGTTTCTACTGGAACCTGACAGGGTTCACAAGCACCTTTATGACATACTTGTTCACAATAGTGGCCACATTCCATTAGTCTTCCACAAGTCAAACCACAAGAATAACCTTCTTCAGGAAAAGGCTCTGAGCACCTCCTTACGATTTGTTCTTTCCCACAACGACAAGACTTGGGTTCTCTCAACGCAGAACATGGAGGACAGGGACCTGGGTGACAAAGTTCTAGGCAAGTATGAGGGCAATTAGAACCCTTCTTCGCCAAACTTTTGCCACAAATATTACCACACGAATGAGGAACAATTCCAGGCTCTAGATGGGGCTCCTTTTGTTTGCCACAGAAACAGAAATATTCCAACGAAACCTGGGTATAATTCTTTCTACAAGCAGGACACAACCAGTGAGCGACCTTTGAGCTGGAATGGTGCTGTTGATTATTTTTCTGCTCTTGACTGGACTTTGACCATTTCAAAACACAGGAAAGGTGCAGTACCACAAAGCAGGTATCACACATCCAAGTCGAAGTACTGCGTTGAATATCCTCGTAACATACCATACACTCATATGTTTCCCTCCATAAAGATTGCTTCAAAGAATCTCTCAAACTTTCCTCAGCAAAGTTATCGTATCTTCCTCTATTTTCGCCTTCCAAACCGTTCTTCTGGCCTACGTTACTCCTTCGTTTGCCAACATTTGCTGTTGCCGAACGTCTCTTTCCATTCAACGCAAGTATACCTTCTTTGCTGTCTCCACCAATACTTGACTTGTGAGCTTTATTGTGCTTCACCTTTGTCTCGGGGTGTCGTAGCTGCTGTCTTGGCAGTCGTTCGTTCTTTCTTTGTTGGAAACTCGAACCTTGTGAGCCACTTGATAAGGAAGTTTCTTCCTTGTTAGCAGCAGCAACTCTATCTCTTACAACTGGTTTCCATTCAAGTTTCCTACCCGACCGAGTTTTCTGTTGCGTACTCCTCTGTTGGAATCGCATGAATTTTGCATTCGAAGACTGACTTTCACTTTCAACACTCGTTTATTATAATTACCATCGTCTGAAAACAATCAATCACAATAAAGTCTACAAATAATCCACACCGTTCTTTTCCTTCGTATAACATTTATAACACAATGTGTCTTTCAACAAGACCCATTAAGCCAATTGTTTATAAGGTTCTGTCTCCACTTCCCTACTTTCTCGTTCTTTCTTCTGTCGCTCTAAAAACCTTCGTGCCAGTGAAAGCTTAATATCTTCAAAAGCTTGTTGAGATGTTTGACAAAGAGTGTTGACGTCGATCGTTTCATTAGAACTTGAAACATCTTCTAAATGATTTGATTCAGTACTCGATGAAATGACAGTCCTATTTACAGGATGGTAACCACTTGTTACCTGCTCACCACTTGCTGGAGTTCTTTTCAACGGAGGTTCGTTACATAAAGGACAACGGTTCGCTGAAGCTAACCAATGTGAAATACAGCTTGAATGAAAAGCGTGACCACAAGGAAGAAGTCTCAAATATGCGCCCAATTCCACGGTATCCAAACAAACGGCACAAACTTCATCTGGTATAAGGTGTTTACCCAAAAAGAACTCTTTCGTGTCAGGTAATTTCTCTCCGTCTATATAATCAGACTCTCCTTTACTTTTGGCATACATGAAGGGAATACTTTCTTTGACCGTTTCCCAAGAAAGAGCAGAATAAGGTGCTCCTGAACTGGAAGAACTGTGTACAGTTCGAGCAACTTCCGATGGAATAGTAATTACAACGTTTCCTTCCTTATCTGAGCCAGTCTTATTAATTTCGCTGTTTTTTGTAGAAACCAGCAGAGGTTCATTTTCAGCTCCTCTGTACTCTATTTCTGGACATAACACTTGAATCTCTGCCTCACGCAACCCCTTTGGTCTTTGATTCCTTCTGTTTGGACGATAAGGGCGAACTGTTGGTGAGTAAGCGAAAAGACCCGGTCTCCCTCTTCTTCTTTGAACGTGGTTATACAACCCTGTTGACAGCCCAACGATGATAAAAAAACCCACAGCTACCGCAAACGCTATGAGGACTTCAATCCGAAGCCCTGTTGTCATACCAAGACCGTCCATAGTATATAAATAACTTGTGCACAACAAAAAGCTATTGCTTATCCTCCTCCTCCCATTTACCAACTACCACGCGACAACAAAAAGACTCCTCCAACATGGCCAACCATAACATGCCTATGGTCCAACCGTAGACATAAGCCTTATAGTTTCCAGAAAATTACGCACCCTCACATAAATCAATGGTGAAAGGATTCCCCTCTTCAAAGACGATTTCTCCATTCCACTATATATGGAACGTTCAGAAACTGTTCATTATCTATCATACGCAATTCAGACGTATGCTTGTCATGAAACAAATTCATCATAATAGAGGTAATCGTCTTTCAAAAAAGGAACTTATCCCCAATCGGATATATGGACATGTAAAACATCCAATTGTAATATATCCGTTTCACATCCCAATAAACTGCCCAAATATGGAGTCGTTCTACCCAAATCTCCATGAACAAATTCTTTCACATAAGTACCTGCATCCGTCACCAAATCTAAAATGGCAAAATGAGAATTCAATAGCTTCAACCGAATCTCGTGAATGACACGTTTCCTTTTAGCAAGACTTCGCCGGTGAAGCACTCGAAGTGGAGTATATTGTTCAATCGTTAAAGGTATCAAAGAACCAAGATATTCTGCTACACCTGTTTCATCCTTTACAGACTTGGAAATATACACTATGCATCGATAGGTTTTGCGCTTTGTCATTTCGCTTTCTTTCAAAGAAGCATAACCAAACGCATCCGAAACTTTTGTCTCCTGAAGTTGAACTTGTCCATTCGAACGAAGAAATACTTGTCGTTCCCAGTCTCTTAAAAAGGTTTCATTACTGACGTAAGACCGAGTGCATTTTGCTTCCAACAGTTCTATAATGAACGGACGACCAGAACCCAACATACGAACATCTACATCTTCTCTACCACCTGCAGTAAAACGACATTCTCTCGCTCCCAGTTGATGCAACAAATACTCATAGACACATTCTTCTATAGAATCGGGTGCTAGACGAATATTATCTACAATCCAGGGACTTTGTGATAACCGTCGTGATAACTTGATATAACGACCTTGCAAATAAATAGGAGCAAGGACAATAAAAACCATATCTTCTATCAACGACAAGTTACTGTCAACGAGAGGCATCTCTTTTACTTGAATACGAATCTCCAAGTCGCTGTCTACAGCAAACTTCATATGAAGTTGTGTTTCCAACCAGTTTCCAAAGGTCCACTTGAAACACTTTTTCAAGTCCACTTCTGTCTCCTCCAGTTGGGTTTCATCCAATGAATTTTGCAAACTGCTTCTGTACTTCTCCCAAAATGCAACACTGATCCGAAAAGTATCCTCCACTTTGTAATTCTGTAGTTTTACTTGGACAACACGAAACAGTTTGCTTAGAAATTGATCGGAAAGTAGACCCAAGCATAACTTGCAATTTTCTAAAACGATTCGAAATCAAGTTTCTTTCAAGACACTCTTACTTACCTGCACAAGGCTCAACGTTAATTGCGACACAAAAAGGTCGCAAGCAATTTTCTGGCAAGCTATATATCTCATAACCTGCCACTCGACAAGGCACTGCAAAGAGTCGAAAACAACATCGACAACAACAACTTCCTAAAGGTCCCCTGTTTTCTAATCCAACTTTCTGAAAATAATTACGCAAAGCTAACAGAACTGAGTCATCCATCTCACCATAGGCCGCGATGAGAGAAGACGACGACATAAATGCTCTTTCATAATTGAGGAATGGCTTCTCCTACAACTCAGCCACGTTCCAGTGCCAGAGCTCCTGAAAAGGGAAGTTTTCCGTTAGACCACCAACATATTTGTAAAGAGTTTGCAGAAAAGTTTCGTACTTGTTTAGAAGAAAACAACTATGTCACTGCAAAGTGTCGTTCTTTGTCAAAACTCTATTTGCAGTGTAGAATGCAGAAGTGAGACTTTCTTTCTAGATAATTTTCTTATATTAACAGCGTATATGTAAAGTGGGCTCATGACACCGGAAAGTTGGGAGCGCTTGGGTTTTTACGAAGATGACGAACAACGTATCCCCAGCAACTTGAACTTGGGTCCAGAGAGTCACCAAGCTTCAGGTTATGTTGCAGGATTGAGGTATCGAAAGAAAAGAAGGGAAATGCGTCAACAGGATAATCAAGAAGATAGCTAGAAACTAGCTTAGGTTTTGTACAAGTAGTGTATAGGAATCGTGTTCACGCTGCGCAAAACTATTGCAATAAAAAAAGTTACTTTAGCGTTGATAGTTTGCGTGATTCGATGGGCTATCAAATAGTTATCTACTACTTGTTTCAAAAAAAAAAAAAAAGAGAGAGAGAGAGAGAGAGAGAGAGAGAGAGAAAAAGCATACTTTTTGGTGCTTCTGACAATGAAGGAAATCCATCATACATGAGGGGACGTGATACCTCTTAGGGGGAAGATCATTTGAAATGACGCCAACTCAATCTCATCGAATGTCTCATCGACAAAGGAAAATAGCTCAGTTTGGTTTCTTGGATTGATAGAGAAAATGTCTGGTAAGATGAAGGCTGCAGTTGTAAAGGAGTTTGGGAAACCTCTAAGTATAGAGTCTGTGGATATTCCTTCACCTGGTCCTTCACAAATACTTATAAAGGTCATCTCCAGTGGCGTTTGTCACACTGACTTGCACGCAGCTGAAGGGGATTGGCCTGTGAAGCCTAGACTACCTCTGATTCCTGGGCACGAGGTTGTAGGAAAAATTGTCCAAGTCGGTTCTCAAGTTGATTTTCTAAAGAAAGGAGATACTGTTGGTATTCCTTGGCTGTTTCATGCGTGTGGTCGCTGTGAATATTGTATTGATGGAATAGAAACTTTATGTCCTTCTCAGTTGGATACTGGATACTTTGTCAATGGAGGCTATGCAGAGTACGCAGTAGCTGAAGCTAATTATGTTGCACGTGTTCCAGAAGGTGTAGATATCTATGGCATAGCTCCTATCTTTTGCGCTGGAGTTACAGTATACAAAGGATTGAAGGAAACTCAAGTAAAACCTGGACAGTGGATAGTGATAAGTGGAGTTGGTGGACTTGGACATGTTGCTATTCAATATGCTAAAGCCATGGGTATGCATGTAGCAGTAGTTGATATTGCCGATGAGAAATTAGAGTTGGCTGGAAAGTTGGGTGCGGAAGTAAAAGTGAATGCATCGAAGCAAGATCCAGTTGAAGCGATACAACGTTCTACTGGAGGTGCACATGGTGTTTTGATTGCAGCAGCTTCTATGAAAGCATATGAACAAGCTATTGGTATGATTCGTCGTCGGGGAGTGATTGTTTGTAATGGGTTGCCTCCTGGAACTTTTCCATTATCTGTATTTGAAGTTGTATTAAAAGGAGCAACTGTAAAAGGCTCCATTGTTGGCACTCGGAAAGATTTGCAAGAAGCCATTGCCTTTGCTGCTGAAGGGAAAGTGAAGGTGCATTACCGTAAAGAATCACTTGAGAACATTAACAAAGTTTTAGAGCAAATGAAGCAAGGAAAAATAGAAGGAAGAGTAGTCTTGGCAATGGAGTAGTTGAGTATATTATTGTCTCTCTTTGTGTGTATGTGTGTGTGTTTTGGTATTTTATGAATAAAATCTTTCATCTTCGATGGGAAAATGATTTGTTGAAAAAGGATTCTAACAGATGCGTTCAATATCGGTGGAATCTACCAAACGCAAAGCTTGTCGAGTTGTTTTATCTTTCGTTGCTTTGTTTTCTTTGTTTGTTGTTGTTTCATTAAGTCCTTCATGGTTCTCTAGCTTTGGTCAAAACAAACTGGAAACCCTTGCTGAAGATTCTTGGATGACTGGAGAAGAAAGTGGCTTTGAAATATTTGGAATCAACAGAAGGGATAGGTTGGATAGGTGGAGAAAGTTCCAAAGAAATGTTGAGAATAAAATTCAGCACCACGTACATAGAGTAGAAGCTGTAGAGATGGAGAGGAATTGGACCAGTTGGTTGTCCCCTCGTGCTGCTGTCACTATATGGAGACCATATCGAGGCAATCATGAAGATATTGCCAATTGGAATGCCGTGAGTTGCTATCTTACTCATCGAAAGGTATGGCAACAAGTTGCACAGTTTCAAAGGCCAGGTATCGTGTTTGAAGATGATGCAGTCATTCGAAGGAACCATCTAGTGCGATATCGGTTTTTAGCGGAACTTGAACAAGTATTCTCTCAAATTCCCAAAGCAGTTATTTTTTTAGGTTACTTATCGACGCAATCTTTGGAAGGTTTTCCTTGGGTACCTGTGACTCAAGTGTCTCAACATTATTTGGATATCACTGGCAATTCAGTGATGGGCACACATGCTTATGCTATTTCTCCTCAAGCAGCGGCGTTTCTGTTAAATGCCTCTCTTCCAGTGGAAGTACAAATCGATGCCTTTATATGCAACACTGCTTTCCTTTATCCACACGAGTTGCATATTTTAGTGCGTCGCAAATCCAAGTTTCAACAAGCGTTTCATGTGAGTGATATTCAATCCATTTGTTTTCGATGTCTTTTTCCGTACGAGACTCCGAAATATTTCATTGCTATAGCCATTTTCGTAGTCGTTACGATAGTGGTTGGTTGCCTCCATATTCCTCTTACAAAGAGACAAGCTATTTGCCAATATTTGTTGAAACGTTATCCTAATATTTCTTGTTATTGGTTGAAAGATGATATTTACAGATGGTTATCACTTTTACAGCGGAAGAGAATGGGCTTCTGGGATAGAGAATAATATCCAATGTATTGCATAGAAATGGAATTGAATTTTCAACAATATAAAAAGGATTTTTCGGAAAGAGAGAAAAAGGGATTTCGACTCTTCCAACTCTTATCATCACAAAGCAACCCTATGAAAGTAACTTCATCCTCTTTGTTCTCTTATGGTGCTTTCAAAAATTTTATTTTACGCCGTAATTATGTTCAAGCAGTAGAAAAAGGGTCCCAACAAACAACTTCCAAAAAACCAGTATTCAACCACATCGACGTATTTGACGTGGAATCTAGACTCACTGAAGAGGAACGCTTGATAGTTGCACAAGTTCGCAATTACTGTTCGGACAAATTGATGCCCAGAGTCCTCGAAGCTTCTAGACAGGGACACTTTCACCGCGAAATTATGAATGAATATGGAGAATTAGGAATTCTGGGTGCCACTATTCCAGAGTATGAGTGTCCTGGTGTCTCATCTGTAGCGTATGGATTGACTGCCAAGGTAAGAGAGAACACTCTTGACCAAACAACTAACAATGCTTCACTTTGTTGTTATACAGGAAGTAGAATATGTCGATAGTTCTTATCGTTCAGCGTTATCAGTACAATCTTCTCTTGTCATGCACCCTATTTACGCTTTTGGGTCAGAGGAACAGAAAAGAAAGTTTTTACCTCCTTTAGCCAAAGGTAAACTGGTAGGTGCATTTGGTCTCACCGAGCCCAATCATGGTTCGGATCCTGGAAGTATGGAAACTCGAGCCCGTCGTCTCCCAAACGGTGGATATTCAATTACAGGCTCAAAGGTAAGATAACTGAAATAGCTCGTAAAAGTGACGGTTTCATTGAAGAATCTTCATTAGACCTGGATTACCAATTCTCCTATAGCTGACCTATTCATCGTCTGGGCAAAGGATGATGAAAATGTAATAAGAGGTTTTCTATTGGAAAGAGATATGAAGGGGATCTCCACTCCTTCCATTGCTGGCAAGTGGTCTCTTCGTGCTTCAGCCACTGGAATGATCATGATGGAGGTAATGTGAGATTGATTTGCTGATAATCAATATCATCATCATCATTTTGTATTCTTTTGTAATAGGATGTGCAAGTATCTGATGAAAGTATATTACCCAAAGTACAAGGTTTGAAAGGACCCTTTTCATGTTTGAATAATGCTCGATATGGCATTGCATGGGGAGCATTGGGTGCTGCACAATTCTGTATGGAAACCGCCAGAAGTTACTGTTTGGAGAGGACTCAGTTCGGTCGTCCTATTGCAGCCAACCAACTTGTTCAGAAAAAGCTTGCAGATATGGTGACCGAAATACAACTTGGCTTGAATGCTAGTTTGGTAGCTGGAAGGATGAAAGATGAAGGAAGGTTGTCACCTGAAGCTATTAGTTTGTTAAAAAGGAATAATGCTGGAAAGGCATTGGATATTGCAAGACAAGCGAGAGATATGTTGGGTGGAAATGGTGTCTCCGATGAATATCATGTGATTCGCCATTGTATGAACTTGGAAGCAGTCAACACCTATGAAGGTACTCATGATATTCATGCGTTGATATTAGGGAGAGCAATTACAGGGATCAGTGCATTTACAAACTAAGCTGGTTTATACAAAGCCAACCTCTTGTCTAGTTGCCTTTGACTCATTACACAGACACACACACACTATCTTTCTCCCTCTCTCTTTCTCTCTCTCTGGTAGATCCCAAGTATCGAAATAAATCATTAAAAATTTCGCCTGTCCAAAGCATCATTGATAGCCAGTTGAGCTGCTAAAAACTTTCTCGCATGTTCCAACAACTCTAATTGATGTTGGAAACGATCCTTCGTGCTTTGCGTTTGCAACAACAACTGTTGATCCTGTACAGGAATGTCCAATACTTGACTAACTCTATAAGAAAACATAATCAGACGATGTCGATCTCTGCTCTCTGGATTCGGTGCTAGCCGTCGTAACTCTTCACTAAGACAAACATTCTTTCCATATAATTTGTTCGATAATGAAAGAACTTGGTTCAAATCTGTCCACACAGCCTCTCCTAGAGAAAAAATGGTATCGTCACAGTCTATATCTTCTACAGTAACCACTGAAGCAGTGATAAATGGTTTGTCTTTAATAATATGATTCACACGGAAACGTTCCTTTCCCACGTTCACGGTTAACATCCTGCCATCCGGTAAAGGTTCAAATCGAATAAGTTCCATTAAACAACCATATCGAGCAACACTATCGTTGTTTTTGTTATATAAAACTATACCAAACAATTTGTCCCCTTCTTTAATGCGATTAAACAACAAACGGTATCGCATTTCGAAACTAAAACACAGTAAAACTAACAGCCGAAAACTCATAAAGACTTACATATGGAGAGGTATCGTGGCATCCGGCTGCACAACTAAAGATAAAGGAAACAAGGGGAGTACCCTGTTTCCAAGGGCCGGTTCCTGTTCTGTAACATTGCTGGGTGCTGGAGTCAAAGGAATATACTCTACGTCTCCAATACTAGAGCATGCAAGCTTTACAATAAAAAAACTTCGACTTTTGCGCAAATAAAACAACTTCTTTCTTTTACTACTGGCACTATGAGATACAAAAACACCCTTTCCTGTACAGAAACTCCTCTGAAACGAGCAGAGCCAAGGACAAACAAAATTCGTGGTCCTGTACATTTCAAGAATTAAGTTGAATCAGACTGCATAGCCACCTATAAGAATCATTTTAAGATCCAAAATAATCATAAAAAGAAAGTCATACAGCAGAGCTGTTTTTCGCTTGCTAAAAATAATAGCACGAATTCTTGGAAAAAAAGAGATAAATTTAAAATTTATATTAACAGAAACGAAGAAGCTTTTGAAGAAATTTTAAACTCCAATTTACTGTCTAATTATATTTATTGTATGTTAATGTTTTGGAGTCAGATTAAAATTATATTTTTTTTCTTTAAAAAGCATTGTTTCAAAAATTTTTAAAATATACATCGTGGTTTAATTTTTATCCAAAGCTCCTGAGATGAACTTTATTTCTTCTATTACTTTTACTTTTGTTGTCGACATTCCTGGAGTTTGTGGAAGCTTAACTTTTTTCTAACAAGTGTATCAGTAATTGTTTAAAAAAGGAAATGAAAAAATTAATTGCGTGCTTAAAAGTTAATATGGATGAAATTCCGCAAAATTCAATGCTCATTTTAAATATGTTTTCAATTTCGTTTTAGAAAATTCTTTGTTTGTAGGTTTTTAATGCGAAGCGAAACTTACAAATGTTTCAAGTGCAGGCGAAGAACGAAGCCTCACTTTAAATTATGTTGTCTCACAGTTTATATTATCTTTATCCAATTTTGAATTGCCGTCAGTTGTGGGGTTAGCTTGTCGACCACGGATTCGTTAGTTGAAATCATCAAGCAACTAAATCAAGAGTTTTTATGCAACTCTTGTGGTTTTGAGCTGTGTGATCCTGTTCGTTTACAAAGTTGTGGTCATGTTATCTGCAGTAGCTGTGCAAAGCAGGGATGTACAAATAACTTTGAAAACTGTCCAAGTTGTCATTCTCCTGTCTTAAACATTATTAAAGATGGCTTCACTGCCGATCTTTTGCAATCTTGGAAAGAATTTCGAAAGAAAACCTTTCTTTTGAGCGAATATCAAAGAGAGGACCTTGATTTTACTTCTGAAGAGGCCTCTTCGAGTCAAAGTTCTGTTCCTTGCAAACGTAGTAGACAAAGGCGTTATGCTAGCCCTCCTAAGACTAGAAGCAAAGAAGAGGTTTTTTTTGTTGATGTTCAAGAAGAAGAATCTAAAACACCTAACGGACCCAAGAAGTTGGCGTTTTCTGTTGCTTCTCTGTCCGAAGGTAATCCAGGTTATTGTCCGAGTAATTTTATGTACGAGAGTGATGAGGATAACAAGTTGAAAGGCACGGACTCGGCCACACTTTCATATCCGACACGCTATTCGTCTACAGAAAACAAGGAATCTGTAAAGTCCATTTTGGAGACTCCATTTGAGTGTATGAAAGACTGCGACGACAATACACGGACAATAGACTACGATTCTCTTGCCTATGAGTCACCAAAGGAGAGAGTATGGCCAAGAAAGTCACTTAGCTTTGATGATATTGTTCCTTCATGCAGTAATGCAATGGATGACTATTTTCCTAGTGTTCACCGCGACATTAGCCTCGAAGAGTTGCAGTCACTTGTATACGAACTTAATGATATCCTATTTAGGATTTCAAGAATAAAACTATTTTCCATGTAATCATCGACAGAGTGTCATGATGGATTGCTATGTGATCGATCATGTAAAGCCGATTGATCACAACATCGTAGTTACCATGAAGTTTCATCACACCTTAGGTTTCTTTTCTTATTCATTAGTTTTCAAGTGGAGAACGCATAGGAGCTGGACGTTGTCTGGGAGGCATAAACCCTGTTGCTATATTGAAAGAGTGCGTTGTTCTGTATCCATCGCAGTTCCAGGAAAATGGGACGCTTTTCATATAGGACACCGAAGACTAGTTGAAGTTGCATCCACTTTAGGTACACCAGTTTTAGTCACTTTTGAAAATATGGCGTCTCTTTTAGGTTGGCCTTCACGACAGCCTCTGGTTGCTCGAGAGTTTGCTCCTCGAATACTTTCGAGTTGGGAAGAACAGTTATCAGTGGTTCCAATAACAATGCAAGTCATACCTTTTGAAAGAGTCAGATATATGAGGCCCCAAGCTTTTTTAGATTTTCTTCGTTTACAACTTGGTTGTGAAGGCGTAGGTTCTCTCTTTTTTAGAATTGGCCATAATGCACTTATTTTTGTAGCTTGTTTGTGGAGAAGATTGGAGGTTTGGATATGGCGCTCAAGGAGATATTCATTTATTGAAAAAGTATTGTGCAGAATACAATTGGAAATGTTGCATAGTTGGTTCTGTTTATGTTTANGTGAGTATTTGTTGGGTTTGTTACCGTTCGTACCACTCAATGTTGTTGTTCATAGAATATTTTAGTATCTTCGACAGCAGTACGACATTATCTCGGAAAGGGACAAATGGAAACAGTTTCTCTGTTGTTAGGTCGCCCTTATTGTGTCATTGGCAAAGTTGTGGAGATTCGGAAGTTTTGTTGTTATGTATCGCAGTTGATCAATCAGGTACCAGTTTCGGCCAACTATGAAGCCATCATAGAACAGCAGAAGCATTGTTATATTCACGTGATAAATGGCGAACGAGGAGACAGTTCTTGTATTCGAATAGAGAACTGTACATGGGACCATTCACTTCAATTAGGACAACCACTCAATATTCATATTATTCGTAAAGTTTTATCGCATTCCATATACCATTTCATATTTTTGATAATCATATGACATTTTATATATACTTGGCCGATACTTTTACAAAGAATTGCAAGTGTTCTAGTTACCTTCACTATTTTTGTCGAGTTATCTACGAGTGTTATACACCACAGCAGCCACACAGACGGTGAATGATTCTTTCAAACAAAGAAGGTTGAGGTCTATTTTCAATATGAGCTCCATCGGCAATATATTCTTGCTTTTCTTTGCCACTCAAATGAACAATGTACGCACCATCTCCATCGTCAACATATCTGATTGTCTCGAGTGATCAACATTTCTATTCACACGAAGTATGGCTTACTTGTGATGTTGCTTATCTAAGAACTCTTTCACAGTTCCCTTTAAAACAGGTCCATGTTCGCTATGATGTCCAGCTCCGGTGATTATTTTAAGTTTCGTACCTCGAAAGTGTTCCAATTTGGATTGTAAACGATTCAACGCTTCATCTTTGTGTAGATAGTGAAGGTCAATTTCATCGTCGTTCAACAAATCGTTTCTCTCTCTAATTCAATGTTGACAATCCATATCATTCTTTTCAAAGTATATTTACGCACCTAAATATTTGTTCTTCTGCAACAGCATTCAACTGTTGAACCTTTTCATCTTGTTGATGACCAAACTCGGACAACTGTTTAGCTCGTTCTTTGTTACCTTGCTTATACGCTGTTGTAGCTTCTTCATAATATTTGTTTCTCTGTTTTGTAGCCTATTCACACCATTAATGGATACAAATATCAATTTGTAAAGGTTTCGATTACTTCTTCTGCTAAAGCTCTATATTGATCTCCTACAGTGGAGTGCGTCCCAATCAGGTTCAATATTCGTTTCCTGGCACTGAACGAGTTTTTCAAAACCAAGGATAACTAAACCCTATTCATACTTACCTAGCAACTGAAAGTGGCTCTCCACTAATAGTAATGTTCGTTTCAGGAGAGTTTTGTGGAGGAACATCAATTTTGGCGTGAGTCTTTAGAGTCAATTCGTGGATAGTTGTTCCTTGGTGACCAACAACTAAGAATCGAATTAAAGCGTTATGATAATAGATAGTTATAAGTGTTTACTTTTGCCGTGTAACTCTTTTGGGACATCGACATATACTGTGACTTGGCCTTGAAAAGTGTGAGAACAATCTCCTTCAACCGTCATTTTCTACAATTCTCTCATCTCACATGTCCATCATCCCTCCGTTCTTCTTACACAATACTCATCGTTTGTTGTGGTGCTGTCAAGAATATATAAAGGAAAAAGATATTCAGAGTGAGTTTTCTTGGAATACTTCTCTATCCGTGTATCCCGAAAGAAATGTTGCCTTGTATAGAAACCATCCTAGACGAGATCTCTATCAAATATGGAAATGGCTCAGTTTAGGAAACACTGTTTGGAGTAGTTGGAATCTACTGGAAATATTTCAACAAGATCAAAATTCGTTGTCGGTTTTAGAAAGTAACCTTTGTTGGAAAGAATTTTCTTTAGACGAGCTTTGGACACAACTATCTATGGAATTGACTCGTTTGGGTTTTCATCTTTCGAACGAAAAGTACGCGCTTCGAACAGCTGTTTGTCTTTGGATATATCTAAAGGAAGGGACTCAGTTGGGTCCTGAAGAACGATGTGAACTTTCAAGAGTCAGTTTCTTATTGCAATATAGTTCAGAACCAAAGCAAGTGTTGAGGAGGGAAGATGTATTGAGTCGGCTATCGAGTTGTGCTTTGCTATTATTAGCTTTAATAAGTTTTGAATGTTGGGAGGATATGAAAGAATATTATGGGTTCCTAGTATCTTATTGTAAGGAACATTTCAGATTGGATTGGATTTGTCTTGTTTGGGAAAATGAAATAGAAATTGAAAATTATCTTCAGACTTATTTGGATGAAACTGGAGATATTCAATTGGTAGCTCTTGTGTCTCTTCATCTATTATTGACTAGAACAAGTCTCAAGATGTTTTGGATATCAGAATATCGTCGAATACTGGAACAATTGTCTCAATGGGAATGGATAGAGGAACTCAATGTTTTCTGTTCATCCAATAGGGAATGTCCTTTAGATCTATCTCTTCCACAAAAAGGTAGAAATGATCATTTGGATGCGATGTGTTATTTTTGTAACAAGTCACTTGTACACGTACCTTTTCAAGCGAATCAGAATACCAATTCCATTCCTAGTTTCCAGTCTTCTTGGAGAATATCAAGTTTTAACCATCCCCGAAAGTTTGACTGGCACAGAGTAAGTATTGTTCTCATAGGTGGACTATTGGAACGAAAATGCTTTACTTAGGTCCATTATTGTCCTTGGTGTAAGAAAGAATTGCCCAAATGCTGCGTTTGTTTATTCCATTTGTCTTGTTGGAATCCTAATTATGAGCCACCTGTTATTTTTGATAAGCAATATTACATGAATCACTATTCTACTGATATTATGGAAACTAGTAACTTTTTTACTTGGTGTGTTCATTGTCGACATGCCAGTCATGTTGATCATATATTATTATGGTTTCTTGGTCATCCACAACCAGAATCTGTTGTCAGTTGCCCTGTTTCAGGATGCTCTTGTGTATGTATGTCTTTGGATAAAGGACTGCGATGAACAAACCGCATATTCAGGAATTCCCATCCACGAGCTCGGTGCGAGTTGGACACGTGCCTCATTCCGTCCTTTTCATTCATCATCATCCAAAAAGTTTGTTGTAGAATTGTCAATAGGATGGAGATGGATGGAGTGAGTTGTTTTGTGGCAAGTCTAGTTACCTCAGACTCAGCTCATGTGAACAAACCATTATCTGACGTACACAGAAATCAATTACACAACGGTGGTTTACGAAGTAATAAAGCTCGACGTTGTCATCAACCAAGGATGCTACTTCGTCCTATGGTTTCTGTAACCGACTTTGGTTGTTACGGTATAACGGAAGAGATAGAACACAGCTTGCATAAAATAACTGACTGGGGTACGCGTTCACAAGAGGACCAAGGCATTGTCGTAGATTGTGAACCGATTCTGGACAAACTTCATATTTCCTCCGATTCTTCTAGTTCTTCTTCAAACTCCTCTGCCGAATCAAGAAAGGCACGAAAGTTGGACAAATATGGAAGATTGTCGGTGTTAGAGGACTCTTCTCCTATTCACAAGAAAGAAAAGCGCAAAGCAGCCAAGAGACTCAGACTTGGGTCTCTTAACAAAACCCTAACCGAGAATAGGGATTCTCCTAGAGAGGTCCCTTTTTTATGGAAACAGACGCAAGTAACTGGAGAGCTTTCAAGTGATAGTGAAAATGTTCAGTTGGGTGTTTGTTGTGATAAGAGTTGTTGTAGGAACAAGGGTTGGCAAACAGTCCATCAGGTTATTCTGCAAAGGGAACTCGGAAGAGATAGTGCCTTGGAAACCTTGCCTATCAAGTGCAAAAAGCTTTGTAGTAAGAAAGGCTTCACGGTGACTATTCAAGGCAAGAGTTTTGGAAATATGAATGCTGATTCATTTTATCAAGTTTTATCAAGTACATGGAAACAAGGTGAAAGGGTTCATGAAGTGATGATGCGTCCGGCAGCTTAACTTGTATTCATATCATCGAGGCAATGAAAAAGTGTACAATAAACAATACTTTGAAATTGTACCCATCATTTTACATCTTGTCGTACTCTACACAACGTTGGTGCAAATTGTACGATGAGTCAATACTCCGAAGAACAACTTACCACCAGGCACGAACAAGGAATACACAGTTTAGAACTACGAGCAGGTATTGAAAGACTTCGGAAAAAGTTGGGAAGCAAAGAACAACAGCGTTCCAGATTATCAGAGGAACGCACAACGACAACAATGACGAGGGAACCTGGAAACTTACAAAGGTCACCTACTCCCATTGCCTTGGACAGAATAACAATTGAAGAGTCACCTAGAAAGAAAGACAGAAAACCTCTTTCAACAAGAGTTTCTTCTAGTTCGCCAGATAAGCTGAATGGAGCCGAACTCGGAAAGTGGAACGAAAGTGCTGTTGAAGGTGGACAAACATTGCACTTACGGACAAGCTCTTTACCGAGAGAGTCTAGAAGAGAAGATACACCAAGAAGATCCTCTTCGAGTCCTGACACCCACTTTTGGTCCTTGAGTTCGCCAAAACTTTCCAAAAACCGTTCAGGAAACTTGAGCGACTCTAAAGTTGTTGAAAGTTGGACCGATGAACAACAGGATTTTCCACCTCGTAGTGTAAGTAGTTTTAAAGCACTGGGAGTAATATCTAAATTCGTTCAGTATTCGTCAGGTTCTTCTAAAAGTCCTACTCAATTTAGATTGAGCGAACTGGAGGGCGCCTCAAAGAGGACAAGTTTGCGTAGCCACCTTAGAGTCTCACCAGTGAAGAGCTACGTTGGTTTGACTGCACAGAGAAAGTCCGATAGTGAAGTTTTTCAAGAAGTGAAAAGAAGAACTCGTTCTGCGTCCTGGGGAAATGTGGACGATGTCACGACTCCTAATAACCGTGAAAGGTAAGGAATATTTCAGTTCTTTGAGTTGTTTAATGGATTCATAGAGTTTCGACTGTGGAGAAGCAAATTTATACCAAAGATTTCGAAAGAATTCTGCAGAAAAGAAACCTTGCAGAGTGGAAGAAGAGAGCGGACAGGCTTTCTAAAAGTGACGACTTGAATCATTATCGAGATGTTTTAAGTTCTCCACCTTCAGCAAACAAGAGAAGGTCGGCACCGAGTAGTCCTAATTATGAAAGTAAGTGGGTCTTGTCAGAAACTTCTATATAACCCACTGCATTCCATAGAAGATTACTCGTTTTCTGATAACAATCATGAAGCAGACTTATCGATGGATAAGATAAATACTGCCTTTGAGAATCTGGGAATACATGTATGAACAGTTTTTGTACATTATCGTTTGTCAGACCGACCAATATTGTAGGAAACCCATATATCTGACTCAAAATCTCCTGCAACAGAAGATAGTATTCGAGAAACCTATGAGACAGTAGAAAACCTATCAGATAATTCGGAAGATTCGATGGATGAAGAAGCAAAGAGCTTGTCAAACGTAGACAGTGGTTTGTTTAGTCACAATTCCATTCCAGAAGAACCGAAACTGCTTTCCATTATACCTTCTGTCGAGTTTGAGTTGAAAAGTCCTTCAAGAGAAGATTTTATTGCTTCAGAGCTCATTGGGTAAGTTGGCAGAGTCTCATTGTTCGTTAAATTGACATTGTGTCTTGTGATAGGGAAGGGGCGTATAGCAAAGTTTTACGTGCAACTCATAAACCGACCGCCAAAGAGTATGCAGTAAAAGTTGTATCAAAGCAGATGGCCCGAAAGTTGGGACAAGAAGGAAGACTCATTAACGAACAGGTTTGTCTTCAGATGGTTATCGGTCATCCATTTATTGCACGTTTGGCTTCTCTTTTTGAGGACGAATCTTTTCTGTATTTTGTAATTGAATTTTGTCCTTATGGAGATATGAATAATCTTATTAAAATTGCTCGTCGTAAGAATCGAGCTTTAACTAAAGACACTATAAGATTTTATGCAGCCGAGCTAGTTAGTGCATTGGAGAAAGTGCACAAAGAAGTATGGACGAGTTGACAAATTTAGACCGGCAATTAATTATTTTTAGGGAATCATTCACAGGGATGTAAAACCACAGAATATCTTAATTGGAGATCGCGGTCACTTGAAACTGACGGACTTTGGCATTGCAGCTCGTATTCAGTCTCCCAACAGCAATAGAGACACTGGGGATTTCGACAGTAGTTTAGATTCAGCAGATCGGAGAAATTCTTTTGTTGGTACTTTCACATATATGGCCCCTGAGGTAAATATCTTTGCATGACATTATAAAGAACGATGTGAATAACAAACCTTTCTATAGCTTATTCGGGAGGAAGGAGCCTGTTTTGCGAGCGATCTTTGGGCATTGGGTGTTATCTTATATCAAATGTTTACTGGAGAAGTTCCTTTCAAAGGAAGTTCGGACTACTTGCTGTTTCAAAGTATTTTGAAAGGCCATGTTGAATTCCCCAAAAATTTTCCATCTGCGAGTGGTCGAGACTTGATCGAAAAGCTTCTAGTAACAGATGTAGATATGCGCCTTGGAGCCAAAGGCTATGATGATTTGAAGAACCACTCGTTCTTTCGAGGTATTCGTTTTGAATTTTTAGACAAAGTTAGTTGTCCTAGCCTATTTTTGTTGCTTTTGCTTATTTTCTCAAAGGTTGACGCCACAAAAGTTTTGGACATTGGAAATAGCTCTTCTCAGAGGAATGCTTTGAAAACGGTTGGCAAGACTATTGGTTCCATTTTTAGTGTGGTTGGAAATGTTGCCAATTTGGCTTCGTTGGCTGAAATTTGGGATTCATCTAAATGTATGTTGACTTATTGTTGACGAGAAATGGTTTCTCAATACATTTATTTTTTAGTTGGTTCTGTGTATGAGAAGGAGTTGGATGATTCCAATGAGATGACTACCCCATTAGAGCTGTATATTAGTCATGAAAAGTGAGCATTATTTTATTTGTCGTAGTAAGTTCCTTACTTTGCTTTTAGATGGAGGCAGTCTTCAAGAAAAGTATTGAATCTTGCCGTGGAATGGACTGGCAATTTGGTTTTAAGACATCCCGTTGAGGTTGGTGTATTTTTTGAACTTTCAGAGATATTGTTTTGATTGGATGAAAAAGGTTGCAAAGGACTTGTTAGCGAGAGAAAAGAGTATTTTGGAAGAAGCTGATCGAGATTGGGCTCTTGTTCCATCGGATGAATATAAGGAGTTTTTAGTGGCAGCGGCACAATTACAGTCTGTTAGTCCTAGTAACTTGACAGATCCTGAACGTATTGCTTTTTGGACTACGATGTATCACGTTATGTTCCTTCATATTTTAAAGTTTCTTACTCCTGTGACAAGAGCACTAAGAAACGAACGTTTTTTTCGAGATGCATTTTACAGAATATATACTTTGGATTACTGTTTGGATGATATTGAGTAGGAAAATTTTGTATATTTTGTTGAAAGCAAGTTGTAACATGCTTTGTGTATCTCATAGATATGGTATGTTGGGAGCTGGACAAAAAGGAAGGAAGCCGTATTTTCTACCAGATGATCCCCGAGACACTATACGAGTGCAAGAAGTTGAACCTGCTTGTTTTGAAATGCTGCATAAAATTCGAGTGAGCAGAGGCTTCTGTGAATCGTTTTATCAGTAGAAAAAGACGATAACCTTAAGAGAGATTTTGTCTTTTAATGATGATGGATCGATCAGCTTAGATTGTATCCCTTTTTGGAATTTTGGGTATAACTCATGCTATCTTTTTCTTATTATAAAGGGTAACAACCACTGTATAGTTGAAACTATTTGATATATAGAATATAAAACCATTCAAATTTCATGTCGTCTTCAGAAAACTCGCAAGATTGGCCACGTGAAAATGAAGACCAGTTTATGTGGCGTTTCAACAGTTTTCGTTCACCGGAGCCTTCCACGAGCGGTACACAGCGCCGCTCAGAGACAAGTAGGTTTATGGAGAGAGAAAGAGAGATTACTCAAGGTGTTAGAAGAAGACAGCGTTCACTTTTGCCTTCTCTTTCTCGAATGGTCGGCTTTGAAAGTGAACGTGGAAGAGCAACAGGGTCTGATAGAGAGCTGTCACAATCCTACGTAGAAGCCTACTCCACCAATATAAAGAAAACAAAACAAGGCAAAAAGAAATATCAGCGAAAGACAGCAACTTGTAGTCAATTAGAAAACCTTATGGAAGCTTTGTTCTATCGAGAGTGTGGATTTGTGAAAGCGTCATCTGGGTCTTGTCGTTTTTTTCGAATAGTTTATCGTGCAATAGTTCCGAATGGTGGTGCAACTTTAGATGTGAAGCTTCCAAATATAATCATCCGAAGGTTTACACCCGATGGAAAGTATCTGGTTTGTTTCAGTCAGAATCAAAAGGATTTAGTGGTCTACAGGTTTGTATAATGATGAGTATGTTGGTTGTTAAATTACTGAATTCGAATCAGGTATGTTGGACCTCATTTTTGCACTAAAGGTCCTGTTTCCGACATAGAGTCCATGAATAAGGAAAAGAATCATTCTGATATTCTTAACTCTTTCGAACATTTCTTTTCACTTCACTTTCAAAGGACTGTTGCTTTAAGAAGTGAAATTCTTTGTAAAACATTTTGTATAGCTGGGTTGAATGGAACCTGTTTGATTGTGGCTTCCTGGTCACCTCCACAGGCTTCTAGTAGTATCGATGATAGAGAAACTGTTTCTAGCACAAGTAGAGAAAGACCTGCATTGAATTTCGTACCTTGTTTGGAAAAATTGAGTTTACATACTGTAAATGTAGAAACTGGTTGTTTATGTGACAGTTGGAGTCTTCGGGATGACTTTGTGGATTTGGAAAATCATTCCGGTGTGCATTTATTGGAAGATACTTTATTGGTTTTATCTCTACGTTTTCAGGTGAGGGAGTAAATGACAATTTTTTACACTTTGACTCAACACGCAGATATAAGAAGTTGCACATTTTGAAGCTACTTCCTTCCGGAATGTTGGTACCCTTTAAGGAAATAGGTCCTCATTGTTTTGAAGATGATTCCCTAGTGATAGCTCAAATGGAGGAAAGGGAAAGAAGGTTTCGTCTCAGTCTGGAAAATCACAAATGGTTCTCATTAAGAGGAGTTCATTGGAATTTTGAACCTGAAGAGGTTTTAGAGAGTCGGGTAGAAAATACAGGTTTGGGAAATGGAATGGCTTCGAGAGGGTTTTATGCAGGATTGATGCATCGCATTTTGACTTATTTCTATACTCATTCAATGTATTCGGACAATGTAGACTCGAATTCTCGCTCACAATTCTTTGATCGGTTTCAGGATTATACTTCATTCGTCATATTGAAAGCTCAGCTTTTGGACACTGAACATATCATCCTAAGATTGGCAAGAGCAGAAGATGCTCAAAGAGCCATGGATCCTTCGTTGATGACCTTTTTCTTAGGTTTTTACAATATGACAAGTACTCATTTTGCGGCTATTTTGTCCAACAACCATAGTGAACTTGCAAAGATTGTAGAAAATCATAGCAGCAAGTTTTTACATACCTGTATGTCTTCCGATTTTTATTATGGAGGATCGAGTCCTACTATTCGATATCGTTTTTTACTTGGAAGCGATAGAACTTCGAAAGAAGGAGGAAACTGGTCAGAGCATACAGTGAAACGAATTCTTTCTTCCATACCATGTTCTTGTCAAGTGTTTCATCACAGGTATTGCATATTTGCTTGATCCTATTTCTATATTTTGAACTTGTTGCTAGTCCTTATTTAGATAGAAAACTGTTCTCATTTGATGAAAGCAAATTGTTGGCGTTACAAGGATACAAAATGATTCCCTGTAGTGATACAGGAGTCATCAAGTTTACTCTTTCATCAGGAGGGCCGCTACGGTTCAAACTTCGTTCAGACTTTCGTCCGCAGTCAGAATCCGCAGAAAACTGGAAACGGCTGACTAGTTTTTTGTTTCATCCAATTTTTCCGTTTGTGATTAATATGCAGCAAAGTTTGTTGGAGCCATTGCAGATCAACTTTTACTACCATTTAGAATGATCGAGAGGATGATGAAGTGGGTTTAGATGATTGGCGCCACACTTGTCAACAACTATGGCACAAGATGAAAACAAAGAACAACCAAAGAAAGACTGGAAGACGATAATATCTCCTCAGTATTGGAAAAACAGCGTATCTTTGTTATTCACAGATGCTGAACAAGGAAATTTTGTTCTCCCTTCGTTGCAAAGCGTCTCGTTTTCAAAAGCTAGTGAGACGATAGGTAAACAAGTAAAAGAGTCGGCAAAAGAGCTTGGTGCTTTGTTCTCAGCTGAAGAGTGTCCATCACAACAAGGTTCGAAAGAAGCTCCTTGGGAAGTTTTGACTGCAAGGGAAAAACCTTTTGCAAAAGAAATTGAAGAGAGGATATTGAAGATAACGAGTGACTGTTACCGGTCTAGAAAAGAAAGGGAAGAAATATTTCTTTCATTATCTTCGTTGAAAGATTCTCACTTTCGGTGGTCAAACAACTCTTCGGAGAAGATGAAACAAGCTATGGCAGCTCTGGAAAAAGATCCCATACTGCCAGACTTACGAGCAGGTTTGGTACCGAAAAGAATGAGTGAGGAGAATTTTTGGCGCCAATATTTTTATCTCGTAGAAAAAGTGAAAAAGTCGGTGGTAACGAATAGTCAGTTTGGACTGTTTGACGAGTGGGAGAGCTGGAGTGATACTACGAGTCACCCAACTTTGGAACATAGCCAAGAGAATAGTGATTTGGATAACGAAGTAGATCAAGTGTTGAATGATGTTTTGGAATAACACGATTGAATATCACGTTGTTTGAATAAAACTTTATTTATGATTTTAATGGAAAAGCAATTGTGGAGACGACAACATCAGATGGGTCCGAGATATGAAACGGAACGGTTCCGAACTTTGCTCAGTTTTACGAGTAGTAGTGTGGAATTGAAATGCTTCCGTTCCAAACCTATTTATGGATGCCACAAGTCAACTATTTTAGGGACAAAGTTGGTTGCGCAGAGATGCTGTTCTGTAGCGAGTTGGAGGAGAAGGAACGCAGCGAACACACCAGTCAGTGAAAAAGAGATCCGTTGGGTTCTACACGCTAACTTGTCATTTCCGAAAAAGAAAACAAAAAATCCATTATCAGGAGCTTTTACTCTTTTAGGCGTCTCTTGTGTGTTTCTTTTAGGAAGACCGACACAGGCTGCTATTTGGAAGGGACAAGGTGCTAGGTCCTTGGAACAGCACACTGCCTTTGTAGAAACAAAAAGTGATACAGCTTTTGACGAAAAGTTTCTAAGAAACGAAAAGATCACGGAAGTTCCTGCTGCCGATTATTTGGAAAGTTGTGTGGATAGGGACTTCCAGTATAGTTTTAGTTGGTCGAGAACTTACGAGTTGTACACGCTTTTTGGTTCTTTGGCGTTTGTTGTGGTTTTCAACACTTTTGCAGCTTTCGTAGATAATTTTATTCAGCAACAGGAACGGAAGGAGGTTCAAGAAGAGATGGAACGATTTGGTCGCTTTTTATCTCCCAAAACAGAATATAGAGATGATGTTAGCTTGGAGAAGGTAGATATTAACATGTGGAAAGCACAACAACGAGAACGTTCTTTCTATGGTAGGGAATTTTCCGCACAAGATATGTTTGAAGATAATAACAACCATGACGGTGAAGAAGAAGAAGACAATGATGGAGATGAAAAGAACAAAGATGACGGTGACGTTGACTACAAAGGCTTGGAAAAGCTGTTGAAGAAATAGTCTTGTTGAAAGTATGCACAGATTTGAGTAGAAATCGTATGGACGTTTTGTTGGTTTTTTGTTTCGATAAATACGAAAAAATTTGTGCTGAAATCTTGTGAGTGTACGTCACAATGGTTGTAGAATTAAAAATTTGCGCTTTATATAAGCGATGTAGAAGACTGGATGAGGACTGTCTCTATTCTCGAGAGCAAAAAGTGCTCCAAGTTCTTCTTATAAACGAGTTAAAAACAAGTGAAATGGAAGAAGACACAACAGGTATTGTTCTTCTTTAATGGGTGGTCGAAAACTGAACCACTTTAGATTTTCCTTGTCCAAGTGATGTAGAGGTGGCACTCGAGGTTTTGTTTCAAGACTTTCCCGGAGTTTTCGAAATTCCAGGTTTTCCTCCTTGTGCACTGCAGAGTCAAGTTCAAGCACTGGTAAAAGACAATAGCAAGGTGGAACCTGAACTTCGGCACTTGATATTGTTTAACGCCGTTCGTTCCTTTCACGTGGTCGTCGGCGGTGTGGTAGATAGCGTTATCGTAAGAGAGAAGGACTTCCGAGAATACGTCGAAGGTTTAGTTGACAAGCAAAATGAGTTGGAAACGAGAGCAATCCACTATTTTATCGATAGGATACTCAAAGTCTATCGGGGCAAGTTTCTAGAAGAGTGGAATCTTGAACAGCATTTTGGAAAGGAGGCACTAGAGTTTTTACCATACTGGGTCCGAGTGGGAGTTTGTGTTCGACGTGATAACAAGAGTTATTGGCTATCTCTCCCCAACGTCGGTAGGTTTTTGAAACATTGTCTTCAAGGAAGGAAGGAAATTCTTCTCATGTTGAAACGAACTCGGTTCCATGAGATAGCAGTCAAGTACGATATGAATATGCAATACATTTGATATTCTACTTACACTATACGTAGAACTTTAGAGAAACGAAAGTTAAAACGTTCCAGTTTTCCACCAAAGTTCCATCTTCGAGAGTTGATTGGCGGTGGTCAAGTCGAGCAAATAGAAAGTCCAGCGGGCACGATGATTCGTTTGGAATAAAGTTGAAGTTAGCATATCTTCCTCTCATTCAATTGGGAATGTTTTTATCTCATGAATTGTTGGCAACGGGGCAAAACGCATCGCATAATGGGACCCCCTTGACGAACCCCTTCGGCCGAAAACAAATATCGGCCGCAATTGCTTCAACAGAATTGTATCGAATTCGTCGTTCCTCGACCCAAAATTTCCAGTGTCACGTCGTTGATTCAGTTTGGTTCTTAACATACGTAGATATGGCAACAGCAGTAGAAGGAAAGCAAGAGTCGGCAAAGGACACAAAGTTGAAAAAAGCTTTTGACTTGAAGTCTTTTTTGAAGGACTTGGCAGCAGGAGGTGTAGCCGGAGCAATTTCTAAGACGGCGGTGGCCCCTATTGAAAGAGTGAAGTTGTTACTTCAAGTGCAGTACTCTAACCCACAAATCCCTGAAGAGAAACGATACAAAGGCATAATTGACTGTTTTAGAAGAGTTCCAAAGGAACAAGGGTTCATCTCTTTCTGGAGAGGGAATATGGCGAACGTCATCCGTTACTTCCCCACACAGGCCCTTAACTTTGCCTTCAAGGATAAATACAAGTCCATCTTCTTAGAAGGAGTTGACAAAAACAAACAGTTTTGGAGGTATTTCGTTGGAAATCTGGCAGCAGGTGGTGCAGCAGGTGGAACTTCTTTGTTCGTGGTGTATCCTTTGGACTTTGCTCGTACGCGACTTGCTGCTGATATTGGTAGAGGCGAAGGTCGTTTATACACTGGCCTACTGGATTGTTGTATCAAGACTGCCAAATCAGTAAGTAGATATACCGATATATAAGAAAGTTATCTCACGTTGGTTATATAGGACGGAGTTATTGGTCTTTATCGAGGGTTTGGTGTTTCTTTAGGTGGTATTATTGTCTATCGCGCAGCCTTCTTTGGTTTATTCGACACTGCAAAGCCTCTACTGTTGACTGGCAAATTAGAAAACAATATATTCTTGTCTTGGGCTATTGCTCAAACAGTTACAACGACTGCAGGTATCATTTCCTATCCGTTTGACACGGTTCGTCGAAGAATGATGATGCAGTCTGGTTTACCTGCGGAGAAGAGGTTATATAAGAATACTTTTGACTGTTGGATAAAGACTGCCAAAAATGAAGGTTCAACTGCCTTTTTCAAGGGTGCACTTTCCAATGTTATTCGTGGAACGGGTGGTGCCATTGTGCTAGTATTGTATGATGAGTTTAAGAGGTTGCTATATTAATTCAAAAGGGCTTCTCTAATCAGCAATGTAATGCATTAAAAATATCTTGGTGATTTTTGTTTGTTTGTTTGCTTTTCTGTCTTCCTTAAATGAGTTTTTAATAAAGGGCGAGTTAACTTGCGCCGTTTCATATGTTAAAAAGTGGAAAGACATGAGTTTACGGTCTCTGTGAGAACCCTTTTGATGCAGCGCCACGTTCAACGCTCCCCAAAAGGGCGATTTCCGAAGAAAACTGCAGCATGTGTGGAAAATCCCCATTTGCTATTTTTAGCAAATTGCGATTTTTCTACATGACACGATCCTATTGTGCGTGTTTTATTAGCACTCGTTGAAAGAAATGGGCAAGCAGTTGAAAATGAGTTTGGAGCCATTGAACTTGGAACTTTTATCACCTGTCGTGAATATTGGACCATCATCTTTGGAGACAATGACAACAGCTCTATTACAAGATAACAACTGTTTACTGCAAGAAAGACAACACCTTGAGGAATTGGACACAGGTACCCGTTCTTTTTCTCCTAGCAGAAGAAAACTACTTCATGCATGCGCAAAAGGAAATGTCGATACAGTTAGGAACCTCGTGCAAGAACAAAAAGTTTCACCCAACTTTTACAACTATGATAAGAGAACACCACTGCATTTGGCAGCAGCTGAAGGACATCTAGAAATTGCTCAAATACTTGTTGAGGCAGGAGCATCTTTAACTACTTGCGATCGGTGGGGATGTACACCGATCTTTGATGCAGTGAATGGAAAACATCAAAGATTGACCCAATACCTTTTCGATGCACTTCAGGACAACATTGCACCCACCAGAAGACATTCTACCTCATGCTCAACTCCCTTTGGAATAGATTCACAATATGGTTGCTTGAATTCTCTCTCATCGGGACGCTGGAGTCCTTGTTCTCTGGAACGTCTCAAAAGATATATGCAGAATGAAGAAAATACCTCAGAAGAAGCGCAAGAGAGTGAAGGAAAAAATCGAGATGATCGAGGAAACTCCGATCAACTGTATCACAACTCAATATCTCACCTTCAACAAATCAATGAGGAATATACCCGGAAACAGAAAGAACTCCTTCAAATATTTCAACAACAGAAACAAAGCTTAGTTCGAAGAAGAATGTCTCGAATTTGTATAGATCTGGAAGATTAATTCTACAAACTTATAGGAAAGAGAAAAACTGGGTACGACAAACCTCACTTTTCACGGTTCGAGGTTGAGTCGGGATTTTCAAAGTCTTTCTGTGCAACTTGAAGCGTGGCCAGAAAATCTTTGGAAGAAATGACTGGAGCTGAACCTTTACTCCAGGGCTTTTGGTTAGTCCTGCAAAGTCTTGTCCCTAAAGAAAACAGGGTTTAGACGATTTCCTGCAATCATGGTGTCCCTATTACCTGCAGTGCTCTGCAAAGCTGAATACAAGGCTTCATCATATCTTTGTTGCAGCTTTTTTTCAACTTCTTTCGCGTTGAAACGAGTGCTTCGTTGAAAACTGTTTACTTTGTTGGACGAAGATATCTCAAAGTCCTGCTGGACGTCCACAGTCGAACTATTCTGAACACTCCTTTGCACTTTATTTTCTGTCTTTGTATTATTCACGGACTCTATAAAAATCTGAGTGTGTAGGCTTCTTTGAAGTGAAAGACAATCTTACCTTTCTTGCCCCGTCCACCACGTCCCCTTGGTCTACTGTCACATAGTACGAGAGCATCAGTTTACTGTTCCAATTACGATAGCAAGCAGAGATTCATACCTAAAACTTAAGTTACCACGACTTGGTCTATGTGTGTCTCCTCCCATAAGTTTAAAGACTTTTTGGTTCAAACTCAGTCAACCAACGGCCCCAAAAAAAATACTACTGCGCGGTTAATAATATCCGAAATCAACTCTACCGATGAAGAAAATCTTTTCTATTGATGAAGATAGTTTCTTAAAAGCATTTCGGAAAGAGTACAAATAAACAGCCATGTGATAACATAATGGGTTAGGTTTACATATTTTTTATCGAAGAAGAACATCAAATATCTTCGAAGAGAGAGAGAGAGAAAGCATGGACACTCTTGTATAAACTCTCTGAAAGGAAACCAATGAAACCCATGTCGATTCTTTCAACATGCAGTTTGATATCGATGAATACTATTTACGTTATTGATTGAACCAGCTTTGAAAAAGCGATATCTACTCACACCATTTCCTATTTGAATACAAATCCAACTAAAACTTGAAACAATCAAAACCTTTATTCGTCTGCAACAAACCAAAAAACATATCATACTACGATTTTGTAAAGTACAATATGTTGCAAAAGATAATCTTTCTCCAGCATACACTCTCTTCGAAGAAGCAGACTGAGATTGACGTGTCTTTGGGTTTGAAACTGTAACAATACAAAAGCAGGTATAAAAAGAAGTGGAATTGAATCAGCAAGGATCACCTGGCAAAACTCGTCAAAACCCCTCTACCAACCATTTCTGGTACTTCTGCTGCCAGCCAAGGTCCCAACTAGGAAAGTAAGAAAGATATATATGATGGAAGATGACAAGTTGCTTACACTAAGAGCCAAGCAGTGTGCAATACCAAAGCGTGGTACGTTACGTGACCATAAAGGTTGAAAGTGTACAGTCTGACATATTTTACCACCACTGAAAAGAAACTTCAGATAGGAAAGGATAGCTTTTGAACAAACGAACCGATACATTTTGGCAGTTTTTCCTTCCAACTAAAAAGGGTTCAAATCGAGACAAAACATAAAATAGGATAATGACAAACCTCAGGTAATACAAGTTCTGGTGGAGTTGTTGGATAACTCACTGGAATCTCAAAAGTAAGTTCGAACTCATACCTAACGTTTTCAAGGTAATACCAACACTTTCCATTCCAAAGTATTCCCTAAACTCCAACTTTAACTTGGCTTCCAACGAACCATAAAAAGTACCGTTTCATCACAATCGATGTAAAACCAATCGTTGTCTTGTTCTTTGTTGAATTGAACGTACTTGAAAGTTTCAACAATAAGAAGAGAAATGAGAAAAAAGGCTTACGTGAATCAACGCACTAAGTTCTTCTTGAAGCCTTTCGTTCCATTTGTCCTTATCTCTCGGTCCTGTTCATATAAACGGCATCTAAGAATGCTTACAAATATAACGAATACTGTTTACCTGCCCGAACACTCAAGAAAGGAAGCTTTTGTACGGTATTCTTTGTTTGATCGTCCATTTTGAGAATTCCCAAACAATTCTTATTCATTCAGTATTAGAGAGAGAGAGATAGTATGTTTTTCACACATTTCAGTCAAGAAGACTTGAGACCCTCTTATTTTGAAATGTTCGCTCAAGAAAGACTTTTACCAACTCTTAAACCAGCATTGCGTTTTGTGCTTCAAGTTTTTGCCCAGAGACACTCAAGGTAAGCAAGCTCAGCGTGGAGTAAACTTGTAAACTGTCGTGGTATAGTCTAGTGCCAGTGGCTATGAAAAGTGATGAATTGTTTACCCTGTTGCACTTTTTATTGGAATTAAATAGTCTTAGGTTAGTGACTTTCTTCCATTTGGGGTTATCCAGTTATGAGTTGTTCTTGTAGAAAGAATCAAGCGTCTTGCGCTGAAGCTTTCTATGGTTTGCGAAGAGGACATACATTTTCTGCTCGCGAGGCGTCAAATATAGTTGGTACGTTCAAATTAAGGTTGCAGCTTGTACCTTGTTTTATGACGATATTTTTGTATAGAACAAGGGCCGCTATCCAGAAATGAAGTTATTTCCAGTCTCTTCTGCCTGGTGTTCGTTCCATACATAAAACAAAAACTAGATAACATATATGAAGAGGCTTCAGGAAGTGCGCTTGCAGATATGTTTACAGGCTTTCGTGCAGTGGTGAGATATGTTTTGTTTTTGTAAGACTGACTATCCATGTCCAATAATTCTATAGGGCTCTCAACAGGAATCGGTTATCAAAAACTTGTTTGTTCAGATATATCCAACTTTTCATGCCTTATACCAACTGTGGTTTTTCCTTCAACAGCTCCTTTTTCTATTAGGAAAAACAAAGTTTTATTCGCCTTTACTTCGCTTACAAGGTTTGTTGAAGTAGGAGCATACTCTGATGGTTGCCTATTAACGCCTTTCAAGGCATTGTGATTCGAAGATTAACTTCAGAGGAACTAAGAGCAACGCCAAGTTACGATGCTTCCAATTCATCCTCAAAATTGGTTGGTTTCGTGGATAAGTTGATCCACTTACTGAAGATTACAGCCATTGGAGGAGTATTTGCATTCAAGTTTTTGGAATGGTTGGTTTCTGCAGAGGTTTGTCAGTTTCTTAGTTGGATACCACAGACTATCAATTTCTCAATTAGAACAAGCTGCCCAAAAATGCCGGCTTTGTTCCTTCTCCACCAGTACCTCTTCGACCTTCCAGTAAGGGCATTTCGTTGCCAGCGGATAGAACTCTTTGTCCTCTTTGTCACCAACCTAGAAGAAATCCTGCTGTCTGTGTACGTATATTATCATAAGGTTTTCAAGCTGTTTCAAAGTATATTATCTAGGTTTCTTCTGGTTATGTATTCTGCTATCAGTGCCTCTTTACATTTGTAGAGAGGGAGTCCCAGTGTCCAGTAACAAAGATGCCATCGACCATTCATGATATTCAACGACTGTTTCACGAGCAGAACATGTAAATAAAGTTATTGATAGAAACTGTAGTTGTTGGAAGTTTACAATTCATCAAACAGCACACAATATTCCATTTCCAACGAATATTTCTCAGCCGCAGAAATGAAAGACTTGGCGTCGAGTGGATTCTTCGTTGGAATGGACAGATAAGAATAGATTGCTGTTGACTTGGGATTGTGATTGCCTATAGGATTTCAAGCTTTTCTTGTTCTGGAGCCTGGTGGAAGTGCTAAACATAAAAATAAAATGGCTATAATTAACAACAAATTTGGCTATTCCTTATTATGGTATCCTGTTTATCAGTATTCTGACAATACTAGAGGTTGTAGAACTTGCTGCTTCCAAACAGCCCCTGTGTTTGAAAATAGTAGGTTTTGGCTGAAGAGAGGAATGGTAAACAAACCATTCGCTAAAAGACACTACTCGAAGAGAGTTCAATTGATATTTTGCAGGCTCTATTCGACTTCTTCGCCTCGTGCACCTTTGCCTTCAACGAAGCAAACAAGAGAGATATCTTATGATGATAGCTCAAGCCAAGGTGAAGAAGCTGCTGTAGAAAGTGAGGAGATTATCTCCCAATCACAAGTTTCAGAAAGATATAGATCAAAAACTATGAGACAGAGTCGACAAGATCATCTATCAACAGTGTATTTGGCACAGAAAGAGTATAGTCGGTTTGAAGAAAGGCCTGACACAGAGTTTACTGACATTTTCAAAGAACTTCGCAGTTGGCTGGTTGAGGGTCCTGATACTGCTTTCAAGTTTTCATTGGCTAGTGCTGTTTTAGTCTTTGTAATGTCCGTTCTTCTTCAAAAAATGTTGCCTCATAGCTCGCATGACCTGATTGGATTAGAAACTATGGATTCTATGTTTCCTTCTAGACAAATTACGGAACACTTGAGTATTTGGGAACAACTATCAAGAGTTTTTCGTGGTCCCTATATTTTGGTTTCACTTACTATGGGCTTTGCTTCATTTACTCAAGCATTTGCAGGCTTTGGGTTTGCTGTAGTAGCTATTGGTATACTGTCACAGTTTGGTTGGATAGTTAATTCCAACGTATTTCAAGATATACAGCCCATTGCCGCAGTTATAGGTTCCTTAATTGGTTGGACTTTAGTTGGTTCTCAATGGAACAAAGTTCAATGGAAAGAAATCATGCCATTGTTGATTTCTTGTATGATTAGCACACCATTAGGAGCTTGGGGTCTGCAATATGTTAATCATAGTGTTTCCTTGCACATTTTGGGTTCTCTCATATTTGGTTTTGTGAGTTATTCCTTTTCTGGTTTACGACCTCCTAGAAAATGGTTTGCGAATAAGTTTGCTGCCTGGACGTTGGGTGGTTTAGCTGGAATTTTTGGTGGAGCATTTGATATCAACGGACCTCCGCTTGTGTTTTACGGTCAGGCTAAACAGTGGCATCCTGAAGAGTTTAAGAGAAATATCCTAACGGTGATATCATTAAATTCATCATTTGTGGTGCTGTTTGATATTCTATGTGGCCGTTTGAATGATTACTATATAGGACCATTCCTGCTATATTCCTTACCATTTGTAGCAACGGGAACATATGCTGGAGTAGTATTATCACAAAAGTTGGGCCCAAAAAGATTCAAACAAGCTGTTCTAGCTACTTGTTTTATTATGAGTTTGAGACTGCTAACATCCTAAAACGAGAAAGAATTTTAGATGTCGATGTCAAAATGTAAAGTTGGTTGAATGCGAAACAGAGCAATATCACTCTGCCCTTCCTGTTGAGCAACATCTCTATCATTCACCAAGGAAACATTCAAAGAATGCGGGCCTTTGTTATAACTTGCTAACATCTGCAAATTGCCATAACCTGATGGTCGGATAGCTGCATTTAATCCAACGCCCACTACTACTCCCCTCTGTTTCGGAGGTGGTCTACTTGCAAGTTTTTCCAATTTCTGCATTGCCTGCATCTGAACTGTTGGCGAGTCTCGAAACTTGGAGGCTGTCTCGTTCAACGCATTTTGCATTTCCAGTCTATATAGTCGATAGTGTAAACGTAGAGATGGAACCACCAACTCCTCTGCTTTCTTGATAAACCAATCATCAACTCGACGCATAGCCACGTGCTGATCATATTCACTAATAGAGCCGTTGGCCGCAACGGCTGAAAGTAGCATATCCTTGAATTTGTTCAATCCCTGTTGTTGAAGAAGAGCAATCTGTTTTTGAAACAATGACTTGAGTTGGTTCTGTAAAAGATTTCCTAAAGAATGTCTTTTCTGAGCTCTAACCTGAAAAGATGAGTAGGGAGCTGTACTCGTATCATAATTGTCCATGGCTTCCGTATAAAGTGAAGAAGCCTTATGTCCGAACTTATCGATAAGCTTCCCTCGACTCGTATCATTTTGCCAACGTTGACACTTTTCCATTGCGTTTTGTAGCTGAGTTTCATAGCTCAAGTCACATTGATAAGTAGCTAAAAGTTCTCTTTGCGACGGTATTCCAGACGAAATCACATGACTGCCACTTTCTGCATCACTTCTAGTTAATTCACTCCAAACCACTTCCGCATAGGTTGCAAAACTTTCCAATGGCAACTCTTTGGAATATTCTCTTTTTAAGAAATAATCTTCACTTCTTCTAAAATGTCCTAAAAAACGGTCACGAATAGCTGCGACTGACCCTTCATATTCTTCTCTACGATATCGCGGATGTGGTAAGGATACGACTTGAATATCAAAAAATTCTGAAAGTTTTGCAGTCTTATAGTCATTAGGCTTTTCCACGTTATCCCAAATATGCTCCATATCTGTTAGAATCAATTTCTTCAAGTGCTCCAGAGTTGAGCCATCGTCATGGTCATGTACAACAAACAAGATGAGAGTTTTGCTTGGATGGTCCCTTTGGAATATCTTGAGATGCTCGCCAAGGACAGTATAAAACACACCGTAGCCTGCAGCTTCGAATCTACCCAAATCTGCCAGCCATACATGATATAATATGACGTCGGATACTGCAACTGTTAAAGTCACGATGCGTTCCAATCTCTTGTTGTTCGCTGCTTGTGAAGTCCTACCGTCAGTGCCTTCCGTATCTATCAATAAAAGGTGTCTTGATCCCGACAATTGACCAACTGCCATCATGGCGCCTTTTGTACCTTTTTCTTGTTCACTTCTCTTCAACGGTGAGCTCACCTGCAAATGGGTGCCAAATAAGTGATTGAAAAAAGTCGTTTTACCACAGCCTTTCACACCGATGGCAGAAATAACCGCAAACTCTCTTGCTTCTTCAGCACTAATACCTTCTGATGCCTGACTAGGCCACTCCTCTACAGCTTCCGAAAGCAAAGAGTTGATTTGCTCTGCTACAAAGTTTCCTTGACTTGTTACGATGGGTACACCGTGGGCGGCCTCCACATGAAATATGTGATTGGATACTCTACTTTCAATATGTTCATCACCTTCGTAGGGTGAACTTGAGCCAGAGTTATCTAGGTTCATTATTTTGGTATTAAAACTTGCAACAATCCTGTCAAGATCCTCCCCCAATCGATAACCAAAAAAGTGGAAATGAGCTTCTGAGTCATATTTTGTGGGGTCAAAATTGATCCGAGTTTATTTCGTCATGTTGAGGTGAAAGTAGTATACAACAAGTTTGTTTGTAACTCCATCTACTTAATATTGTTAAATAACGTTTCATTTCCAATTCTTGACTTTGATATTTGGTAGAATCATCATCTTCGAATAAAATATGAACATCAGGACAGTAACTCCACCTAGGTGCAAACATAGGCTCACCTCTTCGATCCAAAGTATTCGTAACGACAATACTACAACGATACTTGAATGCTATTCTTTTCAGTAACAAAGTGAAAAGTTCTATCCACGACATTCTTTCATGAAAAGTACAGTCGAGACTCAACATTTGCGCAATATGAAGGCCATCGAGAAGTATCAAAGCGTTGCAAGCGATAGAGTTTATATCCGTCGCGGCACTATGCTCAAGACAACTTTCTAAAGACTCAAGAGAATTGCAAAGTCTATAAAAATCGATACATTCATCGATATAAAAATGTTCATACAACTCCGTGGATTCTGGACCTATCCAACGGCGTAAAGTAGCAAGTCTTGCACAAGCAGCTCTTTTACTTGTAGTAAAGAGATATACAGGCATATATGAAATGGCAAATAACCCAATTTGATATAAGAGTTCGCTCTTGCCACAGTTTGACCTTCCAGCAACTTCCACTATTACTGTGCTTTTGATATATTCCAAAATACTATGTAAAAAGTGCCTTTTCGTTCAATGCCTAATAGTGTAATTGGAGTAGTGACGACTCACTGTCCGACACAAGTTTCTACTTGGCCAACAGACGCTAGAGATGGATGATGGGTTTCCAACTCACTTGCAGTCTTCCAATTACAGCCAAAGTGTAGAAGGATTTGTTGGTGTACAAGTTTCCAACGCTAAATATGAAAAAGTGGTGAGTGAGTGAGTGAAGAATCAACTCAGGACTTTTCACGTGCCTCTAAAGGTATTCCTGTTTTCTCTGTCAAGTAGGACAGGTCCTCCACTTGAAAGAAATCTAAGAGACGTTTTATACCACATTGACTTTCCAAAACTTGGGCTATTTCTCTATCAGTATATAAATGAATGGATAAACCTGCCATAGAAAACAACTCAATCCTTCAACAACGATTTTTCATAGGATCAAAGGGTCGAGTCTTTCTCTTTTTGGCATTTTGGTTTCGTTTGGGTTGTGAAACCTTACTTACCTAATCGATACCAAATAAGCCAATTTATAATAATTATATTTATGTTAGACAACTTACACCGTTGTTCAAAGGACGCAATGCTGATGGCATCAAATAGCTTGGAATATCTGCCAAATGAGGGTTGGTTCGAGTATTCAAAGGCCGATCACTTTTTAGTGCCTAATAGAGTTCATATGTTTCTTCATTTTCTACTACTAGTCATATATTCACTTACCTCAAAATCTAAAGCATGGTGGGCAAAGTATTCTTTCATTTTCTCAGAATTCAACATCTCCCTTCTAATTTCCGTAGCTCGAGCTTCCTTGAGCACATTCTTTGTTATTTTGTATAAACAATCCTCTACTCGATAACGGAAAGGCTCAACTTGACTCATTTTCACTTTTAACGGATTCCATTGTTCTTGCTTCAAACCCATCCCTTCAAAGTGATTCTGTAGACGCGGCATTTCTTCCGATGTGACCAGAGTCAAAATATCTCCAGCTTTACCAGCTCTCGCTGTTCTTCCAGCTCGATGAATATAACTTATCAACGAGTAGGGACAATCCAAATTCAATACCACAGCTACTTGTTGAAAATCCATTCCTCTTGACAAATCAAACTCATTTTCTTGTTCCTTGGTCTTTTCCTTATCTAATGTATTGGCATTCGCTTTCCAACTGCTTTTCATTTTTTGGTTCCAAATACAAGCTTCATCTGTCGCAATCAAAATAGAAGATTTACCTTGATTGAACTGTTCTACACTATGCAATCTTGACAACAAAGGTAGTTCCGCGTTCAACAAACTAGTATGAATATAAAACTGGTCTAATAACAACTTGAGTCGGAATCCTTTGTCCACAGAGTTGACAAAGATGAGTATTTTTCCTTTCAATACTTGAAGTTTGATGAGTGCAAAGACCACCAAGTATTTATCTTGTTCTTTTTCCACTTGAACATAGTGATGTTTTGCCAATACTTGCAGTCTTTCTTCTTGTGTCACATCGTGTTTTATTCGAATCTATAGGACATCCCAATCAGAGTTGTTGTTTCATTCCACTTGCTCACATACCTGTTGCATTGCATGCCTTTTATCTTCAAAATGACGAAGAAAGTGATACGTTTCTTTATCCAATGTTGCACTGACAAACACACTTTGTACCTTTGCCGGTATGCTCGGCAATATCTTTTGCATATCTTGTTCGTATCCGAAAGAAAATAACAAATCTGCTTCGTCTACTACCAACCATTTCAAATTTTTTATAGAATATGTTCCTTGTTGCAATAGGTGTAGCAGTGTTGCCGGTGTGGTTACCAAAATGTGAGTCAACGCTACTTTCTGCCAAGAAGACGGTTGCTTTTGTAATAGTGCCAAAGTTCGGATGGAATTGTATCTATTTAACAATTGAAATGTTGCCGTCACTTGATAAGCTAATTCTTTGGTAGGCACCAACACGAGTGCTTCCCATTGCATCCCGTCGTGAAAAGATGTAGAGTTGGGGTCCATAGTTGACTCTTCTTTGAGTAGTTGATGGATGATAGGCACCGCATAACAAACTGTCTTTCCGGTACCTGTTGGAGCAGAAATAAGAGCGTCCTTTCCTCCGAGCAGACAAGGTAGACCTTGACACTGAACAGGCGTGGGATGAAGAAAACCTGCCCTTTGTATAGCTTTTACTAGTCGAGGTTCCAGTTGTAACTCATCAAAGGAGTCTATTTCAGTAGTAACTTGAGTGTTTTCTAACATCCAAAAATATCTATTGGTGTGGTTATCAAATACACTATAACTATTTCAACCGCAAAACAACTTTACACCCACAACAAATAAAATAATCGTCTTCATCATTCTCTATGGATGAATAATAAAAGAAGAAAGAAAACTTGTGAAATAGTATTACAACAAAGTTTGTATATAGAAAGGAGAACGATAGATAAAAAGTTATGCCATGTAAGAATACTTCTCAAATAACAGTCATATTGAAATAGGATGAAACATCTTTTTTATGTATAGTATTCGATCCTGACTCGTTCGATGATGTTGTGATGGTCGGTATGATATGATTTTTCCATGAAACCAAAGAGAGCAACTTGTTTTGCGAAAGAGAAAGAAGAAAGAGAAAATATCTTACAACAAGTTGGTCTCATTCCACCGCGACTCACGTTGAAAACAACCACTTCTCAAGGCAGTCAGAAGAACAACGGTGTTCAAGTTTATTATGCCACCCAATTCAACCACTTGCCTATTTCAAGAAGAACTTTATACGCACTCAAAGATAGCGGTTATCAACAATTAACTGCTATCCAAAAAAAGGCTTTGCCTTTAGGTCTACGTGGAAACGACATATTGGGTGCGGCTAGAACAGGTTCGGGTAAAACTTTGACCTTTTTGGTACCCATATTGGAACACTTGTGGAGAATGGATTGGACAAGTTGGGATGGTCTGGGTGCGTTGATTATATCACCTACGAGAGAATTGGCAATGCAAATATTTCAAGTGTTGAGAAAAGTGGGAAAGAATCACTGTTTTAGTGCAGGTTTGGTGATAGGTGGAAAGGATTTCGAGGAAGAAAGAGAAAGAATTGGTAGAATGAATATCTTGATAGCAACACCAGGTAGACTTTTACAACATATGGACCAATCGACTGACTTTGACTGTTCTCGATTGCAGGTAAGAATAGAAATAGTGATATAAAAATAGCTCATATGGCAATAAGATATTGGTTTTAGACGAAGCTGACCAAATATTGGATATGGGATTTCAGAGAACCATCGATGCTATTCTAAGGAATCTTCCAAAACAAAGACAAACGCTTCTCTTCTCAGCAACACAAACTCGTTCGGTAGGTGGACAGGATTGTATGACAAGTATTCTTAGGGTTGAATATGATATATCATATGATAGGTACAAGCACTGGCTCGATTATCGCTCGAAGAACCTGAATATGTTGCCGTATATGAAAAAACGCCACAAGAAGAAGATTCGAAGGAAATAGAGTCAGAAGTGGGAAGAGAGGAATCTTTTGTAGATATTCCACTTTCATTGAAACAATCTTATACTGTTGTTCAAGCACCTGAGAAACTCAATATTTTGTGGTCCTTTATAAAGAGCCATATTCGTTGCAAAATCATTGTCTTTCTTGCAAGTTGCAAACAAGTAAGTTGGATGATTGCTTCTTGTGGCCAACTGATTTATTGCATTGAGTATATAGGTTAGATTTGTATACGAAGCCTTTCGACGCATGAAACCTGGTCTAGTATTGTTGCATATTCATGGAAGAATGAAACAATCCAAAAGAATGATCATGTATCAACAATTTTGTGGACAATCCTATGCTTGCCTATTGGCAACAGATGTGGCAGCACGCGGATTAGATTTCCCTCAAGTGGATTGGGTTATCCAATTGGATTGTCCGAGTCACGTGCAAAGCTATGTTCATCGAATTGGTAGAACCGCAAGAATGAATCGGTCAGGCAATTCTTTATTATTTTTGCTTCCTAGTGAATGTGTATTTTTGGAACGGTTGAAATCCCATCATGTAAGTAGTGTTTTTATAGGTATATTATTCAGAAATAAGATTGTGGAATAGATTGAACCCAAGAAACATGTGGTGAATAAGAAAAAGACTCGAAATATATCAGGCACATTGGCAAGTTTGAATGCGAGCGATACATCGTTAAAGTATCTTAGTCAACGAGCACTTTGTTGTTATATTCGTTCCATAGCATTGGAAGGAGACAAAGAAATATTTGATGCCAGTCAATTGCCTATGGAAGAGATGACTCGTGCATATGGTCTAGTGACATTACCTAAATATACGATACCGAAAACAGTCGTCCGAAATCATGAGACAAGTCGCAATGCTTTTGGTTATCGTAGAGAAACTACTCAAGAAGCAATAGAGTTAGAGTTGGAGAAACCAAGTTTACATTTATCCAAGGAGAAGGAGGAGGAGGAAGAAGAAGAAGAAGAAGAAGAAGAAGAAGAAGAATGGTTGCATCCGGTTGATAAGGAGAAAGAAGAAGAGATGGAGCTGGATTCCAATTGGAAAGCACAAGAGTTGGAGTTGGAACAAAGAAGACTTGAAAGAAGAGAGAAGAAGGGCAAACAAAGTAATCAAATAGGGTCTCCGTCATTACTAGCAGAGTTGGGTGAAAGTGATGGAAAGGAAGTACCTAGTACCATTGACGAATATGCTCAACGAGTAAGAGACAAGTTACTACCACAACTTGAATATATCAATCAAATAGAACGTAACAGAGTAAGAGAAATGCATAAAAAGAGAAAATGGCAAAAGAAGAATGACGAATAAGAATAAAAATCCAATCGACACAAGTGTCATTTTCTTTTTTGTGTGTTGTTTTTGTGTCGGAGAAAAACTTGTCAAGATATGGAGCGTTGGCAAGGAAAGGTAGCAGTAGTTACTGGAGCAAGTGCAGGAATTGGAAAAGCCGTTGCTCTTAGTTTTGTTCAAAATGGTCTTAAAGTGGCTGCACTCGCCCGTAGAAGAGAGAGACTGGATCAACTTGTCAATGAGACACAAGGTTTGCGAGGAGAACTATTTCCTCTCCCGGTGGATATTCGAGATGAAGCTAGTCTTCTGCAAGCCTTTGAAAAAATAAAAAAGAAGTGGAATACTATTCATATATTAGTGAATAACGCTGGAATAGGAAGAGACGCACCTTTGATAAGTGGACCTTCTTCTGATTGGAGAGAAATGTTCGACACGAATGTATTGGCTCTCATGGTGGCAACAAAGGAAGCAATGCAACAACTCAAGCAAACTCAATCGGAAGGCCATATTTTCCATATAGGCTCCATGTCTGGACATCGCGTTCCTCCAGGAAATATGGGTTGTTATGCTGCAACGAAATATGCAGTGAAAGCTTTGGCAATGGGACTACGAAACGAAATAAAGACACAAAACCTTCCTGTTCGAGTGACTTTAATTAGTCCAGGTTTCGTGGAGACAGAATTCGAAGTGGCAAGAGCCGGTGAAGAAGCTGCCAAAGAGTTTTATGCAAAGACAACTTGTTTGACCAGTCAAGATGTGGCTAATGCTGTACTTTACGCATTAGCAGCGCCTAGTCATGTCGATGTAAATGATATTTGGATGAGACCGACACCACAAAAGTTTTGAAATGTTTTTGGTTGTGTTATTGTTGAATGAGTAAAGAGAGTCAAAGTAGTGTTGTAGAAAACTCAAAGCCTTGGCTATTGAGTGCAGCGGCTACTGCAGGGGTAGTTTCCCGTTCTATAGTTCATCCCATGGACACTCTAAGAGCCAATATGATGACTTGGCAAAGAACAACTTCCCATCCTGTTTCTAGTCAAGCGCCCAACTTGCAGTCGCTATGGAATACTTTTCTTTATTTGATGAAACAATCGGGTTTTAAGGGTTTGTATAGAGGGTATGGGATCAGTGTAGTGGTTCAAGCACCTGCAGTGGCAACGTATCTGACTACTTATGACTTGTGTAAAGATTGGATGAGCACGAGATGGAACAAACATTCGATTTGGTTTGTTTCCAGCTCGCCTTTGGTGCATTTATGTAGTGGTTTTTGTGCAGAAGCAGTTAGTGCTTTCTTTTGGGTTCCCATGGAAGTTCTGAAACAAAGAGTACAGGTTGGCTATGCTTCACGATATAAAGGGTTTGAATATATTGATATGGAATGGATTGAGTTAGGTTCGTTCTCAACAATCCAATTCATTTGCAGCACTTGGAGATTTGTTAAAATACGAAGGACCTAAGGCATTGTTTAAGGTGGTTGAATTTATCTATTGAAAGTATGTTTAATGGTATGGATGGACTACTGTTAGGGGTATTTTCTGACGTTGGGTGTCTTTGGTCCCTATTCCATGATTTACTTTGTTTGTTATGAGCACTTCAAGTCATGGGGAAGAAAGTGGAACAAGGTAACTGTAGATGAGGACAACTTGCCTCTTTCTGTCATTCTAGCTTGTGCAGCAACGAGTGGTGCAGTTGCTGCTGCCTGTACCACTCCCTTGGACGTTATTAAGACGAGATACCAGACTCAAGGCGATATTCTTTATCATCATGTAAGTAGGAATGACATAGTTTGGATAGAAAAGAATTGAGATTGGGTTAGGTCAATCGTTATCGAAATAGTTGGGATGCCGTTCGTACCATATGGCGTCAAGAAGGAGTGCGCGCCTTTTTCCAAGGTCTTAGTGCGAGAGTTTTATGGTAAGTGAAACTGTAAAAAGAGCACTGTTTTCATATTGGCAAAGGATTATGCCTGGAACGGCAATAACTATGTCCACCTTCGAGTGGTTGAAGAAAACTCCTCAAAAGGTGTCCAAGTCACCGTTCCTTTCGTCTACTTGAAAATTATTGTTGGAATAAACGAGACCTACGTAGTTTTATTGTGAACAACCTGAAAACTCACCTTATCCAGTCTCATTTCACAAAATCAATCATTCCCATCTCTTTCTTCATCTACACACCCATTTTTGGGAGAGTAGCGTTTGTCACCTGAGGATGCTTAGTGAACCAAGTTATTCTTCATGTTTTTAAGAGACACCTGGTGTATCAGTATAAAGTGAAAGAAACTACTATCAACGGTACATTTTAGTCTGCTTTCTTGCACACAGGTTACAGTGTTGGTTCTTGACAGTCAAAAGATAAGGTTACCAAGGTGGTGTACAAGTGACAAGTTTGTGTGGACGAAGAAAATCGGTAACAAAAGGCAACTAGTTTGTTGAGATAAACTTTACACTATTGTTTGGGTGAAGGTCAATGTCCTCTGTAGTGTGTGGTGTAGAGAGCCCGCAACCTAAAAGTGTTGTGGAAGACAGCGGTGATTCGAGGGAGGCTGCTAGTCGAGATTGGAAAGAAGAGGATACATATAATTTTCCTACCGGAACCATACAGAAGGATGAGGCAACAAGTGGTACTCCTTCTGAAGCTTTCGAAAAGGAAGAAGATACAAAAATTCTATCAGCCAAAGGGGAAGACGACAGTTTGGAGAGCCACACAAAAGAGAACCATACCGTTCCTAGTGAGCCACTTGAGCCGACTACAGAGGAAAAGTGTGAATTTTCAGAAAGAAAAGCGTCAACCTCTGCCTCTTTACCACTCGAGAAGAACAAAAACGTGGAGTCCAAGTTTGAGAACAGTGGTGGTTTGGTGGAAAAGAACGTTGGGTGGTTCGGTCATACAGCTGAGATAGCCAGCCAGTTGAGCTATCCAGTAGGAACTGTTTCTTTAACTTCGTACCCTCCGGGTTCTTTGTTGGGTCACGAAAATGCAAAGAGAATGACTCATGCCACACAACCTTCGTTTTTTGGAATACCAACGTGGATAACGTCACAAACTGGTAACTCTACACACTCAGATATTCATCCGGAGCTTTTAGCTTTACATTCATATCATCTATCAAATGACAGTCATACAATCGACGAGGAAGCAAGATCAGCGTCTTTGGTTTTATTAAAACTAAAGAATGTGACTGGAGACGACGGATTGGAATTGCCTACTATCAAAAGAAAGAAGTGGAAGAGAGAAAGTGTTTCATATTCTCAGAATAATGAGGATCATACTTGGAGACCTCGAACTTTAAAGGAGTTTGACTGTAAGTTTTGTTTCTTAGTATTTGCCAGTCTTACTAAGCATTTCAAGCTGTAGATGCGGTCGAAACCGATGCATCCTATCGTGCCTGGAAACGTTCTAAAAGGTAAGGTGACTGAAAATAGAGTGTATTTTGCTCAAGTGAGTTAGAAGTCACGAAAGTGGTGTTATTCCTCCCCAAACCGAAGTTGCTTGTAGAGTGAAAGAAGAAGACAGCGATGAATGGACTTGGGTCTTAGGCATTGTGGATAGTTATTCTAACAGCAGTGGACAGTATCGTATTATTGACATTGAAGAACTGGGCAATGAAGAAGTGGCTAAAGAGAGGTAGTAATCTGTTTGTTTTTATGTGAGACCCATTTACTTACCGATAGCTACAGATATTATTTTGTTTCCCCGAGTAATGTCATTCCCTTATCAAGTGATACGAAACATGTTTTTCCTGCAGAAACGAGAGTGTTGGCTATATATCCCGATACGACTGTCTTCTATCCAGCGACGATACGTTCTTCTCGAAAGAATGGAAAGCAGTTATACTATGCTTTAGAATTTGATGACGAGGACGAAGATGAGGAAATTGTGAAACATGTTCCTGCTCGTTATGTCATTATGATTCCTGAATAAGAATTGTGTATTATATATACATACAGCTACATATATATATATATATATATATATATATATATATATATATAAGGAGAGAGAGAGAGATAGATACTTGAAAAAGGCAGCAATATCAACCATCTTCTGGTTATCATGTGACTTTAGTCTGGAGAGTAGGTGCATGCACATAGTTCAGTACGTCTTTTTTTTGAGTGACCTAAAACAATAAACAGGTTTTCTGCCTTGGTTTTGTTCAAAGTTGTTTGGATCATCACAAACTCAATCAATTTTATTTATCATTATACTCGATGACATGGCTGATCCAAAAGCACAGCTTTGGGTAAGCAAGTCCTCCACTTTTCAGGGGAGGAAACGTGACGAGAACAAAGTTGAAATATGGAACAGTCACATGGACGTACCTGAAGACTCCTGTGTCTCGACTGAAGACAACTTTGCTTCCAACTGCTGGCAAACCGAAGCCTCACAAATCGCAAAGCAAGGGACAGAAAGTGCCAAACGAGCAAGAAAGATCGCAGAAGAAGCTAGATCGATTGGAATTTTTACAGCAGAAGAATTAGGCAAACAAACAGGTTGGTAACTGGCTTCTTGCTGCGTAGGATGTTTACGTGCCTTCTGTGACAACTTAGAACAACTGGAAACTGTACAAGATGACGTGGAAGCAATACACAGTAACTTGGGAGATGCTGAGTATATAATACATGAAATAGAAGATGGCTTCTTGGGTGAATTTCTTCCTTTTAGAAAGCCTGTGAAATCCTATAAGAGAACAGCGACTCGGGTAAATATGCAGTGCTATATTGAGTGAATGAATTGAGTGGGGTGCTTTAGGTTGAAAGTAGAACGATAGAAGAAACCAAGAAAGGAATATCTGGTCTCGATATTGATGGTATGAAGACAGGAAAGACCGATAAGAATAGTACTCGCGCTGTAGTCAAGAACCAAGAACGAAGAAAGAAGGAGGAAGAGGAAAAGGAAGAAGGAGAATCCATTTTCAAGAATCCGTTAAAGTATCTTTGGACTTGGTGGAATAGAACTGACTCGAATATCGCAGGAGACGAGATATCCAGTGTCCAATCCAGTGAAAGACGGACTCAACTCGAAGAAAGACCTCAACAGTTCACAATAGACAAAAAGCATTCGCAGACCTGCTTAACTGAGAATACATCACATGAAAGCTTAGCACCCTCGGTAGATAAGGTAAAGTTATTTAGATTTGAATTAGTTGCGAAATTTTACACATGATTTCAGCATATACGAAAACAAGATGAGGAATTGGACAAAATCGGTTTGGCTCTAAAAGATATGAAAGAAATTGCTTTGAGAATGAATGAGGAACTCAGTTACCAGGAACAAATCATTGATAATCTTCAAGTGGTACGTATTTGTATTCTCGGCAGAATGATTGTTCAAGAAGAGTCGTTATAGAATATGGAGGATGCAGATTATCGTCTGCATAGTGATTTGAGAAGAGTAAAACGAATCTAGTCTCTTTATCAGTTGATATAATATTGAGAGATGCAAACTAGAACTATTCCAACCATATAGTGTGCATCAGATGAACTATACTTTTTATTTATAGTATACGTGTCTATAAAGTATCTGAGTTTTCTATTCCATCCGGTAAGGATATCTGGGTATCCTTGTTTTCCTCGCCATCTTCCCCAGTTGGACTATTTCCTGTCAGTAACCAAATCTTAAGACCGAATTCTCCATTGTTGACTTTGTAAAAGGCAGAATGCTTTGAAAAAAGTAAATTGGAAAAATATCATATATAACTAGACAACTTACTTCTTTCTTTCTTTTCATATTGCGATATATTTGACTGGAGAAAGTGTTGTTCGGCATCAATGACAAACAATGGAATCCACGTTCTGAAGCACGTTCAGCAAGTGCTCTCTGAAGAAATCTCAATTGATATTTCATACAAATAATAAAAATCCTCCTTACCGCATCCAATGGCTTCTTCTCATCTTTTAAGATGATAAAGGCTGCCTATATTGTCAATCTTCAGTCCAGCAATCACAAACAGAGCTCTACAACTACTTCCTAACCTGCAATACTCGGTTATTCGTGAGACCTGCAGCAACATCATCATCAGTGAGCTTCATATTGAGCAAAGGACCTAATCTACACCAATATCCATAAGACATTTTAAGGCAAAACATGCACTTACTTTACAATAGAGCCATCATTTAGGCGAAAGTCAAAATCATTTCGTTTCAAAGACTCTGGAGAAATCCTCCTTATGTAAGGTCGTTTCTGAGATGGTGCACCGGAGATTTCAGTATTCTTTGGTGTTCTTTCAGAATAACCAATAGTAGAATCCGATGAAGCTTCTAACTCTTGAATTGCCCGCGTACGTGCTTTGTCTGTTTCTGTAATACTTTCGGTATCTCGACGTCTTTTCTGAATAAAGTGTGTAGCAAACCAGGGAAATTCTATCTTTTGTGGTTCTACTCGTGGTAACAAGGTAGTTTCCAAGTTCATAACACATAGTGCAAAAGGAGAACGTTGTTCCACATCCATCTTCATGATAGAAGAACAGGATGGGTCTTTCTTCGTTTCTTCCTTGACAAGACAGACATCGCAAATAATCTTTCTAGACTTTCTGTCCATACTCTCTTGCCAATCATATGGACTTAATTGTTGAGGTCGAACAGTTGGAGGCACATGCTTGGAGCAGTAACTCATAGTACATAAAGTACAAGAAGCAAGAGGATTAGAGTCGTCACCGCATTCTGAGCATCGATGTTTTGGACATTTCCAAACAGAAAGGTCGGTCAAGATATGTCTTAACAACTGTTCTTCTCCGCACATGCTAGAATATGTTGCATCTGAAGGTATCCATCTAACACAGTCTGAAGAGAAAAGAATTAGTTGCAATGATTCGGCAGCACAAATAAACATACCGGGATGGTATAACATGGCACAGTCTGCTAACCTGCATCGAATGAGCCATGGACTTTTCACATCACGTTGACCACAAATGTGGCAAAATGTTCTCTCATCTTCCATAATAAACAACGAGTCTATTTGAGCTTTGAGTGAAGGCGACATATTATATTTCTGCATGGGATGATCTACAGCTGCCCTTGGGAGAGAGTTTCGGCTAAAGGTAGCGTCTGTTCTCGCAACATTTCTTTCTGATAATTCAGCATTCTTACTTTGAGGATACAATGAAACCAAAAGCTTTGCCACTTCTCCAGTTTGATTCGGTTGGATATTATCTGCTTCTAGTGAATTTTGACTTTCATTCATTTCATTGTGGCCAGTTGCAAGCTCTTCCTGGTTCTTGGCTTCTTTAGTAAAATGGAATTCTCCCTTCATTGGAAAGCGAAATATAGGAGAGATTTTTGGCACCTCCTGCGAGGGTCCAAGATTTCCTGTGAAAAACGAAGTTTTTACCCGTGGAAGACTGAAATCCACACTATTTTTGTCATTCTGATAATTGAATCTTTTCTTTTTCTTTTTTTCAACCAGCCACAGCTGAATGCATTCTGTTGAGCTGTTGTCGGGACTGATTCTGTTATCTTCATTGATCCCAGTTCTTGTATCTTTGACAGCATTGAGCATCAGTGTCTCTGCTTTTTCCAACAACGAAACAACCCAGTCATTTTCTTTGTGGCACAAATTTAGTCAAAAACCCGAAATGATCCAAATTTCTTACCATCTACAAGTACATATTGTGAAACAGGAATGTTCCAGAATTCTGAAGCTTCTGATAAAACTTGTTTTAACAAAGTTTCAGAATTTGCTCGAAAAATACAATACTCGTTTCCAAAGAAAATCTTAATAGCAAGAACCTTTGGGTTAAAAGGAACCGAGGAAACATCCGAACTAGAGGCTTTCGCTGCTTGTGTAGATAAGATTGAGTTTGACAGGGATTCTTTATCTGGCATCTCGAAAGCACCATACTGCGTCTGAACGACTTGTTCAAAAGTTTCGTTGGAATGTGCACCAACGGGTCCCGTCTGTACACTCAAAGAAGAGTATTTGATCTTTCGCCTCTTATTTTGTTCATAGGAATCCATGAAAACGTTTTTCTTCGTACGTGCTATAAATAACAAGCTTGGAAGAACATAAAACGATCAACGAAGAGCGCGCAACAATTTCCTTAAGACAATCAGCTGCTTTTAATTCAACCAGTGTTTGATGTTTCGAACTCTCTGTTTCTTCACTATTACAGGAAAACTCCACTTTTGTTCACTTTGGGTACCTGTTAAACTATTCGAGCTTGTATTATTTGAAGTGGAGCTCTCAAGAGCCTTATTACCCTTGCTTTAGTAGAAATATGGGAAAAAATAGGAATAGTGTTATACTTTAAGGCGTTGTCAAACTATCCCACCTCTGTAAACCTTCAAGACCAGCCTTTTTCCTTGAAACAAGTTTCCTACAAATTGAGCTCAAAATGACAAGTTCTCCTCATGGGACTTTTGGAAGGCAAGGTCAGTCCCCTTTTTGCCGGTAGCAAATTTGGCGCTCAACGGCCAATTCTGAGAATGCCTCTGGGTAAGTGATTTAGCAATCCATTCGTCTCTTTAGTAAAGAAGGATTTGTTTCCCAACTAGTAACTTTCATCCAATTTAGGAACAGCAATAGATGTTGAGAAACACTCGACTTATGAGACCAGAAAGTCTTTATCTATTCATTGATTGATCATGAGAAGGCTCTCCTGAGACATCGCTGACCACTATTTCTTATTGAAAGGAATTATTAGGCAACTAACTATCGAAATCATCGCATGAATTTTTCTTCGAAATTTTCACAAAATACCCCAAATCAGCTGTATTCCCATTGAATGTCACTTTAGAATTGCTTCCAGAGAGTTGGACGGTCGAAGTTCTCGTACGAGTCCTTAAAGTTTCAGGGAGAAAAGAGTAACCAAAAGATATTGGTCCTGCTTAATGTCGGACCCTTCTCAACGATATTTCTCTCACCCTTCTGCTAACGGTTGGATGCCTCCTGGTAGTTTTCCGGCACCTCAAAATACCAACCAACCTTCGGTGCAACAACAACCTCCTTACTATGCCGGATACCCGATGCAGCCTATGTGGCCACCAGGTATGGTTCCTTCCTACGGAATGCAACCTCCTCCTACAGCATATTCGAGCATGCAACCTGGCATGTTTGCTGGGCCGTACTACATGCCAACGACACCATACGTTCCCAACCAGCCCAGCATGAGACCCAGCTATTCAAGTTCTAAAAGTCTGGTTCCTGCAAATACACAACAAGGGCCATCACAGTCAGCTACAGGACAACTTGTACCTTTCCAGGACAAGGATGTCGCGGTTTATAAAGCGAAAGAGGACATGAAAAGTACGTATTTGTTCACAGTAAGAGTAATTTGAAGTGCCAAAAATTAGAGAATAGGTTTGGAAGGTGAGATTGCAAGATATAAGTCTGAGAATTCGTCCTTGAAAATGAAGCTTTCGAGGACTGAAGAGAACCTGAAGAAATTGAATGAGGAAATTGAGAGCCTAAAGACTCAGTTTCAAGCAGCTCATTATAGAGGACCTAAAGATGGTGCTCCGTATGCGTCCATTTGTGCGTTTTATATCACAGAGACTAACTCGTGTTTGTAGTAGAATAAGTCGAGAAGAAAGGGAACGATTTCAAGCAGACTTGAAAGGTGCAGAGGAAAGAAACGACCGCTTGAGACAAGAAGTAGTTCATTTAAGAGTTAAAATTAACAAGATGAAGAACCTGGTTCCTTTAGATGTATCGGAAACACATAAAGCATTGGAATCTCTGGAACAGAAGTTTGATGTTCTTGAAAGACGACTTTTGAAAAGTAAACAAAACAGTAGTGGCGGAGCACGTCAGTTTGCAGTAGAGCAAATCATAAATATGAACCAACTTGGAGAAATTTCTGGTGCCTTGCGGGGGCTGCGAATGATTACAGAGTCTTCTTTAATGGTAAGTATCACTAAGAAAGTGGAAGTCAGTAGTCCAATATAATGTATTAGGCTACCAAAGAACGAGACGGTAGTGTACTTGGTGAACGCGAGAATTTACAGGAGATTTTGTCACATTTGTCATCTTTAGATGTACGCGTTGCAGAACTTGTCTCATTTATTTCCAACCTGTTGAAAGGAACTCTTGAAAGCTTGGGTCTTCGAAGTAACGAATTGCCTTCATTATCTGGTATACAGAATATTTCAACGGAGTTTGCAGGAAGTAAGACAGTTGAAGTTTCGCCAAATTTGCAGAGGCGAACGCGATCATTATCTGATGGACGTTCATACTCAGACGATTATGGTCTTGTGAAAGGAGAAGATGAAGTTTCCTCCTCACCAAAACAGTCTTCCAGAGTTAATGTGGGCAATGCCAATTCGACCGTGGAACATAGCGGTTCTTCGTTGTCATCGCTATCCAGTATGGCGAAGCAGCTTGGTCAGAGTCAAGCAGCTTCAGAGGGAAGTTGGAACCAACTTAATACTGCTGTTACTTCTCCAAACCGACCCATAGCAACGGTTTCACCAACACTTAAGAAAATTTCTTCTTCTGTTATGGAAAGTAAACAGACTAGTGGTCCTTCAAATACAGTGGTAGAAGATGTCACTAGTGATCTTGTCGATTTAAGTGATTTGGATATTAGCGAGCAGAAGAGGAAATAATGACGTCTTAGTAACTTGGTCCGTCTCTTGAAAACATATGAAAATAAACATCTGCTTCATGTGAATATGATATGTTTATGTTTGGTTTCACGACAGATGCACTGTGCAAAGTTTATGATCTTGAAAGCACTAACATGTTTCTATTGCTCTTCAGTGGAAGGCTTATGTTTCGTTGCAACTCCATACCGAAGTTTCCCAAAAAGCCGTGGAGCGAACTCAGACTGTTCTTCTTCTATCCAGTCTATATGCAATCCTACTTTTTTGAAAGCTTCTGCTGGAAATTCACGATCAAGGTGACAACCGACTGTAACGAGACGATGAACAGGTGCGACGAAACGTACCAATACGGAGCGTTCCCTTGAAGGCACAGCGTTATGTTCGTAGAAAAGGAACTTTCCGTTTTCTCTCAAAACACGAGAAACTTCGTTAAGAAATTGCGGGACGTCACTCACTGTGCATAAAATAAGCGTTGCTACGACTGCATCATACGATTCATCTTTCAACGGAAATGTGTTACCATCTCCCTGAATATGGTGCAGGTTCAAACCTTTCTCTTGAGCCTTTTGCTGTGCCCGCTTGCTAATGTGCTTATTTAGAGTTATAACAGTTAAATCTCTGACATAAGAAGGATAATGAAGAAAATTAAGTCCGGAGCCTGCTCCCACTTCCACTATATGGGGAACATCAGGTATCTTTGAGATGAGTGTCTTGCGGATTCTGTCCATCTGCTCGCTTCTTGCACTATCTAAAGCCTGGTATGCTTTCAAAAACAAAAGAAAAAGTAGTAAATACAAAAATTACCCTTTCTACTACATGACTATCCCACCAACGACCGAACCAAGTTAACATTGAAAAGTTCGGATTGAGAAATCCATTGCAATCGGATTGGGAAGGATTTTTGTCATGTCAACACAAAACTCCGTAGGTTCTCCCAACTTGAGAAGGTTAGGTTATTATTTCCAGTTCGTTTATTCGAGTTTGCTAACTAACTGAAGGAGAGGAACAACTTCCCGTACTTCAGGTTTTAGTACGTCAGGTACTGGTGGTGGAAATACTTCAAGGAATTACTTTTCTGCAAGATTGTATAGCGACGAAGCACCCGGTTTGAAAGTGTTCGCTTCTTTGACTTTTATTTAGCTCTCGTCTTACTTGTTTGTTTTAGGGGACCGACGTCGGTTATGATCTTTAGTTTCGTCTTTATAGCATTTGTCGTTGTTCTTCATATTTGGTCCAAGTTTCGAGGTTAAAGTGACTGTTTTGAAATTGATCAGCAACGTTGAAAACCATGCAAGTATTTTAGTATTCATTTGGCAAACAATCTAAAAGTGGACGTCACAACAACATGGTTAGTGCACGTTTTTGTAAGGATGTTGGTTTAGTTCTTTTGGATTTGATTTCACTTGCATACTTGCAAACCTTTCCAAGTTCCTCACTTGGTATTACCACCACGGTTACTGCAAAAGGACCAGTATTTGAATTTTTGCTTTCTATTGGGCAAGTAGGCACCACTCTAAAGGATGGCAAAGTATTCGTATTGGTTGCAACTCAATGCATTTGTTGTATACGATGATCACTCTTATCACTTGGTCGACATGGTTTTACTTTCCCAATCCAAAAAATGTTTTTCAACAATTTCTTTCGATAATTAGGCATGTAGTTATCCAAAATATCATCTGTACGTTTCAAATAGAGATGGATAAGGTTTTCACTACGTGCATACACACACACACACACACACGCACACATATATATATATGTTATGTATTCTTCGTGTCGAACAACAACAAAAGGAACGAAAAGTGTATTTTTTTTAAAGGATAGGTCCATCAAAGTCAAGAATGATTTCTTGTCGGTATTGACATGTAAATACCGTGATGAGCTCATTGATGGGGCATATGTAAATAATAGTTTGATTGTTGTGACTTGTGGCATTTGATAAAGTTGGTGGTTGGACGATTAGGCCAATATTTCGATATTAGAATCCATCTTTTGCCGGTTTTCAACTATATAAAGATTTCCTTGCCATTTTCTTTTATTGTTTATGAAAGTAAGCCGACTTGATGTTAGAGGAGTCGAAAAAAGAATGGCTTTAAGTATCAAAGAAGTTTATATCTTCTTTATCAATGATAATGTTTCAGTTCTCTGTCATCTCTGAATTCTTCCAGTGTTGTGAAGTTCCCTGAAGAAAGTTATCTAGAAGAATTTGTTTATTTATCTACTTTGTGATTTCCAATAAAGTTCTTCTTTTCTAGTAAATAAATTGACAAATTAAAAATGAAGTTGAATTCTTACAAAGTCGTGCAGTAAACATGACTTTGAACTATACAAGAATGAGAGTATTGCCTTGAATATTCAAATGAGAATACAAAGCATTTGTCATGTTACCGAAATGGGACTATAAGATCTTCCTATTGACCAAAGTATTTTCCGAATTTTGAATCAAAAAAGTTTGTGATGGAACCCTTTACAAGCAATCATCTTTCTCCGTTTTAGTAAATATGATTCTTTTAGCTCATTTATTATATATGGGAAATGGTGTTTGAAGAATTCTTTAAAGTTAGCCATCATGTCAAAGAAGAAATATACGAAAGGAATTAAAGAAAATAAGATTCCATACGTTTCTAGTCCTAAGCAACTCTTTTGAACATCCGATTAAAAGGGGGAACGGAAGTGTTTTGCAGAGAAAGAGAAGTCAACCCGATTATGTTTTATATCAAAAGATATTTCGGGGCATTCATCTCACGAATAGAGACATTTGTACAATAGCGGAGTCCTGCTGGCGTCTTGTACGATAGAATAAATAGTTCCATAAGTTCCGATGACAGTGTATGCAATACCTAGTACAACCAATATGACGCAGCCTACCATCTTTTCCTTCCAACTCATCGTTGAACCCTTACATTTCCAATAAAAGAGATTAGGAAAAAGGAATCCGGTCAATGGAGAAAATAATGTGCCACTTAGTGACTCAACATCGCTTAAGTAAGGAAAGAATATATTTAGGAGCAACACTAAGCCCGTCGTACAAAGAGTTATACAAAACCATGCTAGCATTCCGATGATACTGAAATCATCAACATAGTGTTTACATAAGCGGAGAGCTATAGCACGGTTTAAGATTAAGCCATGAATTACAAATGCAGCAAGTATATGCAGCCACAGGAAGGCATTTGCCACTCTTTTCAGCAATCCAGCGGACAAAGCAGAAGTTATTGGATTGACCACTGATTTCCCATACACTGCATAACCCAGGACACCAACAAATGTATAGAAAAAGAAGAGAATACCGTTGGCTGTATAGATGGCTTTCCAAAAATCTTTTGGTTTTCTCATTTCGTCCATGAATTCGATAAATACAAAGATGCCTATCCAAAATAAAAAATGGATAAATCGTCATACATCTCCAAAGCAACATATATTACCAGAGTATGCAAAAATGATATCACCTGAGCCAGCAATTCCTCTTTCCAATCCACCTGAACTAATCAGTTGACCATGGCTCGTGGATGATATGGCATCTTTAGCCTCCTGAATTACAGTTATGACTAGAGTAACACATATGCAAATTGTTCCGAAGAGGGAATACCAAGAAATGAAACGAAGAGTACGTGTTTGCATGAAAAAAATTAAAATGCCACTGTTCACGAACATCCAAATGATTAAGCAAGAGTCTGGGTTAACAGTCTCTCGAAGGGCTTTGGAGCTCACTAGCAAATACACTGGTAAGAACAAAAAAAGGTTTGAATACTGGACAATATAAACTGCCCATCTTCCAATCGTTCCATAGACCTGTTCACCTAGGTCTCCATACGTTCTTATTTGCGGTATCATAAGTCTCATCCGATACAGTAGAATACCACAATATACATACACCAAACACATCAAAACCAAGAACAGAATACCCAATAACCATCCCATGGTAGCCAATGCGTAAGGAATCGCCAGAATTCCAGCACCCATGATGTCGCCAAGTATAAGAAAGACACATCTCCACCAACTTAAATGGGGTCTACGTAGCGTTCCATCAAGAAGGTAATTTTCCTTCAGCTCATCACAAGAAGCCAATTCAAGAGAAGGGATATTTTCCCTATCTTCCTTTTGTTCTTCCTTGGTCATATTCATCATTCAGATAATGTCGCAATTTCTGCCACATACTAGAGGAACCATCGTATTTAAAGAAGTTGGTCCAATGCATTTTCAGTTTGTCCGTTGGAAATCCGTTACTTGCAATCCGTTGGAAATCTACTCATTGAATTGGTTATGATGAAATGGACATCATTTTATATCAATTGGATTTTCTTTTCTGTGATCATCACATATGGATGCTTGTGAATATTTAAAGCCCGAGGTATTCACAAATGTACCTGGACCTCGTTCCAAAACTTTGATAAAACAACTTAATGAAGTTCAAGACTCAAGGAGAGTCATAGTATTTACAGATATGGAAAAGGTACAGCATCTATGGGTTTCACAGACATTACTGAAAGACGGCAGAGTCGTGGTTGCTATCTTGTAGATGCCGATGGAAACGTTTTACTCGATCTTTTCGGTCAAATTGCATCTCTTCCTTTGGGATACAATCATCCTACACTACTTGAAGCTCTCAAAAGTCCAGAATTCCCATCATACTTTGTACAGAGACCGGCTCTCGCAATCTTCCCTCCAATACAGTGGTACAAAGTTTTGAAAGAAGCTTTGTTAAGTGTAGCACCTAAAGGACTCTCAGAAGTGTTTACTTTTTGTAGTTGTGGATCAGTTGCGAATGAAAATGCTTTCAAAGTAAGCAAATTTGTCTACTTTGCTCAGCACTGAAGCTGTCAAGGCTGCGTTCATTTGGAAAGCTTCGATAATCAAAGGAAGAAATACTCCTACTGAGGAAGAGTTGAATAGCGCTATCGGAAATAGACAGCCAGGTGCACCCGAAATGGCCATACTGTCCTTTGAAAAAGCTCTTCATGGTAGAACTTTGGGGGCTCTATCGACAACACATTCGAAAGGAATTCATAAAGTAAGGATAGAGCTGCATCTTCATGGAGAATTCAAAAGTTCTCTTTGGAATATAGGTAGATATTCCAGCCTTTGCTTGGCCTATTGCTCCCTTTCCTAATCTTTTGTTTCCATTGGACAAGCACAGAATACAGAATGAATATGAGGAAGAATATTGCTTGCAAAAGATAGAATACATACTGCAGACTTCTGCTATAACCATTGCTGGAGTCATAGTCGAACCAATCCTTTCTGAAGGAGGGGATTTAATAGCCACTCCTTCTTTCTATTGTAAATTGAGGCAATTAGCAGAATTTTATCAGATTGCTTTTATAGGTAAAATCTGTTTTATGGTCTAAAAGTTGGACACATTTCTCACCAACTTTACTTGAAGTGGACGAAGTGCAAACTGGCTGCGGTTCAACTGGAACGTTTTGGGCACATGAACAGTGGCAACTCGAAAATCCGCCAGATATTGTCACCTTTGGGAAGAAGATGCAGGTGTCAGGGTTTTACACGAAAATGGAATTTCGACCCCCTCAACCGTCACGTATTTCAAACACTTGGATGGTAAGCATGTCTGGCATGGATCGTATTTTCCAATAATACCTCCTTTATTAGGGCGATCCTCTTCGTCTGTTGCTTTGTGAAAAAATCATAAAAGAAATAGAGAGTAGGCAGTTGCTGGAGAGAGTCAGTAACGTTGGAGCCTTTATTAGCCTTGGTTTGGAACAGCTAAGCGAAAGTTATCCGGAAACAATATCCAATGTCCGAGGATTAGGAACCTTCCTTGCATTTGATAGTTCCACTGAGTCTATCCGTGATATAATTCTTACAAAAGCGAGAAACAAGGGTCTCCTTCTGGGAGAATGCGGTATAAAGACTGTTCGTCTTCGACCTCCTCTCATTTTGCAGCTGAGAGAAGCCAAGGTTTTTCTCGAACTCCTTTCTCAAGTTTTAAAAACTATATCTTCGAATTCAGACTAAATCATTCGATATGCGAAAGCTACCTTATCTATTCTTGAAACCTTTTACTCTAGAACTGCAGGAAAAGACAATGCCTCCTATAGCTCGAAAGGAATCTTTTCTATCACAATAGAAGAAACGAGACGAACCGATATCCGCTTTTTGTTTCACCTATTCCCTTTGCCTGCTTTGTCAAAGTTCATTTGCACTTGATAACTTTTCTGTTTTTTGGGGGTCACTTGTTACCACAATCTATAGCAAGGGAGACAATACAATCTGTTTCTTTGGACAACGGAAATAGTTATCTTTAGAATCATTAGGATTTAAGTTTGATAGGATCGATTCTTTTCTATGCTTCTAGTTTGTCAACTCCGCTACTGTTGCATCTCCCTACTAAGGTAGCTTTGATAATGCTGTGCAATGCTTTGATTGATTGACTCATCACTAGACTCTCGAGTGAAGCTCCTCGCGACTTGACTTTTCAGAGTGTGGCGCTTTATATTATACTACTTTATTCAGATCACCGTTCTAAAAGCATTCTTTTTAGATTGTTCATCTCATTTTAACTATCCAGCTACTTGTCCGCAGTTTTTAGACTTTTCTCATTGAATGAATAGAAAGTTACTATTATGTGTCAGTTGACTATTTTCAAGAACTCTTTCATTGTCATTGGAACTTTCAAGTGAATTTTCTTTGGTGCTTAATTCTCATTTTTTTTACAGTACGTATAATCTACGATTATATCTTTGTCCTCCATCGGCAATGCATGTGTTTAGTTTCCTTTTAGAAAAACAAATTCCTTGCTGTCTTTTGTTGTGTCTTCTTTGGTCACTTGAAACAAACTCAAATCACTCGGTGTTTTAAAGGTGGACACTTGCTTTCTTATTTCAAAATGTTCAAGTCTCTCCTGAACGCAATCATCACACGGGACATACAGAGTACAGTAAATTTTTAACATTTATGTTGCAATATCACTTGTACCAATAATTCATCAATTTTTATCAACTCTTGAGAGTACTGAGAGTCCATATTGACATAACTCAATATCATTTACTTGATGCATAACTTTTGCAATTATAGTGATTTGCTCATTCTATCCAACGGTTTTGAAGGCCCTTCAAGCAAAGTTTGAAAGGATGCTTCTTTCAACACTCCCATTGTACTAAGTAGCCTAAGAATCTACACTTCTCCTCTAGTTATTTGAATATAATGTCTTTATTGACCTTCGAATTGGGAACTTTCAGATATCCTGCAATAAACCGCTTCCTTCAACTTGCTTCTTTATTCAACATTCTTTTGTCAAGTTATGCTCGGGATGTTGTACTGTTTCTAGTTAGACTTGGCTTATTCCGTGAAAATTGCACTATTATCCAACATCCCAAAAAAATGAACAACAAGAATGGGTTACGCGATTTGGATCTTGACTATATTATTAGTGAACAAAGTAGCCATCTTCCAGAAAGAAACATGTGTCTTGAGTCTTTAAACTGCAAATACTTATCAGGATGTGGTATCGATATTTTCACAAAGAAATAAACATCACTTGTCGTTGAGAGCTTGATTCAAACCTCCGTGTCAACCTTATTCAATATCATCGCTATGAAACTTTGATCCTATACCTTTTGAAATATGGTGAAAAAAGTGTCCTATCTTGGGTTAAAGGCATGATGGTAACGATATCCATGAAAAAGTGAACAAAGAAAAGTCCCACAATCCTGCAAACAACTTTATCTTGGAGTTGAGCTGGTCTTCTGGAGACTTTGACTTTCTTTCACGCTAAACTGCGGTACTTCCAGTTTGATAAGAGTCCTTTCCAGACACACAAATAAATGTGTGGAAAATTGTAGGCTATGTAATTAACAAAAACACGGATTCTTAACAACAGCTTAGAATAACAATTCTGCGGGTAGAATTATTCTGAAACAACACTCGTCCAAACTAAAACTCAGTGACGATCGGGAACCTTCCACTTGGCTATCGTCTCGAAAACACAAACAAAGAGCAGAAACTAAACAAGAATAGTTTCTTCAGAAAACGCTTCAAAGTTAGAGTTGAATTGGCACGATCTAAAACACACTATTTACTATGTTAGATTCAAGCATACAGGAGGAATAGATGAACTGTTACGAAAGGTGCGAATCCCAGCTTGGAAGGCACAAAAACCCGTGGAGAACTTAAAGATACTCTGTTTCCTTGCATTCTGAGCGCTTCAGCAATTCTAGCTAAGTAGTTTGGATTCACGGAACGCTCTTTGAGTTTATACATATATGGATCTCAGACAAGAACAAAAAAGAATACTCAGTCCTAGTATTGATATTGAAAAACTGGCCAAAAGGTGAGAATTTTCGTGTCAGTCAACTAACTACGAGCAACTTTTTGCAATAAGAAGGATTGCCGATTTAGTATCACTTATCAACTTCGTTCGATATCTACATTAAGAATTACTTGAGAGTGTGTGGAACAAATCAATTTTGGAAGTTGTAGCATTTTTGCTCTGTTTGGTACAGATATTTCAAGGCAACCTTATATTAAGAAATTAGGAAGGCAGATTTTCTCTGATTTCCAAGATTTCTAGTCTTATTCTTCTTTTTCTAGATGGCAACATTTCCTTCAAAATAGCCAATCTTCTTCTGTTGCCCTAAAGAGAACAGAACACAGAGGAGTCACTGTTATCGACCAATAGATCTTTATTGACAAAGGCTAGTTGATTGTAAGCTGAAACATTTTATATAATTAATAATAGCCTGTGAAAATAGTCCTTGTTTCATGTTGACACAACCTTTGTATGCAACTTTATGCAAAGAGACTTTACGAACTCTCAAGTCCCAAGTTAGCCTGCTATGTATAAGAGTAATAAAGGTCGAACTGCTTTTGACTACTCTACAGAGGACACCGACAACAAGTACGAAAACATCATTATAACGGGAAACTATTCATGATACAACTGGTGGATATAATGGAGTTGCTATTTTCTACAAGCATCAATTTTTTTCTTCTATTATTCAATCCCTTAAGGACTCTTGAAGAAAAGCTCCTTTGATAACATTACTGTCCCATACAGTAAACGAACATTTTACAGATAACAGGAGGCGGTTATCACTTTTAGGGCATCGGTTATTTGCAACGTTCGTCTCGTTCTTTTGGAGACGACTTTCGTTCAGGTGCAACCAAGTAGGACGCCTTTGACATATTTACGTCTGTTGTGGTAACTCGTAAAGTAGACGTTCTTCTATTATCAAAAAAGCATATGAACTTTGTCTTTGCCTAAATAGACTTGGTACAGAAATAGATAGCCTCACGTGAATTATGAATATATGTTTCACGCCGCAATATTTTGGAAACTACAAGACTATCCTTTGTGTTGCATCTACTTGAAGTTGATTCAGAGGTTTCCACAACGTTTCTTTCTTCAGACTATTGACAAAAATCTTTTTGGATAACTTGAAAAATGCAACATTTCTTCTTTATTTGAATTTAGACGAAACGAACCGACTCGAAAAAAAGTAAAAAATGAGTAGAAGCTGATGGATGGTTTAAATAGCTTATCCTGCTGTTGGCAGAAGACGAGAAATAGTTTTCAAAGAATGCCGTACAGAATCAGATAAGCTAGTTAAAAATCTTCCTGCAATTTTAATCATCCCTTTGGACTGATATCTTCTGCAATAAACTTCCTGAATGATGAGAGGCAAAAGCCCTCTTCTTTCTCCTTAACTGTCAAAAATCCCACAAAACGCACCCTCTGGTAGATCCCAGTCAGTATTTATTCCACGTTCGACGATCATCGAACAGTCTTTAGTTGGGATCTATTTGTAATTGAGGTGTCGGGTATTTCAAGTTGACAGAGACTCTTCTACAGTACAACGAAGGGTTAGACACCGGAAGGTGCAAAGGTTCTTGGAATAGTTTTCTTGTTGAAAGAGACAGCTTTTGCTGGGGTGAGTTTAAAGTATAACTTTGAAGGCCAGCTCAGCTTTGTCGCAGTCGTTGTAAATGAACGTAACCGCAGTTCTACCAGAAGTTGTACAACAAAGAGGAAAAGAAGAACTACTTGAGCACTGTACACCAACGAATGACGACCAAAAGTCTGCCAAGGAGAGTGGGAAGAATTTCCCTCAGGTCTTTCACAGATGTGGGGATCTGGGAGTGGGAAGAGTGTCAGGACAGTCACAGTTGGAATCTAGAAAGTCTTTCGAATCGGGTAAACCGCCTGTTGTTCGGATGGATACTACCAAGAAATCAACAGGAGGACAAGAACGAGTTGCCTCCTTCACAGATGCTGTAGGAGAACAGTTGAAAGCAGATTTCTCGCCGTTATCTCGGAAGTTAGGCTTATCTTTCGGGGATAAAAGCTCCTGTGTTTCAGAAAATAAACTCATGAGTCCCTTTCGTTCCACGTTGTTGGAGACGTCTACGTTGACTGAGGATTTGAGGAATCTGGGGCTTAGCTCAAGTGAAGAGGAAGAAGAAGAAAATGAACTAAAAGAAGCTTTTAATGGGAGGAGAAGGTCCCTTGACGACAAAAAATTGTGTGAGGATGATAGAGAAAGAACAGTAGAAAGGACAGAGCCTGAGACCTGGAATTCTCCTTACACTGCAGAGAAGCTCACGAAGAGGAATATTGTCCAGTCGTCATCTTATCCTCTGTTTACTTTCAGACCGTATCATTTCGATACTAAGGATCTTTCAACAAAGGAACTAGAAGATACTATTCGCCATTCACTTTCAGAAGCAAATAGGCAAACTGTGTCGCCGCCCTCCTCCACGGAAACATCCTCGTTTGTAAACCAGGCAAGGTCGAATCATACAATTGAAACATCTGATTTGTCTGATGCTATTTCCCCGTATGCTCTACAAAGGAATGCTTCTTCAACTTTTCCATATTATTCAAATAATAATGTCCCACCTGCGCCTTGGATGACACGTTGGAAAACTAGAATGTGTAAGTTTTATCCAATGGGCATGTGTAAGAATGGTTCCAAATGCTCTTTTGCACATTCCGCGGAAGAGTTGCGTGAACCTGAGTCATTTGGTCAGTCGCACTCAGCAAATGAAGTTGTCCAAGCTTCTGGTAGTTTTTCCTTTTATGATTTGGAGAGCTCGTATTTAAGAGCACAGAAACTCGACTTGTACGGTTCCGAAGGTCATGGTGTTCCTTCTGCTTCATTTAATAACAGAAGTTTTGTTCCTTCAAGACCTGATAGTGTCGTTGGGCATAACTTTCAATCAGTCGACAATAGTATGGATGAGAATTTATCACCTTCCGCAAGCGTTTATGGGAATAACCAAGGGAAGTCTGTTCCACCTGCGCCTTGGATGACGCACTTTAAAACAAAGATGTGCAAATTTTTTTCTGCTGGCGAGTGCAAAAATGGCGACAAATGTTCCTTTGCACATTCAGTAGAAGAGTTGAGAGATCCACCACCTCCGGAAGTAAACGAAGAAAGGAGGAGAAGATATCTGAGGAGACAGTTGCAACAAGTTGGTCTGATGAATGAGCGAAATAGCAAAGTTTTATCATTTGCTGGGGAACAAGAGAACTTGTCCAGTCAGGGTATTCCAGACCCCTTTGCAAATATCAACTATTTTAGAATGCGAGAGCAATTATCAGGCAATAGTTATGATCCGTACTATCGAGACGTTCCAAAGTTACTAAGTGAACAGGGCCAAGCTAGTGGAGCATTTCGTTCTCCTAAGAAGAACCTTATGTATTCTTTATCATCTCCGCAACTTGGAGGTTCAGCGGATGTTTCAAGTAATATTCATCGATCATCTTCCTATTCTTTTCTGGAATTGAACAGTGACGTATTTGATAACGATTTGACAAATTGCTCGGGTCAATCTGCTTTCCCGTATTATGGAGACAGCAATGTTACCCACTCTAAAGGTGCGAATCCCGAGTTTTCGTACGTAGGATCGTATAAGGATAGTTTGAGGAGAAGTGTGGATTCTAGCAGCAGGTCTTCTTGTAATGTTCGGAAAGGACCAAGTACTCTTTTAAAGTCTTTTAATTTTTCCAAAATGGCTGATCCTCTGTATCCTGTGGGTTCAGGAAGTCGAAAAGATTTCAGTGAAGCAGAAATGGAGGCGACTTCGGATCAAAGGTCACCTGATTTGATTAAAACACCACGTGCCGTTCAACAGGAAGAGATATGGGATGAAATAGACCGTGACATTCTTCATGTAGTATTTGATGAAGCTATGGAGTCAAAAAACAATTGAAGTGATCAAGTGTTTTCTTATGCTAAATGCAAGGTTTTATTTAGTTTGAAAAGAATTGTTTTGTATATTCTTTTTTCTGCTGGTTTGTATGGAGATAGTTTGTGTTTTGTAGTAGGGTCATTTCTTCTTTCTATTCGAGACCTTATACTTAATGGAATTGGGTCGTTCTAGGCGTTGGAAAGAGAGAGATTGTTGAATAAGGTTTGTAACCATATAAATGTATTGAGCAATGGTTTGACTTCACCTTACTTACACTTATCAATCTCTATATCATATATACGTATGGTTGCGTCGATGCCTCCTGCTGCAAGTAAGAATGCAACGTTCCCTTGTTTGGATATAAAACTATGAGGATGAAAACATACACTAACCACACAACCACCTTGTATGTCAATAGTTGCTTTGAAATCTACTCTATCTATAGAATGTTCGTCACGCATCCTTAATTGAAGCAAACAAACTCGACCATTTTCTAATCCTACTGCCACCAAATAGCTGCTATTGAAGCCACAAGGTGCAAATGATATACAACGAACACCCGTATCAAACATATAACATATGTTCGTATATTCTCCGATACAATGATTCTCATCAATTGCCCAATGAAACTTTATATATTTGTCTCTGGATGCTGTACAAAATAATCGTTCATCATGTGACCAACTTGCATCATAAATAATGCGTTGGTGAATATTCTTTCGATGTACAACTCTTGTCCAAATGCCATTCGAATCCTCTCTATGGATAGCGAACGAACGGTCTCTCGATACGCTCAATAATAAACCATGCATAGAAAAGACCAAACGAGTTACCGTCAGATCATGACAATACAATATTTGTTTCTTCTCTCTCTTATCCATATCCCAAATAATAATACAGGCATCCTTGCACGCTTGCGCTTGGCATGCAGAAGCAGCCATTTTTTTGGGTGGAAAGCAATTACAAGTAACAATTGGATTTCCATGACCATATAGTTTGGCAACTTCAGGCCACAAGGTTCCTTGAGAAAGTGTGTTCTCTGTTAAGAAATGAAAAGTGGAACTTTCTAACTGTGCCCTATTCTCGGATTCATCTTGAGAAAAGATAGCCTTGTTGGTGAGTCCTAAGGCTGCCATATCGACAACTACAGCAGCATTTTCTTCAGCTTCTAGAGAGTAGTTGTCAAAATGGCTATTCTCAGAAGAAAATAATTGACGACATTGAGCAACAAAAGGCCGCGGAGCTCTAAATATTCGAATGACTTTCTCTTCTGCTCCACTTATCAACTCAAGACCATCTTCACGAACAAATCCAACAGTAAATATATCATGACCATGAACCTGAGGTCTCGCAATTTCTATAAAAGTTTCTTTCTCTCCTTTAACTGGAGCAAAAATTCTAGTGGTTTGGTCCAATGATACTGATGCCAGAAAGAGACCATCAACTGGTTTCCAACACAACTCTGAGACACCTTTTCCATGCCCACTTACTGTACCAACACTCTTCCATTCACCATCTTGAGTCAATTTCCAACAATACATTTGCCCTAGAAATCCATGTGCCCAAATGGAATCTCCTTGAGGAGAAAAATAGGCACCAAAGAAACCTGCCGTAGTGGAAGGAGCACCACCAAAGCTGGTCAATCTCTCAAATGGCATCCAAACTCCTTCTGTTCCCATATAAGACCAAATGAGTACACTCTGGTCACAAGAAGAAGACAAAAGGGCTCTTTCAGTACTCCTTGGATCTTTACAATTTGTCGACCAACGAACAGAACAAACTCTGTCTTCGTGCTCTGCTAATAGTGCTTCTGAAGTAAAGGTAAATATATTACAACCTATATGAATGCGATATTTCTTAAAGAAACTATCGGCTAATAAAGAAGATTCTCCATTATCTGATATTCCATTCGTACTCGCTTGAGAATAAACTTTCCATATGCGAACAGTGGAATCTTGAGAACCACTTGCAAGAAATGTTGTATCTTTGACAACTGTACAGTAAATAACATAAATAAAAATAAAGGTCTTACCTCCTAATTTACAACTAGATTGACAAAAACTAACATCTCTTATCCAATCGTGATGTCCATGGAGACGTATGCGCTCTGAAAGATCGATAACTGAATTATCATCGTTGCACAGCTCTGCAGAAAAAATAACGACAGCAGAATCAGTTCCTCCAACAGCAATTAATAAAACACTTTTCTGTTCCGATAAATGAAAAATAGTAGCTGATATGGATTCGGGTAGAAAAGATAGCGTCGTCGTTGCCATTTGGGTCCAAGAAGATGATATTGTTTCAACTTGAAAAATAGCTAAGGAGGCTTCCGATGAAGCAGATACAATAAAATTCTATGAGAGTTTCAACCCTCTCTCATATCTGATATATGACACAAACTATACCTACTTTGTGAAAGCAGCTAAACGTTGCGATGGAGACCACTGCGTCTTTATGTACCTTTTCTTGATGAACCAAGGACCATAAGGGATTTTTTTTCCATAAGCATATTATTCCCAGTGCTAGTCAAATCTAAGTCGGCGTTCAGAGCGACCAATCCCAGTTGAAGCTTACCATCACCAGTAACCAATGTATCTTGATTCACCCAGCGAGTGGTTCTCACAATAGAAGAGTGTCCTTGCAAAGTACACAAAGCTCTCTCTCCTTCATAGTCCAAAATAATTACGGTATTCTGACAACCATAGGACAATCCAGAGTTACTTGGAACACGTTCATCACCTTTGTCCTTGACCTTGTATTGTTCAACCTACCTCCAATCCGCTATCGAAGAAACTCTATTACAACCACCGGCTACTCAAGTCAGCTCATAATATTATTCTACAAAAGTCTGTTCACTTACCAATAAAGCACAGCTTTGTTTCTATACGTTCGTTCATCAAGCCACCACCGAGAATATTCAACTGAAAATGAATGAAAATGTGAAGGTACCAGAAATCTCTTTATGTTTCGTCAAAGAAGGGAATAAGACTTCTTTAATATGTCATACGACAAATGTAACGAAACTATGCATTTCATTATTCCTCTCGAAAACTTTTTCAATGCCTTTTATGAAGTACTTCATAAAATTCTAGAAGAACATAGAGAGTACTGTTTTCAAGAGTTTAATAATACATACTACTCTATCAACTATGGAATGTCGATTTTTTTGACTTTATATTCATTGAAGTCCTTAAATAGCAAGCAACAATTGTTATCGAAGAAAGCTTCCTGTACTATATAAGATAAAGTTGACTACATTATATTCCCCAAATCCCACATATTCTATTGTGCAATTCATTTTTGAAATCCTATTGAAACTGTTGTGTATGATTCAATAAGATATGTTACTTGCATATCAAACAACATTCTTTCATATAGTATCTATCACGTTGCCACCTCTCCTCATGTTGTCGCTGTTGTCAACTCGTAGAAATATTCATGTGTTGCCAGTAGTAGATGAGTTGACTATCATATTGACTAAGAACTCAGTAGACTTTGTAAAATAGTCATTAGAGTGTTATATCTTCTTTCATAATCCTCTCTTTGAGACTGCAAGATCTTAAGAGTAGATAATGAAGTATTTTATTGCACTAGGAAAAGGTCTTTGCAATGACAACAACTTTGTTTGCTTCAACCAAAAAGTTGGCGGTTCGGATGGTGTGAACAAGTTTGAATTAACTGCCAGAAATTTCTGCCTGGTTGATTTTGATCAGTCTAATGATGGAAATGAACATTTCAGTCTCTAGAATTTCTCCTATTTCTTCCACTGCAAGTTGTGTAATCCATAAAAAAATTCAGATCTGTCACCTCAAATCTCCCAAAAATGCAGTTCATAGACTCATTCAGAGTTCCCTTGACATTACGAAGAGGAATAGCCAAACTTGCTACAAAAGGTTAGTAGAGCATATTTAAAAAATCCGTGTATGCAAAACTACTGGATGGCGTTCCACAGTATACTAAAGTTAAACTTTGCATTCTTCTCTCACAAGTTTGAATAATTCATTTGAATCCAAACAAGTATGTTATCATAAGATGACAACGGCCCCAAATAAAAAAACTTGAGAATGATGCAAAAACTCAAAAACTCCTTCACCAGAGAATATTACATTCGTTGATAAGTTTCCACAACCTCATTCGTTGTTTCGTTAGTGGCAGAGATGCTTTGAAAAAGTGAAAGACTAACAAAACTATTCGATTCTCCTGTTATCCTCTGAAATATCGACTTCAATATCTTTCCAAGCAAACTTTCGACTTGTTTGACGGTTCGCTTAGACTTGAGTCCTTTTCATCACAAATATCTATTTTATCTTGTGTATCTTCCACGAGCGTATTTTTCATGCTTGTTTCGTCCTTCGATAAATCATTTGTAGAGGAACGTCCATCTACCGATAAAGAGACCCGATCTGCTTCCAAATCCAATCTAGATGCTGCCATCAATTCTTCATAATAGGTTCGAATCTGAAGAGAAGTTTTGGTTGGAATCAGTTCAGCTATTCTATCCCAATTATAACCATATATTCGAAAATATCTCTCAAATGCATTCTTTTCTTCCTCACTCCATTCCAGTACTTTCCGTCTCCTCCTCTTCCGTTCAACCTTCGGTTCCTGTACTTCTCCCGTAGTATTTTGACTGGACAAATCCACATTCAAAATATTCCTATTATGTTTCCAGTACGCTCTACATTGCATCGCTGTTTTGGTTCCTATTTCCTTTGCAACTAGCTTGAAGTTTGTACCATGTCTCTTCAGTCCTTGTACAAGCTTTTCAACTTCTTCAAAGGTCCACGAGGATACAGGTGAAGCAGAACGACTGCTTTCTCGACCAGAATCTAAATGAACCGATTTGTAAGTTGGTGACTCATTAAAATCAACCAAGTTGATTTCCGACGAGCTACCCGTTCTAGGAGGGATACTCCAAGATACCTCTGATACTAGCTTGTTGTTCTGAGTAAAGGAATTCTTCCGGCTAATTCGACGCTTCGACATTGTATCACAACCACGGAAATATTTCTTCAGTTGGAGTCTGATTTTGTTTTGAAAATAGAACCGTACAACATCCTCTGTCGTTTTGTATTTGAGAAAACTTGCAATTTTTCTTTGAAAAGCAAAATACGACGTTAAAATCAAATCATCAAACCATTACATTCGTATATCATACCTAAAGTTTTTTCCATATTGTGCATAGCGTTTAACAAAAATGCTAAGTTCATTGTTCGTCCAGGGATTGATTGCACAGCTGGCATGATGATATAATAAAGGATCATCCAGCAGAACCGAGCCTCCTTCAAAGGGTGTCTCAGAAGTATCCTATGAAGGAATGTAAATGAGTTTCATAACTTTCCAACATACTTACCTGACAAGGAATGCGAGCCAGACATTTACCCCACCTAGAACGACCACCAGCTGTCCCTCCATCAGCTTCAATAGCATTCAAAAATATACCAACGTCTTCAAGAGAAACATTCCGTGTGTCGTTGGAAGAGCTGCGATAAGTGGTTCGACCACTTCCTGTTCTAGCTAGCAATACATCCGAGCCTTGTGTAGCGATCAAAATATAACTGAAACAATAAATATACAGCAAATTCAAAAATGGCATACATACCAATCTCTTTGAAGAAGAGCTTCAGTCTCCTCCTTTGATGACTGTTCTTCTATGGCTCGCAGTTGCTTAATCCACTTCTCACGTAACTCCATAAACTGCTCCAATAGTTTTTTCCTCGATTCAATTCTTTCCTCATACTTATGTCGAACAAAAGCTGATAACTTGGCATTGACAAGGGGAAAGCACTCCGCTACTTTTGCAACATCCAAAATTTCCTCTGGAGCACTATACAATGAAACTGCAGGATATGAAGCAAATACACCTCTTTCACAAAGACCTTCATCTTCATCAATAATTTGACAAAAGAATGGCTGTAAAGCTGCGTGCGAAGAAGCAGCTCGCAAACGATTCTCTGAAAGAATCCTTCTTGTGACGGAGTCCAATAAAGTTTCTTGAGAGTCAACCCTTTTAAAGCAGTTGCCACTTGGAGGACTTTTTGGCTTCTTGCTTTCAAGACGCAACCAACGTCGTTTGTTTTCTAAAGACTTTTGCTTTGCTTCCAATATTTCCTTCTTTTGCTTCAAGGCTTCATCTACTCTTTCAAGTTCTTCCAGACATCTTTGACGATCATTTTCAGCACGCTGCCTAGAGTTTCCTTCCTGCACGAGTGAAGCCTTGTTGAAATACTTGTTTTCTGGGACAACGGATGGGGAATGGAAGCCTAGAAGGTTTCCAGCAGGGGAACTGTCTAACTTTTTGGGAACGTCTATTGTATAGGGAGAATTATTTGAGTCCTCACCGACGTTTTGAGGCTTTCTTCTAGGGGGTGAAGGTAACGACAATTCTCCTTGAAACTCCACATTCTCGAAACCTATCGACTTAGTTCCCTCTAAAGGGGAAACTTCTCTACTTGCCATATAATAACCAATTCTAAGGAATTATCTTAATAGTGTCCACAAAAATTGTTTTTTCAAAAAAAAGGCTTGCAGGAATAACACCAGTAACTTGTAACTTGTCCCTACCACTTGTAAAATGTTTCAAATGCTGACATGGTCAAGACTCATTGCGAACAGCAAACCGTGTTTAGCAAAACTTGTAAAGCCTTGCACTTACACACATACCGAAGCAAGCCAAAATGTAACTAGAGCTTATATTGCTCCAGTGACCCCGAAGGAAGCTTTTGGTGACGTGGCTACCAAGGACTTGTTGCGTGGTTTGGTAGCCTTATCTTTAGCTAGAACCCCTGGTGTTGCAACATATGGTGGAAAGTTTCTAGATGCTATTCATCGTTCTGGTCCTCGCTTTTTCAAAGATATAGTGGACAGTGTTGTAAGGCGCACTGTTTTTGCTCACTTCTGTGCGGGTGAGTCACTTGACGAGTGTACAAAGAATACGGAACATCTCCGTCGTTTGGGTGTAAAGTGCTTGTTTGACTACGCAGCTGAACGCGCTCCAGGAACAGTTCTTTCCGAGGAAGATTTGAAAATGGAAGAAGCTGCCAAGGAATATGCCGCGGAGCTTGAAATTGAAACCATTCGTCGCGCTTGTCAACTAGGAAAAGGAGATTTTGCTTGTATTAAGATAACTGCCCTGGCCGTTATAGAACATCTTGAGAAGTTAAACGATATGATTGTTCAAGATTGGAAGAAAAGTGTAGACAAAGACGCATCTATTTACGGATATTCAATCGATCCTGAGCTTTCCTTTGATTTTGAAAATCTTGAAAAGTTCAAGGCCAAATTCAGCTCGGAAGAACTAAGAATATTGAGGAATGATGTGTTCCGTATTCAAAGACTTTGTGCATTGGCTGCAGAATCTCGAGTTCCTATGCTAATCGATGCTGAACATTATTGTTTACAGGATGCTATTGAATATATCTCGATGGGAATGCAGAAACGTTATAACACGTCTCATGAGAGCTTTATTTTTACTACCATTCAATGTTATTTGAGAGATTCTGAAAGAAGAGAGAAGCTGGCCTCTTTTCTTGCCGAACGATTTGGTTTTCGTCTTGGCCTAAAGTTAGTGCGTGGCGCTTATCTACATTATGAAAGAGAACATGCTTCGCAGAGGAATCTAGAATCTCCCGTTTGGGGTTCGATTTCAGAGACACATTCTTCATACAACACTATTGCTGAGAAAGAGATTGCTAAAGTTTCACAAGAGAAAACATCGCTTATTTTAGCAACACATAATATAGAGTCTATACGTAATGCTATTAAGACTATGGAACAGCTGAATATGAGACACGACAATGAACACTTTCATTTTGGTCAACTGTACGCGATGGCAGATGCGACGACGGCATCATTGCGGAAAGCAGGTTTTCAAGTTGTGAAATATATTCCTTTTGGACCTCTTGAGGAAGTCATTCCTTATTTGTCTAGAAGACTTCAAGAAAACCAAGATATTCTTGGATCCACTTCTGTCGACATGAACTTTTTCTACAAAGAATTGGTAAGGAGATTAATCCGGAAATAAACTTCCCTCACCTTAAATGATTATGGGTGCAGTATGTTCTGAAACAGAATCTTGGATGTGAAATTTTATCAGTTTGGACTCTATTGCTCCAAAATTCGATTTCCCAAAATGAGGAAACTGAGAAACCCTCATTGGAAGAAGCATTTCGTCCGGACGAAAATCCAATGGCTATAAAATCACAATGCATAAAATAGCCCAGTGAGCTTCGTATCCCCAGTTCGATGAACGCTGTCTGGTTGTCGTCAAACTGCTGCGTTACTTCAAACTGTTTCTCTACCCATGTATTGCGTTGGGGTTTAGTGGAGTCTACAGCCCTTTTGGGAACGTTGGCAGGTACCATATTTGTAGGATGGGTAAGGAGAGTAGTGTTGAGTCGTCCGAATAGTCGTGGTTTGTTAGTGAAGCGAAGACCTTTGAACCGTCGTTGTCCACGTTGCAGTGGTTTTGGCATTTACAGATGCCCTTTGTGTCGAGGAGGTGGTTTAGTGGTAAGAATGGAAATAATATTCTTTCGTTAAAACTCTCACCAGTGACAGGATTACGAGAAGAAATACCTACACAGTGACCCTTGTCCAATGTGCTTCTGTAATAGATTCGTCACTTGCATTCTTTGTAAGGGAAGTGGTGTGCGACCAAAAGTTGCTTTGCAGTCTGACTCCAGTCAATATCGTTTGCTACCGAAATTTTCACAATTATTGCAGGTTTGGAAAGGGTACCGTGTATTGCAGCCCTCTAGTTCTTTTTTATTCTTTAAACAGGTCGAGAATTCTGGTTCGCCATTGGGTATGAACTGGACAACTTTCCCAATGGCCGTAGCTACAGCAACCTTGTTTTTAAGGTTCTTAAGACGCTTACGCAGCAAAACTTCTTTCTCATAACTACTCTTTTCGTCATTTTGTATCTTCTGTAACTTTAGCTTTTCATTTTGAAATAAATGTAAACTTTGGCTTGTCCATTGTTGGGTCGACTAATGCCCTCGTTTGCGAAGGACTTGAGGCATATATCCAAGGTTGATAAGATATGGAGACTGGTTGATGCCAAAGGTGAGATCTTGGGTCGCGTAGGAAATATTGTCGCACACCTTCTTCAAGGAAAACACAAGCCTTATTACGACCGGTCAGTTTTATGCGGTGATCCAGTTGTCGTCATCAACGCACGTTATGTGGAGCTGACTGGAAGAAAGTGGAAAACAAGAGTTTATAAGAAGCATTCAGGGTATCCTGGCGGCTTGAATGAGTTTCCAGCAAAGGAATTAATCAAGGAGAAACCAGAGGAATTGATATATGAGACTGTAAGACATATGTTACCAAAGAATAACTTAGGGACGGAGATGCTAGGAATACTAAGAGTTTACCCCGAAAAAGAACATCTTCATGAAAACCAACAACTAGTGCCAGTGCCTCCTACTGGAAAGGATAAAAGACTAACCGTTGAAGGAATCCTTGAGCAAGATGAGAAGGAAGAACTTTGGAGAAGAATTCTAGTTTCTGTCCCACCTCAAGGTTTGAATAGCATTTATTCAAAGAGATGCAAAACTAAATAAGGTCATAGAACTGTCAAGACAAATTATGGAGATCAAGCGCAAACTGAGCGAAAGCAGGATATCTCCTGAAGTAGTTTCAGAGAAGAAACTGAAGGATTTGCTCAACTCCTACGAAACAGGCCCTCATGGAGAAAATATAGCAAAATACTTGCAGTATATAGGAGATGAGGATATTCCAGTTGAGGAGACAATAAAAGATTTTTCCTAAAACTATCGCGACTTTTTGGTCTTCGCCTTTCGTTTCATTTTTCGTTTTTGAATATTTTGTTCACTCATTTGTTGTCTTATCTTTTGTCTTTCTTCTTCCGCCTTTTTCCGTTCTCCCCAGTCACGCTTACTCTTTCGCTTCCTTCTTTCCTTCTCCTTCCACCTACGTTTGAGAACTTTTTCATCGTCCACAACTTTTTCCCCCCTAGTTTTCGCAAGGATTGTATGCAACTTTGCATCTAAAGGAGAAGGTGCATCTGAAACTCCAGGCTTTTCTTCGGATGCAGCAACTGTCGCATTGGAAGCTTGTTGCTCTACAGTTGAAGGTTTCGTTCCTGTAAGAGTCTTGTTTTGCGATTTCTCCTTCATTTTCTTGTCAATCTTCTTGTTGTTCCCTTTACTTTTTGGGTTCTTCCTTTTGTTGCGTTTCACATTGCTCGAAGGCTTCACGTTATCTAAAGGAGTTGAAACATTATTCGATGGAGCATATATTTTCCGAGGAACAAGGGACACAAGTTTAGAAAACCCTATAATACCTTAAACGAGTTGCTTAAACACTGTACAACGAAAAGCTTACATTGGTCTATTTGTTTCGCTGGGGCTGAAAGATCTTCCATCATATTTTCCTTCTCATCAACGTTGGAATGTTATAATTGAATGTTGGTGACCACCACTGGAGTGAGGTTTGTAGGACAGAGTTTGCGTTCAAGTTGGAGAATTAAAAGCTTTCAAACTGAAGAGTTGAGGTACAATAGCCATAAGCTGTTCAATCACTATAATTATCTATTTTGGTCGCCAAGTATTCAGTCAATACCGTGTTCTGTTAATCAGGTTCCAAGCCAATTGAGGATCATTCCACAAGGAACAATTCCAAAGTATAGCTGTTGCTCGTTTCAGTTTAGTTCTTTTTGTACCGGAAAGAATGAAGGAGTGGAAAAGATAAAAAGCTCTTCAAAGAATAGTGGCGAAGGCTTTCCACCAAGCAGAGCAAGAGAAGTAGACTCATCGGTGACCAAGTTGAACTACAATTCTCAAGAAAGGACTGGACTGATTTTTCCTGGTCTTCCAGTGGGTCTCGTTTCGGGGTTTTTAGGCTCCATGGCTGGTATTGGAGGAGCTGTCTTTGCAATACCTTTGCTTTGTAGATTTGGGGGGTTTCGTCAGAGGATTGCGGCAGGTTCCACTCTCTTTGCTGTATTTGGCACAGCAGCCTCTAGTGCATATGCTTTCCATCAAGCTGGTCAAGTGGATCACTTTACAGCACTAAACTTGTCTCTAGTTGGACTGTTAGCTGCACCAGTAGGCGCTCTTTTTTCAAACTCAGTCAGTAGTGGAATTTTACGTCGCTCTCTTGGTATTTTTTTAATGTTCATTTCTCCCTTAATGTTTATTCGACTGTTCTTACAAAGTACTTCAAGTACTTCAGAGATAGTCCCACATTTGGAAGAGAATATTGATGAGAACAACTCCGAAAGTAATTTAGTGCCTACTCGATTTGTAACTACGACTGAGGACTATGTTGCAGTTTCAATGAATGGATGGAATGATGTTATTCATCCATGGAAGCACTTTTCAAAGGAACGACTTACTTTTCTCTCTGTTACTGGTGCTACTGTAGGGTTTTTATCGGGCTTCTTAGGGGTGAGTGGTGGGACTTTGTTCACACCAGTTATTTCATTTATTGGTTGTTCTGATGGTTCGCGAGATTTCCACACAATCTTGGGTACTTCATTTATGGCGATGACATTACCTGCAGTTACTGGGGGTATTGCATATGCATTGAAAGGTAGTGTGAGATATAGTCTGGTTCCTTCTTTGTGTCTAGGCACCGTAGCTGGTGCTGCTGTGGGAAGTCGAGTAGCTTTACAGCTTCCTGATAGTTTTTTAAAAGTCGGTATGGCTGTTGTATTTTCATTAGTTGGTTATCGTATTTACAGAGTTCCTATTCATTCGAGACAAAACTTGCGAAAGTAGAAGAGTAGTTCGATGGGAGTGGTTCAAATAAAACTGGTTAAACATTATTCTTCTTTTGCATTTTGCAATTGGGGTGTGATTTACTTCTCTGTTTTGCATGTCGCGTGTCACAGTCGCTAATCGGCAACATGTCGCTCAACTCGACTACTTTCATAAAGGGTTTAGGAATCTCCCCGAGGCTCCCACTTTATATCCATCAGAAGAAGAGTTCAAGGACCCTATAGTATATATACAGAAAAATAGAGCACTCATTTCTTCCTTTGGTATAGCAAAAATAGTGCCACCCAAGTCGTGGAAACCTCCGAGACTCTTCAACGACAAGAAGAAATTTGAAACTAAAAAGCAAAATATCTATCAACTATGTAACCGAATCACTCCACATGACCTTTTCATGCTTCTATTGCGAAAGTTCTTAACGAAAAGGGACCCCAAGAAGGCGGATAAACTTGGTGAGACTTGGACAGATTTGGAAAGCTCTGAAATAATGATAAGTGGAAACGCCATTGACTTGTATAATTTATTTTTGGAAGTTTTGTCGCGTGGTGGATATGACCAAGTTACATCAACAGATAACTGGCATCAAATTCTTCAGTCCCAGCTGATTCTAGGCAGTGTGGACGATAGAGCTCCAAAATTGCTGCAGTATATTTACAGGGATTACTTATTGGAGCTGGAATATGAGCAGAAAAGAAAGGCTGGGGCTCCACAATGGAAGAAGGAAATTAGCGAAACTAGTAACGTTGTGTCACAAAACTCCTCGAGTTCCACAAATTCCTGTCTTAACACAGAAAAAATGAACAAGAAGAGGAGACTGGTCGAGGAGGATGAACATGTCGGTTTATCCTTGAAAGATGCTCTTATTGCAGTTGTTTTATATTTTAAAGACACATTGGACGATGAGGATGATTGTCTTATCTGTTCAAAGAGACTGGACCATAAAACTGATTGTCTGACAGCATTTTGCAAAGAGTGTGATCCTCTTAACAAGCAAAAATTTGGTTTCTTGGAAGGATGCGTCGTGAACATTGAGGAGCTCAAAGAATATTCAGAGATATTTCGTCGTCAATGGTTTCTTGCGAGGAAATCGCGTTATGGCATCTGCCCGAAGGAAGAAAAGCTTTTACATGAACCTCCCTATCTGGAAGCAGAGTACTGGAGACTCGTTGATAGTTCACAAGATGCAGTCAGTGTGTATTATGGATCTGACTTATTCACTAATCTCTGTGGAAGTGGTTTTCCTTCTTTTGAAGGAAGGGAAAAGTTTATGGAGGAAAATGTTAAGAGTTCAAGTGCTAGAGAACAATATGACAGGTACCTTCTGCATCCTTGGAATCTAAATGTACTGCCAGAACTTGGCTCCTCTTTGCTTTCATGTCTGAATGTGAAGATTCCTGGAATCACTATTCCTTGGCTTTACATTGGAATGTTATTTTCCTCGTTTTGTTGGCATAATGAAGATTCCTATATGTATTCTCTTAATTATATGCACGAAGGAGAGGGAAAAGTCCGTATGGTTTTGAAGTTTCTTTTAATCATACTCATTTTTTATTTGTTGCTAGATTTGGTATGGATGTTCTGGTGGAACGAATGCCGCATTATTTGAAGCAAGCCTGTCCCTTTGTATTCCTGAATTATTTGATACAAATCCCGATCTATTATATAATATGGTTACCACAGTGAATCCTTTGCGATTGTTTGAAAAAGGTACCACAGTTTGTAGAACAATTCAATATGCTGGAGAGTTTATAGTCACCATGCCACAAGCATACCATGCGGGGTAATGCTGCATGCATTTTCATTCAACTGAAAAACTCACAATATCCAGTTTTTCTTTAGGTTATACGTGTGCTGAAGCCGTTAATTTTGCTTGCACTGATTGGTTACCGTTTGCTTGGGCTGCCCATTCCCGATACATAAAGTTTTCACGAGCCCCTGCCTTCACATTAGAGGAACTGTTTATAGGAGTTATCAACTCCCCAGACTTTCTGACCAAAACTTGCTCAAGTGAAGCTAAATATTTATTGAAGTATATTCAAAAGATTGTCAACTTTGAATTGAGTCAAAGAAACAAGTGCTTTGCACTGTGTCCTAGAATAGTGTGTGAAAACAAACTTCAAAGTTTGGGTGAATGTTCGCTGTGTAAGCATGGTTGTTTCTTTTCGTCTCTAATTGTGCTAGGAAATGAAGATGAAGTTGTAACATTTTGTCTTCATCATGTTAAGGAAGCAGCATCTTATCCCAGTCGACGAGAGCTTATCTTTTCCTACAAGTATAGTATGGAAGAACTGAATTTATTGGTTTCAAGAGCACAAGAGCTCGTTCGTCAGAGACAAGGAAATCAAGTAACGCAGAAAGAAAATGGCTTTAAAAAAACTGCCATTGAAAATATTGTGATTGCTTGTTCTGACCAAAAAGTATAGAAGTTATTTTCTGTTGAAGATTTGAGTTATGTTTCCATTTGCTATTCAACTTGCTTAGCATGAACATTTGAACTTATCATTCTTCATGAACTGTTATATAATTCCATGTAAACCAGTAGATTTGTCAGCAATCTATAGGAATGCTCCTCTAAAATGCCTAGAACTTCCAAGAGCACCTTCTGGAGACGTTTGAAATTTATCGACGACTTGATTTAGAAGGTGGAGTGCCTTGGTGATTGCAGTTAAATAACTCACGACTAGCGTATCATTGTAGTCTTCTTCAAGTTCCTTCGAAAGACTAAACATTTTTCCTCCCACCGAAGCCAGTTGACTGTGGATACTATTCAATTCCCGCAATATGTTTGCATCTTTTGGAATGTTTCCTTTTAGTGTCATTTCTAAAAAGCTACGAAGAACTTTCATTCGAAATAACAGCATTCTTACTGCGCTAGAAACACTATGAAGAGAATAAAGAACTATCCATTTGTTAGTAAAAGAGGAACAAGGTTTTAAATGTAATAACGTTACTCACCTGATGAAGCACTTGAGTCATCATTTATACCCGTTCGGGCAACGTGTTCCAACGAGATCCTTTCTACTTGACTACTTGCCACCTGAAAGGAAATGGGAGTCAAGGACAGCTGTGGCTGATTATCTTGAAAATGGACATCACAAGCATATAGAGAGGCAGGAAGTTCTCCTTTGATATAGGAAAACTCGGTATCCAAGCAGAGAAATAGTGGGTTCTCCGTAAGCGCCGTCATAAACTTGTGAAAAGAGATATCTCCAGGAAGAATAGAGTTGCCAGTTGAATACCAACCAAATATTTCCAAATGAGGGAAAATGGTTTTGTATTGTTCCTTTCTCGAATACAGAAAGGCTATGTCCACCTTTGTGGTAGGATCCTCACACTGTTCACTCAAACTCAACTTGAATTGTGTTAATTCGAAGCAGTTGCTGATTTCTATAGTCCTTCCGTTTTGAATACCCAACAGGCAACCCAACACTCTACATCGTGAACCTTCAGACTCGGCCTTTGGAAAGTTTGTCTTCATCGTACTTGACGATAAAGGAACTCCAAGAGCTACTGCACTGCGAACATAGTGGTCACTTATTGCAAGAATTACACCAGGGTGAAGAGAAACAGAAAGCGAACTATCCTGTGTTGTTTGAGACACCATCTCTTTACCAACGACCTTACTGCCAATGTGAACACAATAATTGGAAGGAATTAGGTGCAAAGGAAAATGTTAGTCTTTCATCGTATCTCAGTGTAGCAATATTTTATTTAATGATAGAAAAGTGTTGAACTATTAAACAATTCCTTTTTGACAGAATGGTTTTAGAGATTTGGTTAATTTCGGAAATGTCGAAAGGGAGAACTTGTGAGTTGTATGGAATTGGAAAGCAAGAATAACTCCCCAGAAACTGGACAGACTGCAAAAGTTGAATCTTCCTCAAGTTCAGTCAAAGGTTCCAACGTTACTGCTACAGATACTACTGTGAATAGCGAGGCCTCCACCTCGAGTGTCTATTCTCAGGTTGGAAAACCTAACCTATTTAAGACTCCACCAGAAGTGCTTACACAAAAAAATAAAAAAGACTGGCGTAAGGTTTCCTTGACTAACAAACTTTACGGAGAAAAGACCCGTTCACGCTTCCAACTCGGTATAGTCCCTGAAATGCAACAGCGAAATGAAAGGACGAGTTTATTGGAAAAGAGTAAGTAGTTTGCACGGCAAAATTTCCTTACATAGAACTAATGTTGTAGCTACTTTGGGAAAGCGCGTAACGAATCTGGTTCGTGGTTTCTGGAAAAGAGGAGAGGGCGATCCTCCTTCAGGAGCCGAGCTAAGGCAAAGCCCTTCATTTGACGCATTCCAATACTCTCGTAACGGAAAGCAAACTTCAGCCACAGATTATGGCGACAGCGACTTGAACTCAAAGGACCTTGATATGAACCATGTTGATATAGACCAAGGAACAGACAGTGCCACAATAGAAGAATATGATGAATTTGATGTCCGTCAGAGTCCCCCTGGTGAAGAGAATCCTACACTTGAAGAAGATTTGAGTCGTTCGGAGCTTGCAAAGCACTTAGTTGGAGACATTGGGAATATGTTGAAGGCCTTTATTGGATTGAATTTTTTATATGTCTCCTATGCATTTGCCCATGCAGGTCTTATTCGTGGTACGATTGGTTTGATAGTGATTGCACTTATTACAGAGCACTGTTGTTTGTTATTGGTACAAGTAGGTAAAAATACTCTTGAGATGCTCCTTTGCTCAATCTTTTCAAGGTAAAGAATCAGATGCCAGAAGCAGATGATCCATCTTTTCGAATAACGTATGGAGACTTGGGAAAATACGTTTTGGGTGGCATTGGAGAAAAGTTAGTTAATGGTGCTCTTATATTGACCCAGTTCGGGTATTGTACGGGATATCTTATTTTTTTAGGACAAACCTTGCATGATTTGTTTGGTGCCTCCGTCTCACCATCAGTGTTTGTTTTGATCCCATTGCCTATTCTTATTCCTTTATCGATGCTACGTTCACTGCGCTCATTGGCACCGTTCTCTTTAGCTGCCAATTTCTCTCTTTTGATCGGCTTCATCGCAGTGATAAGTTATATAGGCAGTCACTTTAGATGGCAACCAAGTAGTCCCAGTATAACCCAATTTCCTATTTTTTTTGGACAAATCACTTCAGCGTTAGAAGGAATCGGTCTTGTTGTCCCTGTAGAACAAAGCATGAAGAGTCGAAAACATTTCAAGATGGTAATTGAAGTTGCCATTGGCATCCTATCAGGTGTTCTTCTGGTAGTTGGAGCATTGGGGTTTGTCACTTTTGGAGAGAATACAAGATCAATCATTGTTCTTAATATGGTGAGTGGCATAAGGACAGTTTTTTCATTCTTATTATTCTTCTTTCTGTCTTACAGGGGAACAGTCCAGTTGTCGGATTGGTTAAAATTGTATTATGTATTGGTATATTGTTCACCTATCCTTTGCAATTAGTTCCCATTGTTCAAGCAGCTGAAGACTGGTTAGCAGGACGAACAATTACTAGCTCTCATGGTGAGCCATTAGAAGAGTATCATGAAGAAGAGGAAGAAGGGGAGTTTTCTATGGATGAAGTGAGTTCAGAATCTGAAGATCTTGATTCAGCAACGGAAGAAGCAGTCCCAAAGGAATTGGACATTGGAGATGGAGAAAACTATTACCAGAGAGACAATTTAGGGGATGGCTCTGACTTGAGCGATGAAACTTCGGAACCCGAATGGGCGAATGACGAGGATTTACAACATGTAAAACGCCGCAGCTTGTTTGAACGCAACCCAAAGAACGTGATGGCCAGATTGACTATTGTATTTGGAACTGCTGCAACGGCAGCGTTGGCAGGTTCCAGTTTTGGGCTTTTTCAAGCGCTAGTGGGGTCCTTAGGTTAGTGTTTATTTTGTTGGCTTTAGCATTCATGAATGTCCTCTATTTGATAGGAGCAGCATCCTTGGCGTACATATTTCCATCTTTATTTCACCTCAAACTTTTTCGGACACAACTGACACTGAGTGAAAAAACAAAAAACATGATCATTCTTATATTCGGATTGGTAGGAATGGTCATTGGAACTTATGTGTCCATCATGGAAATGCAAAAGAATCCGGAGTATTGAGAGACTTTTCAAGACATTTTTATACATTTGTAATCGCATTAGTTTTACTAGTTTGGAACAAATACTTCTTTAATGGGTTTGCGAGTTGAAATGTAAATTGAACTTCACGATGCTTTTTAGCTTTTGGTGTCCAAATTTTCAAATTAAACAGCCATATATTTTTCTTGGTTCTGTTACATTCTTTGATCGCTTCATCGAGTACATACCCATCAAAATATGCAACTTTTTTGTTGGCATTGTATCAAAGTTGATGATACAAAGGTAGTCTAAAGGAAATGCTTCGAACTTGGTAATGCTTTTATATTTGACAGTTTCATAGGTAGGTCAAGTAGAAAAATAATGACAAATTGATTCTGTATTTTGGCGCCAAGAAAGAATACTTGGCGAAAATGCAAAGCGCTGGAAAGCGTAGAGTAAGAACCACAACAAGAAAACAAAAGGCGGAGAAACACAAAGTTACTGGTTCAAATTCTCGCAGAAAAACGAAAAGAAGAAAGACTCAAACCATAGCAGCTCAAGAATCTTCCTTGCCTGAGAGAATTTACATAGTGAGACAAGTGGAAGCTGAAAGAAATACCTTTAGTGTGCCGTTTGTCGAAGTGTTACAGACTCGAGATAAAAAAGGCTCTAAAATTTCCAGAAAGAGGATTCAAGTATTAGAAGATATAGAAACCACAATTTCCATCGGCGACACAGTGTTGTTGTGTTCCGACAGAGAGGATTTTCCTTTTATTGCTCGTGTAGAGGATATCATTGTAAAGCCTCGTGTCACTACTGCGCAAAAAAAACAGCAAAACTGGCAACACGGAAAAAATTGCAGTATGTGGCTCTCTTTACGCTGGTTTTATCAACCTTTTGAGATTGGTATGAATTTTTTGGAGACAATCCGCTAACGTGTATTCACACAGATATATTTATTTTAGTTGTGCCATCAGAGATTGCATTTGACGATGATGACGTTCTCTTGAGCAATCATATCGACAAGAACAGCATTGAATGTTATTTAGATAAATGCCAAATAGCTTTTCCAACGGAGAAACCAGTAGACAGCCACTGTCCTGTCTTCAAGTGTAGATATTTCTATGATTGCATCACAACAAACACTAGGAGTTTGAAGATGGAGGACAAGCTTATTCTATTACAAACACATAGTAACAGCGGCTTTGTTCGAAACAAAGAAGCTAAACTATTGTTGAAGCCTTTAGATAATGATTTAGCGGACTCGAGGATAACCACGAGTGTTCTAGTTGGGAGAGAACCAGAGATCGAAAGAATAAAAGAGTTTCTCACGCAGTCCATTCTAGACGTTTGTCAAGGTAGAAGTAAAGGTTAGTGTTGTTCCCCAATTTTAGAATTTGACTGATGAGAAACATAATAAGGAGAGCGTTCGTTGTATATCAATGGAGTTCCAGGGACTGGAAAGACAGCTAGCGTTCGTCATGTTCTCAAGGATTTAAATGAAAGTTCGAGTTTTAATAGTAAATTTGTCACTGTGGAAATCAATGGTATGCTTCTTTCAGATCCGCAAGAGGCATATTCTTTACTCTATTCGACTATCTTTAAGAAATTTGTTGGTTCTATGAAAGCAGCACAACAGCTTGATCGCTACTTCGGTGAAGGTAAGACGGGAAGACAGATTCCGAAGAAACGCAATTACAGTTGCCTTTCTTGCATTGTTGCTGTATTGGACGAATTAGATGTGCTGCTTTCGAGAAAGCAAAAAGTCGTATACGATTTTTTAGAGTGGTGTGCCCGCGAGAACTCACCTCTGGTCGTCGTTGCTATAGCCAATACAATGGATCTTCCAGAACGTGTTCTGCAACCTCGCATAGGTTCGCGTCTTGGTGTTAACAGGTTATCTTTTTCACCCTACTCGAGTGCACAGTTGAGAAATATTTTAGACTCGCAAATTCCAGTTTTGCTACATTATTCGCTTGATAAATTTGAGTCTTTAGCGGTAAGGCCTGAAATTTATTGAAAATTTATCTAATAATATGTTGTATTACCAGCTTGAACTTTGCTGCAAGAAAGTGGCCTCAGTAACTGGAGATGTCCGAAGAGCGTTGCATGTATGTCAACGTGCAATAGAAGTTGCTCAAAGCGAGGGAAGTGACCTAGTTCGAATGACACACATCCAGGAAGCTTTTGTTACAATGTACAGTCGAGGCCCTGTACTTTCTGTTGCTCAACTCTCGTTGGCTGAGAAAGTTGTCTATTGTGCCGCGTTGCTTTGTGAGAGGCACTATGGAGCAGATTCTATTTTTCTAGCCAGACTAGTTAAACATGCTCTCGAACTTAGTCAAAGATTAAGTTTACATTTGGATCTTGAGACTGGGAAAATTTTGGAGATATGCTGTAACCTTTCATTTTCAAGACATATAACTTTACAGTGGAACGCTGTGGAAAGTTTCAATAAGATTTTGTGTAATGTTCAATTTGATGACTTTTGCTATGCCGTTCAAGGCACTGTATTTTATGATATCTTGAACAATTTGTTAAAATAGTTGCATCACGATTTTATTCTGACTATTTATCAGAAGCATTTGAGAATAAATTTTGATAAAGTTTATTTAATCATGAATTTTCACAAGTCTCGCTGTTGTTAGTGTTGGATGGATAGACAACGTTGGTAGATTGTTGTAGCCACCATAATAATTGTGAATATCGTTTTCGTATCACTTCCGGTGTTTTTCCATCACCTAAAATTTTGGCAAGTGCTAGGAATGTCCTTTCTGTGGCACCAAAAGCCCTGACTTGTGATAATAGTTTCTTATCATCTTCATGTGAAAAATGTACTTTCACATCTCCATCAACAATCAACCAGTTGCTAGAGTTGTCAAATTCCAATCGAGTCGTCATTGTTCCATTATTGGTTTCTTCCATGTCAATGTTTTCCAAACACCTCTCCTTTTCGCATTTTTTCCGGTCTTCTTCCAATGCTTGCTGTCTTAATCGCTTAGCAAGTTTTCTCGCTTCTTGCTTGTGTCTCTCATTCTCTCTTATCTTCTGTCGTCGCCTTTTCTGTCTCTGTTTCCACATCCGCTGCAAAATAACTTGGTCTCTATGAGGTAGCAAATTTATTTCAATTTGTTTCCATGCATTATCGCCATATAGATAGACACCGTGTTCTAATATTCGCCATTCTTCACTGGATAGTGGTCTTTGTCTTTCGATGACCAAACGTTTCACCGGATTGTCCCTAATAGAGTCTCTATATAAAATATTCAAAGCAGACCAGATTCGACTTACGGTGCATGACGACCACTCAAAAATCTATACCTTCTCCAAACTTCATCGTACTGTTTTGAAGGAAGCAATCGTTCATAGCTAAGTTTGACAAAATAAGAGCATTCCAATGATAATAAATATCTAACATACTTTTCCAACCAGTCTGAGCCATATTCACGAATAAGTGTTGCAATCAAACTGTCTTCAGCACTACTCCACTGATCTTCTGAAGATAACGTCGACTTCACTTGGTTGACATCTATGTATTGCGCATCCAATATGGAATGATTTGAACCCATATAGAAACTATATTTTGGGAGTTTTGGAAATAATTCTTCGTCCAAATAAGGGCAAAAAGTTTCCAACAACTTCTGTATATCAGAGCTTTGTAAACAATCACATTTGTCGGTCAATGATAATAAATCCGGAACAATGCGTAATATTGGAGTGTCAAAAAAGGAGACTGAAGACCTATCTAATGTAGTATTTGGTTCGTACTCTAGAACTGTTTCGGTAAAGAACTTTCGATAGCTCACGCAAATGTCCGAAGCTCGCTTCCAGTCATTCAACATTCTCCTCGAAAGTTTCAAAGCACTATCATCTTTCAAAGGCTCTTGTCCCACTAGAAGACAAGTTTGAATCAAGAGTTGTATATGACGACTCACTTGCAAAGAAACTAGCTCCAGAGAATCCTGTCGAAAATGAAACTGTGAACATGTAGAGTTGAAATGAGAAAGACATGCTTTCATATTTGCAGGCATTATAGGTTTAGCTCTGCTGAATTCTGAGGAAACGTGCGGAGTCCATTTAGAATTTACGGGTTGCTCTTCCACCTGTCTGCATTGTGTTCTTGGCTTCTTCTTCGGATTAGAATTTTTCATATTATGGCATTTTTTGCTTCTTCGAAAAGAATAGGATGGTTTTCCACTCACAAGATCCACCAATTCCTTACCAGGAATTCTTGCAGTTGGGTCATTTCTGTATTCCTTTACACAAATTAGCGGGCAAAAAACTAAAGCCAAACAACCAACCTCTTCATCGTCAGTTTCGTTCTGGACTTCTAGCAGATAATCAAAATCTTCATCGCTAGAGTCTTCAGGACCATAGTCTTTGTCTTCTGGAGAATAAAGTGATGACAAAAATTCTGAATATGCCTAAGGCATAAAATTCAAAGAGTGAAAATATGAAGCTTTCAAACGCTTACCTTTCGATCTTCGTCATCCCAAGTGGCTGACGACTCTATAAGGGATTGTAAACTACGAAAAATGGTTCGAAAGTAGTCATATAAAAATAAGCCATCAAACATACCCGTCCAATTTCACAAGTTGCGCGGTGGAGTCGTCCGTTTCCTTCGTAATTTTTTCCAGTTTCTAATGTTCAAGAAAATTAGAGAAAAACAAAACTTGGAGCGTTAACAAACCTTTGTTGCGTCATTTTCTAAAACACTTTGTGGAAACTCGCTACAATTAGCAAGAAATTCGTGCTTCTCGTTTTCAAAGGCCTTACTAGAAGGTAAAAGCTTACGTATCCAACCCTCCTTTTCCGTCTCCGAGTCGTAGAGCTCTTGTAGAGCTGCAGCGTTGGATAATTCTCGGAATTCTTCGTCACAATTTAAGGAATAGTCTACAGTGCTCCACATATCTTGACAGTAGTTCTTCTAACGTCAGTTACAGGAATTTTCGCCAGTTGCCAAGCAACAAAACTTACAAGACGCAACCCCTCTTCCTATAAAGACAGTTTCATTTGCAATTCCCAAAACTTCGATTTCTTCAAATCGTCGAATATTTTTTTTCTCAGCTTTTAGTTGTTTTAAATCGAGAACAACAGTACTTCATATTGTACGTACGTGCATAGACTTTTTCATAACACCTATACTTCCATTCGGACAAATACCACTGGGTACGAAAAACAGTGTTTTGCTGAACACAGTTGTATTGGATATTTCTGCTGTAGTTGCCTTATCCAAAAAACTATTTCTGAAGGTTAAGTCGGCAATTTTGAATGGCTGTCCCGAGTGTGATTCAACTGTTGTGCATATGAAAATATTCTTCGTTTTCTCAGGATGTTACAAGAAAAGTTTTGCGAAGCAAGGCTCAGACTTTTTAACGTTTGCCAGTGCTATGAATTTTGGTCGGGTTCCTAAGGCGTTCTTTGCACGTTTTTGATAAATAGGAGACAGCTATGGTTTGACTCTGAAGTGCTAATTTGAAGCTTCTTTTTTATGGAAAAAGGGAAGAACGGAGCAATTTTACTTTCACATTGCACTGCCTTTTGATTGAAGCTAGTTGTTGAGCAGTGAAGAGAAGTCTGGATACGAATTCACCTCATCGATTGTATCTTTGGAGGCACACATATTTAGAAAATAGATTGAAAGGGGTAACAAACAACAGTTGAACTGCATGGAAAGAAACAAACTGAGACGCGAGTTGAATATTCAAGTGAATAATTGAAAGCACGAGTTGTGAAAGCATTCAATGAGAGCCAAGTTATTGAACAAGTGAACCAGGAGCGTTTGAGTTGCCAATGTATAATGCTCCTCTGCTTGGTTTTTTCACGATGATTTGGATGAGGATTTTGGCAAGTAGTACTATGTGCAATCTAGATATTGTTTTGAATAGATCTTTTGTATTAAAGTTTACTAGTGGATTTTTTTAACGATTGCATGAGACGTCGAGCAATTTGGTGAGCGCAAAACTATCAGTTTGGCATTCAAATCTAGTATTTGTATACACAGTGCACAGTACCTCCAGCTTTTGAAGGCAGAAGAAATTTTTGCTTTCTACCCTTTCATTATTCATCACCTTGTGGCCTGAAGGTCTGCAACCCTGATTGTTCAATTTCCAAACAGCTTCAAAAATTGCTGTAACTCTACCAACCAGTTCATCTTCCACTGTACATATCTTCATGATAGCGTGACTTGCTGTCTCTATCGGGAATGACTTTACTTTCTTTTAAAAGCTTGATAGAATCTGGTTTGGTAGTTGAACAATTACAATTATCCGGAATAGCTGTTATCATTGTAATAGATGATACCACAAAAACTTCTAACATTCAAAACAACAAAGATTTGCTTAACAGGAACCAGTCGGAATGCTACATTGTGAGCTTAGAAGATTGAAAATGTTCCTTCCGTAACAAAGAGAAACACATTTAGGCTTCAATCAAACAAGTTCATTTTATTTTAAAAAAGTACTCTCATTCCTGTAACGTCTATTTGAATTTCCATTCCTTCAGTGCGCGCATCGTCTCTATTGGTTTCAAACCTCTCAAATCTAAAAGAAATGCATTCTTCAACTTATCCCAAAAGCTCATCACCAAAGACTCTAATGAAAACACCGTGATAAAAGCTCCGCCAAACCTCTTCACCAACTTCAAACACTTACTGACAAAATAGTCTTGAAGAATTCAAACAATTGCGTCTCCAAACGGTGCTTGAGATTACATTTCTAACAACATTTATGTTGCTTTCAGTTATGATGAAAGTCATATAATTTCGAGAAATATCTTCTTCCAAAAATTACACTAACTTGAACAGGCCAGAAGGCCGTTGTTACACAAAGTTAAATATAATTTGTGTCTGTAGTAGACGTCTTCAGAATTCCTATATTTCTCACCCTTCTGGAAACACGCAGTTGCGTAGATCAAGTAAATTTTTGACTCAACTCAATTTTCTGCATTTCCGGTTCCCTCCAATTCACAAGAAGCAGTGTACTATAGGGAACATAAAAAGTTCCTTATGGAGAGACCGGAAAGTGACTTGTTCAATACTTGGTCACCCTTTCGCCTCAATGGACTCAAATTGTTTTAAAATGGCTTTCCTACTTCCTGGAGGAGTCACGAGTCAAAGCAACTTGTGGCTCTGTCCTTGAAGCTGCATGTTTTACAAAGACTTGCTCTTTTAAGTCTTTGTTGGGAAAAATTCTATCACACATATTACAAACAAATGGACTTGTCATATTATAAAGACTGTTCATTTCTGACCATTCTTCCTGTCGATTTCAATGTGGCAATTTACGATTTAATTACAACCGATGTAGTTTCTACAGCATCTTAAGTCATTGGCACCTTTTTGCAAATAAATGTTTCAAAAGAATATCTTCATAACGTTCAATGTAAATTTTAACATTTTGTGTTATTGCCTCTTCAAAAAGGCCAGCCCTGAAGGGTATGGCATAGTCACTGAAACCACAAGTTGACATTGTTTCGATATTTGTCGGTATGACTGAAGAATAGTCATTGTTTGTTTTCTATTATTTATTATACTTGAATTTTGTTTTGAAATAAACAGTTGGCTGTTCATTGCAAAAAATACCAGTTGTTTGGACAAGAAAGGAAATTATTCATCTTAGTTATATTCAACATGCATGGATGTAAAGTCTATTTATTTTGAATAATTGCAAGTCTGCAACATTGCACAATTTACACCAAAAATACACCTCAAATGAGAAGCTTCCAATTTTGAAATAGACTCAAAGATATCGTCCCGAATATTTGAAAAATTGAACGAGTGTCTTGACCGAATTATTCTCCTGTCCAGTCTTGTCAAGAGCTCTAGTGGGAATAGTATCATTTAATAGAAATGTAGAAACTCTCAAATAAAAAATTCTTTTATTCTCAGCAATCATCAAACTCCTTCCTTACAATCATGGTAAGAAGCAACTTATCACTAAAGCTGCAGAGGTGGATGATAGCAAAAGACAAACTAAACAAATGTGCAAAGAAGTATCCAAAATATCGCGTGGTTTTATCAGAACTCAAAAACGTTGTCTATTTCTCATTTCATTTCTCATGTCAGAAACAGCATTGATTTAATAGCGTCAATAACTCCTATTTCTTTCTCTGAAAAATACTCGCAGAAAACAGAGACATTTGATACTGTCGATTCTGTCAAGAGAAAAGATATTTTTCAAAAATTCAATTTTCAGTCGAATTGAGTCTATTATATCGACTCTCTTCTGGTATCTTGAATTTGCATAGCATTTGAATCATAGTTGAATTCTCTCTCCTCAACAGTCGGCAATATCGACGAGGTGTTTTTGAAGGTAAACAAGACTGTTTAGGTTTAAAGGCCCTTGCTGCAACCTCCTGTACGAGAAACTGTGAATTTACACAAATTGTAAAGATATATAAGGAAGCAAACTAGAAAAATTACAAAGCTGCTTATGGACCTAGATAACCCCAAGAGGACTACTATTTCTTCCAATACGAAGAATGCAAAGCTTTTAAAAGCTCTTCAACTTCAAGGAAAGATTTGTTCCGCTGCAGTTGTCTCCTACTCTTTTTCCACTCTCTCATCCATCAGCTAGTTGAATAAGTGAGTCACTATACAAAGGTCCCTCCAGTCAGACACTATGCATAAGACTCTTGCGAAATATAACCTGACAGGCACGTTGGTGGAGGCTTCTTTTTAGATATTTGTAACAAGAATCAAAGACAACTCAACGTTTTGTATCAACAAACAGTCTATAAATACAAGAAACGTTCATTTCAACTAGGAACGAGTCAAACTTGAAAAAGAAGAGAAACGCTTTTTTGTCCAATTTGCTCTACAAAGGATAAAAATGTCGTCAACTCACAAGCAATATTCAGCAGAATAAGATAAAATAATTTATCTGATTCTTTTGCAGAGTCAAAATCTCAAATGATATTTTGGTTGTTATCCAACTGGTAAAGGTCTTGTTCTTTTAAATATATTGGATCGATTTCGTCTCCTAGTGAAAAGAAAAGAATATAAGCGTAGAAATAATGGAAAAATAAGAATCTTTCATCTCCTCTTGGCAAAGTAATAAAGAAAGGTGAATCTTGAAATATAAGTGCAAGAAGTAATAGCGTCACCACTTTTACTCTTATTATACCAGTCAAAACTCTCTACAAGTTCTTTACGTGGAGAACGAACCAATAGCCTTGAATCGTTTGAGGTTCGATCCTCCTTGTCGTAAGTAGTTTATGTATTTGTGTATAGACAAAAGAATTCAAACCTTTGGTCAGTTTTTTGTTGTAGCCTTGTCCTCTCTATACTTTCCAACTCTAGGGTTGAGTATATAATTATTTCTTCTTTGCAGTTCACAGTGGCATAAAGACTATTCCTTGAGCCTATTTTGCATAGAAGGAAAGGCTATAGTTCTTACACAGAAAGCCAACTGAATTATTTCCATGAAACTGGAAAATGACCATTTTATACATTGTGAAGCAGTTTTCCAAGGTTTTGAAAGGCTAACAAAGGAAGATTCTGAGATTGAGAACGAGTCGAAAACTGGTTATAGCAAAACCCGTTTTTTGATTTGTCATCAATAGAGGTTCACAGGAAGTCTGAAATTTACCATAGAGACAAGTTTTGTAAAACTCAACTCTGTTAAAAGACTACAGTGTCGCTAGGGAGTTGAGAGGACCTTTGTTACGACACTGTTCTTTTCGTTTCACGATAGTACTGAGATGTGAGATTGATTGTATCTAGCACACTTATTGTTCCAGAAACTTTTTACATATCTCCAAGTGGAATATTTTCTTTCATAAAACTCACTAGTCACTCAAAATAATATATCACCAGTGAAAGAAGACAATACAAAGCGATCCTCATAACAATTCAATTAGAAATTCAACACAATGGTTTGATTGTTGGATAAAGGGGAAGGCTCAGTGAGTGTTGTCAAGTCTGTGGACCTGATTCAAGTTTGCTAGTGAAACTTTTCCGATTTTAATTTCTAAAGCAAATTCGTCGTTCGTTTTAGTTGGACAAGTGAATTTCTATTATCTGCGTTTCTTTTTTAAGCCCTGCAAATGTTTCTTGTAGAACAATCCATCGATTCCTGTGCTCTGAGTTCCATGTAGACTGTAGTTTCTTTTTAGTATTTACAACTTTTATTATCTCTTTGGAGTTTATATACTGTATGCAACACTTGTTGTTATTTCACTTTTGGTCTTGTATGGAAATTTGAGATTAGCGTTGTCGAGAAGAGAGCAAAGACAAAGGAGTTTAAGTTGTCGTTGAGTGTTGGTCGATTAATCAATTAGTTGTTTCACAAGTTTGTTTATTTCTATCGATAATTGTTTCAGAGCAGTTTTGCGTATTTATTAGCAGTTGAAAGTCCTGTAGTCTGTTGTTGAGATTCTGAGAATCAGGCTTGGGGCTATTATTTCAAAGATATTCTACAAGAACAAGAAACCAGTCAGACACTCAGTTGAGTGTTTTGTTCAGTACAAAGCGTTACTTTCCGTATGATAGTTTTTTGTCTTCTATATGACTCTTTTCAAGATGGCAAACTCGGTCTGTAGCTTTGCAACAGGTTTTTGAGTGTAAACGATATTTGCACTTTTTGTAAAACAAATTCATTTCTCAGGATAACGTAGGAAGGTATTTTTAATGAGTTGTTTATATTGTTGTGCTTTTAGATCAATTCTCTATTGATTCAAATATGTCATTTGAAATATTATTTGCGGAAAAACGACACCCATAAGGTTTGACAGTTAATAAAAACGAAAGCTGAATAGACTTGCTTTTTTATAGCAAGGGAAAAGTTTTCAGTTCAAAGGATACTCAACTTGTTGGGAACCATGAAACAAAGCAAGCAAAAGAGCACTGCTGAAAGTCGTGGTTGTGTCCACCTGGTAAAATGTTTTGACGATGGCGACTGTAGCTATTAGTCCGTTTTGAGAAACGCCTTTGTCTTTATGAATTAGTGGGTTTACCGAGGGTGAAATATGTCTAAAACGATATGTGAGTAGTAAGAGCGATAAAGTTGGAACTAGTATTGATGGTGTTTCTGAAAGGCATCTATTTCAAATCGTCTTTGGTCCTTATATAGTTGGAGAGGAGGGTAACATTAGTAGTACGGTGTGAATGGGAAACAAGGAGACTTGTGTGAAACAGTACTTGCCGTGTCAAGAGTGCTGCTGATCTGTTTTTTTTTCCAACACACTGAAGGTCATTCTGGTGAAAGTAGTGGTAGTTGTAGCTGTCAAAAAGTGAAAAGGAGACACAACATTTTGTGCAAACAGATTGCGTTTGGATAGTATACAAAGCATCTCTAAAAGAAACTCATGAAGGATTGGGAGAACTTCTACAATGTTACACAAGTGCACACATTGATGTCATCGTGTCCGACTAGAGTTTTTGGTTTGACTCTGACGATAAAGTCCAGCTTTTGGTATACAATTCCTAGAAAGCATACGCAGACGAACAAAGTAGTTTGCAAATACATTGACACGGACCTAAAACATTTTTCGATTATTGAGCAAAATCAAACCATTCGCCAGTACTTGAAATTCAACCAGAACAGCAACAACAACAAATATGAGCCCGAGCCTAGTACAGTATGACATAGTCAACAATTCTACAAAGAGAATGACTTGTGTTTCTATCTTTTACTGTTTTCTTCGTTGTTGCATGACTGGAAAATTGTCATTGTTTTATTTACTTGGAATTGTAAAAAGACAGCAACGACAACAACAACAACAAGAGAAAGTTATAGTGTATTGGTTAGTAGTACATGGAATATTAATAATAGTTTTTGTCATAAAAGTACGAATTTGACCTATTTTTTACCATACAGGAAAATTATATTGTTGACTTTACAAAATAAAAGGGCATTATTTGCACACTTACTATTCCTGTACCTTACTATCAGTAGAACTACATACGGTTCTGATTTTGAACAACAAATAGAGTATCGAGTTGCTTTACTTGTCGATTTTCGATTTTGCTTGTACCTGTTTGAGACTAATCTTTATCTTTTGACTCTTGAAACGAACTTATTTGTTATCTCATGATAGTGTCATGAAGCAATTAGTCGTCATTTCTTTTCCGAAAACGTCGACGTAAAAACTTTTCAGAAGCTTATTTCATTGTAAATCTCAATCACATAGGATCTCTTTGTCCCGTGACAGTTGTGTTGCTTTTGGAGGGGTGGGCAGTTGATAGTCCAAGTGATCAATTCAAGCCAATTTCGTCAGTTGAAACAAGTAATCTTTGACAAGTGAACTTGCCGTATCATGAAAGTGTACAACATACTGTTTTCTGTGATCTGGA